CGCGTGGCAGTCACCGGTGTGGCGTTGCGAGCGATGATGTTCTAGCAAGATCATCGACGATAACGTTTCTTTCGCCTTTTTGTTTACTGAAGTTTTAAACGTGTGTCACAGCCCGGGACACAGCAAAGGTACATCATATCTACAAGATAAATGTATTTTTTTGGGTTACATATTCCTTAAACACATGCATGCACAATAGGCTACATTGTTCATAATCAAGTGAAGAACCCAGGCCAAGTAATCGCGAGAAACGACGATTGGAACTGCCCCACTCGCTGCGATTAGTGGTTGAGCAACAAGGTTTGAACGGCTTTGGGGCCATCCATAAATGACTTCACGCACCTAGGGGGGGGATTCAGACATTTGTGACGATGTGTGACGAGAGGGGAGGGGTTGAGAAATGTGACGTCACACCAAATGTGAAACTTTTAATAAATATAGACAACACGTTCTACTTAATTAAATAGACTTTTTAATAAATGTTTTCTACAACATCAGAGTACAGCGGCACATTAAATACGCACTTCAATGACAATAGTTTAAAGCGATTTGGAGCATGTTTTATTTTTTGAATGGAAACATGGTTTTGGGGGTGTGGGCAGAGCTTTATGACGTCATATTTGAGGGGGGGTCTGACTTTTTGTGACGCCGTATGACGATGGGGGGGGGGGGGTCAAAAATCGCGTGACGTCATTTATGGACGGCCATATAGTTTAACTGGGGGGTGCATTTATTTCAGTCCTATACTCTGCGCGATTGTTAATGATCCCAGCACTAGGTGCCTTTGAACTAATCATCTATAATGGCATCAGGGCGATTGTTTTGTAAGCGATGGGGAAACACGTGTCTTGCAACATCGAGATGACTGCAGCTTACAATCACACGTGGTCACGCCATCGCTGGAAATGGCTCTCCGTGTGTCCACTCAATGACCCTCTTCCCCTTCCCTCAACTGCGAGTCGTCACAACGCTTAGTGCTGAAGAATCGATTGCGCAGACACAACAAGGTGGTAACTACTTCTGGGTGATGGAAGGCCTGTCAAAATTGACCTGGAGCCACAGCGCCGCCTGCCGTTCAGCAGTGTTCACGTTTCCATGTTTTCCCAATGGAGTAAGCAGGGATTCGGCAGGGAATGTGATGCGTTAATCAGCACAGCATAATATGACTAGCAATCAGGAAAACTATGGATTTGGCTGGCAATACAGCTCGTTTTATACGGAAGAGTTTTACCCATGTGTAAGTTTAAACGGACGTTAGGATGGCATCGTGGTAACACTTATGCCTCACAGCCAGGAAAACCTGGGTCGATTCCTGACTCAGGTACTTTGTGCGGTGCTTGTATTTATCTTCCTCTTATCTGCATGGATTTCCATCGGGTTCTCTGATATTGGCTAAACATCCGAATGCTAAAAAAAATCCTGAAAATTTCTGAATTGGGATGATACGTAGCAACATTGTCCATGACTGCAAAAACGTGGCAGGGCCCTCCTTTAAAGGTGTATTGAGGCTCAGCGAGGATTTCCAGGGCAATTATGTGCAAATAATAGAATATTACAAATTAAAGTTGAAAAACCGCATTGAATTATTGATTTCAGTAACTTTATGCAGCTAGTCACTGGTCTTGAATGAAATATTTTTTCAACGAGGTATACTTTCTATCATAGATTTTCCATAAACTTTTTTTTATCAAATAACACTTATTCAACGCGAAACAGAATTGTAGGCCAAGTGAATGAAAGAAAGTTGAAATATTTAATGATGAAAGTGGATCGAGTAAAGGCACGAACATATTTGGTGAAAACAAATGGAGAAAATACAAATGAGATCATATGATGACATAACTGGAAATGACCTACATCAAATGTTTGAATTACTTAATGATGGCTGAAAAGTATACATAAAGATGAGTGTGAACAAGACACAATTAACATACATTTGCTAAACAACAGAAAATAACTCTTGGAAAGACAACCGAAAAACCAAACGAAATATGCATATTTGAGGTACTTATTAAAGGCGGACGGATACAAATGCTGAAAGGAGAAAAGAGAGAGAAAACAGCTTTGAGTGCCTTTGGAAAACTGATTTTTTTAATGTATAGGTAATATACATTTGTGCCTAAAGACAAACACTTTTCATCAGTTCGTGTTGTCTGGAAGGACATGACGTGGACACTGGCAAGAAGATTCGACTAAAAAGCTAAAAGTGCGCAAATAATAATGGAGAGATCTCGACTTAAAGCTTTCGTGACTGCAGGGATTCATATTCTTTGGGTCTTACGGTAAATAACGTATCTACGTGACTTTACCGAAAGACCCAAAGAATAATCATGGAGAGGTGTATGCTGAGAATTGCAGGAAGACAGAATATGGTACACACGCAGCAAGGAACAAATAGATTAGAGGCATCAAACGAACTATCAAGGATAATAATTGTGCTTGGGCATGACACAAACCACGAAGGTTGCCATTGGATGAGACTAGTAACAGATTGGAACATAAAAGAGGATAACCAGCACAGAGATGAAGCGACGAGATTTGCTTCATACGCAGTAGCGGGATGTATTATAGTATTACAGGACTGTGAAGGATGACGACGACGACGTGGGGACGCCTTCATTCAGCAGTAGATAACGCATAATATAAGCATCATCATCATCGCTGAGCAGTGGTAGCACACGCCTGTAATTCAGCACTGCAGGGGTGACGGTTGGTTGATCTCACACATGTTGCGAAACTCCCTTCCCGTGGGCGTCAGGAGAAGTCAGTACAGCAAAATTGTAGACTGCACATGTTAAATCTGTGTGAGATATAATGTTTCCTCCTCGCACACGTGCTCTGGTTTCCTCCCACATATCAGCACTCATTAATTGGCCGATAACATCTTAATAAATAGAGGACTGCAGAGCTTGAGCAATTGTTGGTGCCCGCTCTCGTTGCCTTTCCGCTTGTATGTGGTTCCTTCTCATGTCTATAGTCGTTATGTATGTTGAACTTCTTTCACACCGTACGTAGCCATCCGTGCTTATCGGAGGTGCTGTCTACGAGCGTGAGTGAATTCTGTGCGAAGCGTTACAATTTGAAATTATTATCATCATCATGAATGGGGTATACTCTTTGGTTCTTTCAGTAAAGTCACATAGGTATAAAATACCAAAGAGTATAGATTCCTGCAGTCACGAAAACTTCAAATCAAGATGAATTGGATAATTTCTCCTTTTTGTGTGAAATAACTAGATTGGTCTAATTAAATTTTAAGGTATGGCAAATATATCGAGGAGCTAAATGCCAATGTCAGGTCCTGCTAGCCACGAGAGTGTTTCAAGGAGAGAGTTCGTGTCGTTTTGCTCCTCCATTGAAAGAGGACAGACGACAGTGATTTACTATAGGGTCCATATATAGTTTGGGTTGAATGGCCACAGTGGCACCGTGGCTTGTGTTTAATGTTCAATTTGTGAAGGAGATGTGCGTAGCGACCTGTTGATGTTCCGACGCGGTTTGTTGATCACACCAGCCAGTGTCTTGTGGGAGGAATGTCAAAGTCAGGAGGTGAGATGTTTGGGTCTCTAACGAGGTGATTATTTTAGACGCCCGCGTTTTTTCACTCTGTTCGTCAGCAGTGATCTTCTCGGATCTGGTTGAGAGTCGTGGATGGTGACAGCAGCTTGATCGCAGAAGGGGAGGTGGGGATCTGGAATTGAGTCGACAGTGAGGTTGCATCGTTGAGGACTTGGTTGATGATGGGTTGGTTGTCTATCGTTGGCGAGAAAACATATTTGGTGGCAGAATGTTCGCCAGAGCAGGGAGCCAGGGGACTGGTGTCGGTTTGAGTGTTCTCGGTTTTGATGCGCATTGCGTTATGTGTGTGTATGTGTGTGTATGTGTGTGTGGCTAAGGCAGAGCAAGTTGGCACAGTGGGGGGCACAGGTGGTGCATCAGCCAGTCATCTCGGTCATCTCGGTCAGTCGACCCGTGGCGCCTGATGGGTCTGCCCCGTGACCTCCTGCCAGCGGGCGTTCGACACTTCACGTGGCCTCAAGGTGCACATGGCCTGGCACAAGCGACCACCACTTAGTGGCGAATGGCGGTTGTTGTTGTTGTTGTTGTGTGTCTCTGTGTGTGTTTAGAAGTGTTGTGTCCAAGTTCCCTGACCAGGCTGTAGGGCAGGCCCTCTGCCACTGAGTGGATCAGTGGGAGGGTGGCATTTGGCAGCACATCATCCGCGGCGACCCCAGGTCGTTTCCGTCACAGGGCGATTCTTGACGTACCCTTTTCACAGATCTCCTTTACGTGAGGCTTGAAAGTCCATGATAAACCCCGAGATGTGTATTGTAAGTATGCACTATGCTGAACTTCTTTCGCACCGTACGTAACCAACCGTGCTAATCGGAAGGTGCGGGGTCATAGTGCACTGCGCTACCACAGAACACACTAAGAGTGAGTAGTTGTATTATATATACGTACACACATCAGTAACGCTGCACAACTGGAAAGAACAATAAGTAATATTTAAAAAAAAAAACGCTTTAATGAAATGATCCGTACTAGTAATGGCAGAACTCCACGACTCCAGGAGGTGGCCCCCAAGCTTGCCACAACGTAAGGGACCCTGGTGATTTACAGCCAATGTCAGTTTATTGTGGACAATTAGACACAAGCCGAAACATAACATATACAAAATAACGTTTAACAAAAATATCTATATATTTTTTTATGATAGAATATAGTATTGTCATCAGTATGACATACGTTTTTTCGGTAAAGTCACGTAGGTAAAAAATTATAAAATTTATAAAAGTAATAATAAAAATATTTAAATTAAAAATAATAACATTAAAATTAATAAAAGTAATAATATAAATATTTATATATAAAAAAATATTCATTACTTTTTACCAACGTAACTTTACCGATAAAAACCTACGAGTACAAATAGTTTGAATCCTTGCAGTCACGAAAACTTCAAATCTACAATTTGTGTTCACTCCGTGACCGCACGAGGGCGACTCCGCCTCATCCGCCTCGCACGCCTCGGCCCCTTGAGCAGCAACAGCAGCACCACCTCGTACACCAACCTCCTCCTCCTCATGAGGGCATAATTCGCACAACCACCACAGCAACAACAACAGCAGCAGCAGAGAGAGACGAGGCGATCGACAATGTCCGCGCTTCGTCTGCTGCAAACCGTGGGGCGGCCTTGGGGCCCCGCAGCTCTCCGGCCTGGCCGAGGCCTCGGTCTTGCCTGGCGCCGCCTGCCCAGGAGCAAGGCCACTTCGGCGGCGGCGGCGGGGGGGAACGGCGCGCTGTACCGGGACACCGTGTCGCTGCCCCGCACCGACTTCCCCATGAAGCTGGCGGGGCAGGCGCTGCTCAACAAAGAGATGGAGATGCAGGAGGTGAGGATGGAGTATGTGTGGGGGGGGGGGGGGCAGATTTGTGTGGTGGCGAAGTTTGTCTTGGTCGGTGGTGGTGGTGGTGGCGGTGGTGCTGGTGAGGTTATCGGGTTTCAATCTTCCCGAAACGCGAGGCCAAGTGCTTGCTTTACATTGACATTTTAGTTGCTAACGTCGCTTTCAAAAGTTTGTGGTAAGCTGTCCTGACGCGTATGTTATGCCTGCCAGGCTAGATTAGTGTCTCAATCCATTACTGTTTCTGCATGTCGGTGTAAACGCAAGATACACACCGATTCCATGTTACCGTCTCCTTCAGACCGCGAGGTTATTCTCTCAATTCCCTCGCAGCAACGGTTTTTTTTTAAATGCTGATCGCTCTGCCACTCAATTCATAGCTCGTTTTGCGTTTTGTAATCACGCAATGTGGCCGGAAGGCCACAGGCAAGACGGGGGGCAGTGTGGAGTGCCCTATGAGAGGGCAGCGAATGTTGCCTTGCCATGCGTGTCAAACGCCCTTGAGGTGGGGAGGAGCAGTCTGGAGCCGGTAGCATTCGAATTCCTGAATTAAAGATTCCCCGTAAGGCATGGCACGATTTAGATAATCGAATGTAGCAACAAATGTCGTGCGCACGGAGCAGCGCATGTTAAATATGTCGTCGATTCGGTGGGCACAAGCTGTTGAAAAGCTGACATTTGAATGCAGCATATGTGTATAAGTTTGATTGAATATGTTTAATACCTGTTGATTTAATGTGCCCTCGATTATCAAACGTACACTGTTGTCACGATAAAAACTTCAGTTGGAAGTGATTTTAATATGTGCAACAAACATAATATTCTTGAAAATGATTGAATATGTTGTTGATATTTCAGAATATATTAAATAATGTTATTAAATAGTTTGTTGAATATACATATATAAAGAATCAAACGTTGAAAAAAATATGACGTAAGTTCACAGGGATTTGCATGGGAAACTAATGGGACATATCCATTTAGATATTTAATGCAACGGAACACCGAGCTTTTGTTTGCACCAGCTAAATGTGCGTGTGTCCCCGCGTGTCGCCCCATACAGGTGTGCAACTTCTCGGGACTGTACGAATGGCAGAAGGAGAGGAAAGTCCAAGAAGGAATTCTGTCTGCACGACGGCCCCCCCTACGCTAACGGGGACCCGCATGTGGGCCACGTCCTCAACAAGGTGGGTGAGAGCTCCGCCAGCCAACGTCGGGCCAATCTTTGACCTACACCGCGCCTCCACTGAGTGTCGCCCATTGCCACCACTTGGGCGCTACTCTGTGTTGGAGCCCATGTAGCCAGCGGACTTTTTAAACATTTTTCAAGTATCAAGTTGTAATTGCGGTTGTCGGTGTAATTGTGTTTGTTATGGTGGTTGTGTAACATGATTGCTAAATGGTGCAGAGTGTGAGCTGACAAATTGACAAGGACCTGAACAAGGAGAACGGTGTTTGACTAAGAGCCATACTACCTGAATTTTCGATTTATAAACACCACTTTAAAAAAATATTCCGATATTTGCTAAAGTAATACGTGTAAAATATCCTATGCCCGGCCTATAATAGTAAGAATGATTATTTTCTCCAATTATCCGTATTTAATAATACACGAGAGAATAGATTAATTGCCCCTGAAAATAATATGTAAATTATATGCTAATGTAACAATTAGGCTAATGGAGTGAACAAAACCATACAAATGAGGCAAAACAAGAAACAACAACGAGACGCTAAAGAGGAGGTGACCAATCACTGTCTAAAATGATGACAATTTAATCAAGTTATTAGTGGGGGAAGTGAATAATTGTCACGTGCATAATTACAGATTTTTTTGTTGTCAATAAGAGCTCGCTCCTCTGTCTGCAGGTCCTCAAGGACATCACGAATCGGTACTATGTAATGAGAGGCTACAAGGTACACTTTGTGCCCGGCTGGGACTGCCATGGCCTGCCCATCGAAGCTCAAGGCCCTGACAGAGAGCGAGGTCAACGACAAAACTCTCTCGCCTCTTGACATTCGGAAAAAGGGTACGACTGCAACTCTGACTTGCCTCGCTTAAACCTACGTGACTTTACCGAAAAAAACAAAGAGTATGAATCCTTGCAGTCACGAAAGCTTCAAATCTAGAATCGCTTAAACGTGTTTGTCAAGGTCCTGTCAATGAGCAATTATAATTTAAAAGACTGTATAGCCAAGGATTGTATGCTCATAAACAAAAATCACAATGTCGTTCGCACTGTCTTATACAGGAAACGTACATAGAATAAACTTACTTTTTGTGCGATTATTCTTCGGAGCAGAGAGATGTACTGACTAATAGTTGTAGATTGCATTTTATACCATGGTGCCTTGTCAACATTGACAAATCTAAATGTTTTTATTTGGCACATGAACAATTTTCCTTAAATCACACTTCGTGTATTCAAAGTAAAAGCAGCACGAATAAGCGGATTTGTAATTTATATATTTTCACTCCTATGCTATATTCGCATCTTGTACACGTGATGAGCAAGTGGGCTCCAGCGTCCTGTCGCCGCAGCCTGCGCTGATGTGGTTTTGTATGTTCCCGTGCAGCTCGCGAGTTTGCTGAGAAAGCGATTGAGAAGCAGCGAGCATCTTTCATCCGTTGGGGCATTATGGCCAATTGGAAGGACGATTGCTACTACACGTTCAGCAAGGAGTACGAGGCCGAACAGCTGAAGGTCTTCTACAGCATGCATGAAAAGGTGTGCAGTTGGCCACAGTGTCGTATGTGACTAGTTCTGCATCTTGCTGTGCACATGCAGGAGAAGTGAGGATAGTTTTTTTTGTAGCAGAGATAAAGTTGAATAAAACCTAATGGCTGCTAATTGATGGTACCACAGCACTTTTCTCTGTCGTGCTTTATTGTGTGTTTTGCTTCATAGGGTTTCATATATCAAGATTACAAGCCAGTGTTTTGGTCTCCATCAACAAGGTAAGAGTTAAGCTTTTGTTGTTTGTTGATCTGGCTGCATTGAGGAGAGGGTATGGGAATAGCGATTAACTGATCAAATTCCATTTGTTTGCTCACAATACACGCGTTTAATAACGCATGCAACATTAACGTGCATTCATTAAATTTGAGGCACATTTTATGCAAATGCTATGTTTAGCCTCATAGACCGAACAAGATTAAACATACGATAAAAATGAGGGAGGATAAATAATACAAAAACGATCAATTAACTGTGGCCCACAATGTTGACGATTCACCGAATAGCATGAGGGGTGAATAGTTGCATGCCTAGAGTGCTGTGCCCAACTTCCTTCGTGCACCTGCATGGAGGTGCTTGTGCCTTTTGTTATCTGCACAGCGATGTTAATGATCTGCCACAAAGTGGACGCAAAGGGTTGGCTGGTCATTAGACCTGCCACAATTCACTCCCCCCCCCCCCCCCGTCATGCTTATTGTGGGGGTTACTTGACCATACTTCGGCACATCGTTACAGTCCTACTGGTGACCATACTGCGCGAGTTGTTTGGGTGTCACAATTGCCAGCGAGTGAAGTTGTAACGAAGCTGGTGGCTGTACACAGGACGGCGCTCGCTGAGGCTGAGTTGGAGTACAACCCAGCGCACACCAGCAAGGCTGTCCACGTCAAGTTTCCCCTTGCTCAAGTGCCGCCCAAGCTTGCGTCTCTCTTAGGTAATTCTGGAACATTTCACCATGTCTACAACGTTTCCATCTGTGGGGCTGCCACGCACGCAACAGGGGCATTCTGTGCACTGCCATTGTGCGTCCGCGACGGAAAATCTCGCGATTAATCAAAACCCACGATTGAGCAGTAGAAATGCACGATACGTTCACGTATAGTCACTCAATAAACAACACTTCAAATGGCATGAAACAGCAGCAGCAACAACAATTTCAATTCATGTGGAATGTAAATTAAATTGTATCGAATCATGCTTTCAAAAATGAAATGTAAAAACTACTTTAGGGTTGCAGGACGTCACGGAATCCAGGGCAGCAGTAAAACATGGGAGAGGGGAGAGAGATCATCACTCTGGCACAAGCTGGGATGAATTAACCGTAGCCCAACACCAGCAACAACAATTCCCAGGGACAGCCGGAGAAGTCAGGGCATCACCAATGGGTTCCAGGGTACCCGCAGGGGGCCCAAGGCCCATCATTCACCTTCTCTAGACAATTTTAACAAAAAAACATGTAGTGCTTCTATAATTACTACGAATACAAACAAAGCACAGGGAAACGAGGTGAAGACATTGACCCGTTTTCGTTGCTGCAGATTGTGTGTAACGATGATGACGCGTGCTGCTGTGTTGCAGGCCCCGATGCCACAGTGAGCCTGGTGATATGGACAACCCAGCCCTGGACCCTGCCGGCTAACGAGGCCGTCTGCTTTATGCCCAACTCGAAGTGAGTCGCCTGTTCATAATGGGTCACAGTTTGTCGTGCGCACTTGAATTATACCTTAGGGTAGACCTTAAAGTATTCGCTGCCATCATATAATGAGAATGTTTTGCTCCCTTTTAGCCTGTTAGCATAATATTTTCTTCCGTGTAACCCGACTTGAGCAAAACATGTGATAAATAAATAAATGCCCATGGAATTATTTCAGCTGATAGGTATTGTTGATCGGCATAAACATGTAGACATTTATATTCTTTGGGTCTTTCGGTAAAGTCACTTTACCGAAAGACCCAAAGAATATGAATTCCTGCAGTCACGAAAGCTTTAAGTCAAGATTTATGTAGACATTTGTCATCCTGCTTTTATTGAGGCTTTCCTGGAAAAATGAAGAGCATTCTAATTCAATGCATTATCATGCTTTGTATTTCAATGAGTTTCATTATTTGTAGCAAACATGTTTTTAGTTTTTACATAATGATAATTGTTTTGCCATTTGCGGCCCATAGCATTCATCAACACCGTTTTGGAAACAACCATGCATTTAATTAACAATTTGGTTGGATCTTGTTTAATTACATCGTTTAGTGGGCCTTACCTCGTAAAATATAAAAATGTTTAGTTTAATTCACCCCTGCAGCGGGGCTCGTGTTTACTTATTTTCCAGAGGTTCGCATTGTTTCACAGATCCATCGCATGCCGCACACCCCCTTGTGTCGAGCAGGTACAGTGTGGTGAAGTGCGGCCAGACGGGGGAGCTGCTGCTGTTGGCTGCAGACAGAGTGGAGAGCTTGGCCACGGCCCTCCGCACCACACTGGAAACGTTGCACACCTTCGCTGGTGCGTCGACGCGGCACACAGTGCCAGCGGGAAGCCGGTGCCCTCGCACCCTGCCCTACCTGCGCAGTGGCGTCATTTTAGCTTTTTAAAATAAATGTGATATTACGCTCATAGTCTGGCAGCTATAAATGACACAGGCCTGTATGCTGATGCTGCAAGTGCTGAAAGGCTACGTTTTATAATGGCGCACGTTGACGGCGTCATAAAACAATATGTTCTACACATGACCTGCCTCTTATGCAATTTTAATGGTGAAGACCGATAAGCAATATAATGGTTTTACCATTGTGCATACTGCCGTGGAATTGTATAAAGTGACCTTTGAAGCACAGCCGTACCATAGAGTCTGTAATATTGAGGCTAACAAAGTCTAAGGTTGTATAACTACTCCGTGAGTGTAAGAGCTGAGTGCTTCCTTTCTTAAAATATAAAATTAACTGAAAACCTTACCTTGCCAATAGGCCTTGCACCTGTTGCCCAATAACCACATAGGCAGTGCTGTGTGGACTTTGATCTGAGGACATGTTGACTGGACAGTGCCCCAGCTCAATGCAGCCGTGTTCAAGTGGTATAGCCTCTGGGCGAGGTGGTGCACACCTGTAATACAGTGCTTTGGAGGTGGATCATGCCGAGGTTATCATGCGCCTGACATGCCTAACTTGTAGGTTACGAGGAAGCCAGCAGTCCAGAAGACTTATTGGTGCAGATTTGAGAGTCACCTTTGACTTGTTGAGCTAGGAAAAACCTGGAGCACTCAAAATAAAAATCCAAGGCAGGGTTTCTATCTGGATGCTCCAGGTTTCTCCTGGCTACGACATACAAAAATCCTCGTGAAGAATTTCCCTTTGTTTTCTCCCACCTGAAAATGAGTCTTGAGACTCGGTGAGGCTTTCCTTGCTAGAAGGACTTCCTATCACTGATTAGTACTGACTGCTGTCCTTATCCATGCAACTTAGCATATTGCACAACTCATGCTTGTCTATAGCCAAATGCAGTCTGACTTGAGCGTGGCGCTTCGTTAGTAGGGGCGGTTGCCAGGGGATATAAAAGTGACGCGGGTAGTCTAGGGCAGATTGAATTGAGCGTGGCGCGGCGTTGTGGCTGTGCGTGTCAGCGTACAGGGTCCGACTTGCAGGGCGGCACCTGCTCCCACCCCACCATCGCCGGCAAGATAGCGCCGCTGCTGCCAGCCGCGCACGTCACCATGCTGATGGGCACGGGGCTGGTGCACACGGCGCCCGCACATGGCGCCTGATGACTTCAGCGTGGCCGTCGCACACAAGCTGCCCGTGGTGTGTAAAAACGAGGCGGTGTAAAAACTGGATTATCGAATCAAATTGGTATACCGAATCGTGACAATGATATCACTTGGGGTGAATGTTTACGTATCCAATGTGTTTAACCTCTGTATTTCTCTACAATAAGGCAGTATTACAGTGGTGAGATGTATTCAGTACTGTGTTGCCACGTACTGTTATCACCAACGTGGTACTTTCAGTCTGACTTTATCTATGGAAGTGTTATGATGCCCCCACCCTGCTATCCAAATGAATTAAACACAATGAGTGTGAGGGTGTTCCATTCAGATGGAACGTGAAAATAACAAAACCATGTAGTTCTGCCGATGACCAGATCACCCGAATGCACCCGATCTTGTCGTATCTTGAAAGCTAATCAGAACTTGAGCCTTGATAGTGCTTGACTGGGTTAACACCACGATGGACAAAATAAGTGTCATAGGTTCCTGTGGGGCTACACTACATGGTGAGCAAATAAAGGGCAGTGGAGAAAAATCTATTGCCATAGGCTACCACATATGTGCTCCCTGCCTTCGCCATCCCACACTGAGCAGAGTGCTGAAGTGTGGTCAAGTAACCACCACGACACGCACAGTGTGGGGAGGTCCCTCGCTAAGCAGTGGGTTGACCAAAGGGCAGCACGCGTAGCTCTAGCTAAAGTGTGTCTCATGTGACTGCGCGTGGCGGTGACGACGACGTGTGCGGAGCACAGAGGAGCCTGGTGGACGAGGAGGGACTCTTCACAGCAGAGGCTGGGGAGGAGCTACAGGGCAAGGCCGTGCTGGAGGAGGGCAATGAGGCCGGTGGGTCCTTGTTGCACCCTCCATATCCTGCCCCACCAGCCAGTGGCAACTGCACCGGGGCCCACTGATAGATTTTGGCCAAGATTGGCAACCAAAGCGGAAAAGAGCGTAACGCTGTGCAGCACCAGAATTAGTTTGTTGTGTTAGACCGTTCGCGAATTGTGTTTGCGTGTTTCCGTGCACACACATTCTTCGAGTATTTTTCCCGAACTTAAGTGTAGGCCGCCATAATGTACGGGCCTGCCAGCTTGCTGTGAATTACTTACCACCATTTCCTAGCCGTGCTGACCACCCCCGCGTGCGTTGCTGTTGTGCGCGGCGTCAGTGGTGGCGCAGCTGCGAGCGGCGGGCTGCCTGCTGCACGAGGCCGCCTGCGTGCACAGCTACCCCTACGACTGGCGCAGCCACCAGCCTGTGCTGGTGCGCGCCAGCAGCCAGTGGTTCATCAACACTGACACGCTGCGGGATCGCGCCCAGGCACGTGCACGCCCTTCCATTTGTGTGTGAGCATGTGTCTTGTGTCATCTGTGTGAGCGTGTGTTTGTGTGTGTGGGGAGCAGTAATGAGTTCAATTCTCGCTCACTGCTAACACCAATGACAATTATCTGTACTGGTCCTGGGCCTCCCCGAGATCAACTTAGCCTCAAATGAATACCTAGTGCTGTGTGTGAACATCGCCACTGGGGAGACAAAGGTGGTCATGCGTGGTGCTGGCCACCCACCCCTTTGTGTGCCGTGCTGGCCTTCATAGGTGCTCGCTTACAGCACTTTCCCCAACAGTCTGTTAAGGCTATACGGGGGATCTTTTTCTTTTGTGTGAGCGCATGTGTCTTCGTCTTTGTGTGAGCACATGTTTCTGTGTGTTTGTGATTGTGAGGAGCGGTGGGACAGTAGTTAGTGCACAGCGCTACAAACCCGCAACCCAATGTCAATTTCTTGATTCCGAATTGGTAAGTAGTATCATAACTTCTACTGGGCTTCCTCTAGGTCGACTCAGCCTTTTAATAGTACCTGGTGTGGTGTATAAGCACAAAAGTAGCCTGGCATGTGGCTGGCCGCATATGCCCCTTGTGTGCTGTGTCAGCTTTTAAGAGGTGCTTACTAGCAGCACTTGTCCTTGTGTTTGAGGCTAAATCGGGGGTCCTTGTATGTGTTTCATTGTGTGTGTGGCCATGTGCTCATAAGGTGGCAGTAGTTAATGCACTGTCACAGCAACCCTGGTTAAATTCCAAGCTGCATTCATCAAGGACATTTGTATTTGGTATCTGAACTTGCAAAGGTTGACCCAGCCAAAAATGAATGCACATTCAGGCTTTGTGGAAAGATAAAGGTGGCTGGGCATGGCACTAGGCCCCTCTCCTTGTGCGCTGTAGCAGCCTTAATTGGTGGTGGCTGACAGTCCGTGATAATGTATTTTATTATCCAGTAAAGTCTTGATTTGAAGCTTTCGTGACTGCAGGAAGCCATACTCTTTGGTTCTTTCGGTCAAGTCACGGTAGGTAGAAAATAAAATAATCACGACCTTTTGATCGCAACAACAAGCGACCGTCTTCAGGTGCTCACATGTCCTTTGGATTGCACTCTCATGCTCACATGCCCTCCAGTCAATCTCTCACAATCGCTGGCCCCACCCTCTTGCCAGATGCGGCAACCCTCCCTCCCCCCCCCCCTCTCGGGTCAATATAATGCCTCGTCCACAGCAGTCTAATTCTCTCACCTGAAGACGGTCGCTTGTTGTTGCGATCGAAACGTCGGGATCTATTATTTTTTCTACCTACGTAACTTTACCGAAAGAACCAAAGAGTATGGATATCCAGTAAAGCGACACTTGTTCGACAAATTGATTTTAACATGCATCTAGCATGCGGGAGGAAACTGGAGTACCCCGACAGGAGCTACGCACATGGGGGCATAATATTCCAAGCTCTGCACATGTAGATTCAATCCATTGATGTGCTGCCATCTTCTGGGATTCTCGGTGCATATTTTTGTGGCTGTGTACAGGTATAAATTCAAGTGATCTCTGATATAAAAAAAAAACCTAACATATTCGTCGATAATAGGGCCTAAAAACAAAAAAACTAAATAACAGATGACATGGGGCCTTTCTTTGTAGCACATAGCAGGCCATTGCCGAATGTTGCCTATTATATATTTTTCCTTTTAAGGCCCCACGGTGTTATTGACAAATGTGTTTGAGGTTTATTTTGTTATTTGTGCTTTTGCACCACTACCAACGCAGCAGCATTGGCCAATACATTGTTTATTATAATTGGTTTTTTACCCTTTTATCTGGCAACACAACTGACACCTTTTTTACAAGGAGTCATGTTTGCATAGACCACAATACCTGCAGTCATAATGCAAACAAAAAACATAACATAAACATAACGTTATGTTTTTTGTTTGCATTATGACTGCAGGTATTGTGGTCTATGCAAATATGACTCCTTGTAAAAAAGGTGTCAGTTTTGTTGCCAGATAAAAGGGTAAAAAAACAATTATCAATTTTTTACTGGCAAATGAGGTTCCAATGGATGTAACATTAGTTTATTCTCTGACATAACTTGGCCAGGTGGCTCGGCAGGTAGAGTGAGCGGCTCGCAATCGCAAAATTGGAAATTCAAATCCCCGTTGGGGGTTGACTTAGCTCATCATCCCTCCGGGGTCAATAATTATATGAGTTTCACTTTGTGGTGACGTCAACAGTTGTTGACCGATTTATGGACTCGCGCTTGCCATAGGAACGTGGAATTTCCACCACTGGTTTGGGGGCAGTAAACATGAGACGAGCACCGCGTCAATGCTCATTTGAACAATAAATCAAATTTGGATCTCTAATGAATGCAGAGGGTGTACGTGCGGGCGCTAGCGGCGTTAACGGCACCTGTTAATCCTTGCACTGCCACGCAACACTGACGCCCCGCAGGAAGTGCTGAAGAAGGTGAAGGTGGTGCCGAGCGCGTCCAGCGGGGGCGTGCAGGCCGCTCTCGATCGCCGCTCCTTCTGGTGCATCTCCCGCCAACGCTGCTGGGGCGTCCCCATCCCAGTCTTCTACAACCGCCAGACGCGGGAGCCGCTCATCAACAAGTGAGTGTTTCCACACGGCGCGACGGTGGGTGCGCTCGGCTGGTAGGCCGAGCCGGGCCGTGGTGGGCCGAACAAGGCCGCGGCGATGAGGGCTGATTGGGGTTGGTTACTGAGTAATCTGGGGCAGTCTCTGGGACATTTTGAGGTTGTTTCGTCATTGTCATTCCACGTGTCTGCCCAGGAGTGTGTTGTAGAGTTTCTACGCTCTTTTCCGCATTAGGTTGGCGATGATTGCTGTTATGAGTTTCGTAAATAAGTGAAGAATATGGCGTGTGTTTTATGGGTGATACGCACAGTATTAAGCAGGGCGGCCTGCCAGATTAGAACAGCAAAACTCTGCAACCAGCTTCGAATTATCGAAGGAGATGTGGGTGGTCTGGGCTGATCTGATCTGATGCACGGTAATCTGGGGTGTTTTTGGCTGATCTGCCGTGATCTGGGGTGATCCCAAGTGATCTGTGGTGATTCGGGGCGATCCAGCGAGCGATTTGATATCTCACCTGTATAGTAATGAGCGATGTGAATGATTAAGCTGTTGCCGTTTTGTAATATATTTGATTAGTCGAGTTGAGCAGAGGGGGTGAGTGTTTCCTGTAAATGGGCAATCCCTTGCTGTTTTCCCAACGACAGAGCAAGCTATGGAATCCTGGCTTTAGCCATAATTGACGTTCAAAGTTATGTTAAAGTGAAGTAATTAACCCGTGAAAGCCGTTATGAACACGGCCATCTGAATTCCATTCCCGGCCATGGCTAGCATCAGCGGCGATTGATATCTGAACCGATCCTCGGTTGCCCCCCCACACCCATCACCAACCCACACTGACTAGCGAGGTGAAGTATGGTCAAATAGCTCCCATGATCAACACGGCATGGAGAGGCCTTCATCCGGTAGTGGATTGGCAACGGGCTGTGTGAACGCATTTAATTTGGTATTTTCACATTTTATTCTTTAGGTATGCAACATACACAATGATGTATTCTTGTGAATAACTTAACATCACGTTTAATGTCTGCATCACTGCACAGTATGCAACAAATTAACATAACCTTACTATATATGAGATTCCATCGCGTCACAGGGCCGCGGCGATTAATTTACCATCACTGTGAGGTGTCCTGAATCTCGTGGCGAGTCGTGGCATGACCGCACGTGGAGAACCCGTACAGTAATTGCCACCTTTCTCGCTGGTGGCATTACGATTTGTGTCCACAGTCGTTCAGACCGGCTCATTACCCTGAGAATGGCGACGTATTTGCGTTGCACGGGCGGTCGCTGTTCGGGCTCGGTCCGTGTCTTCCACCACGTTTGCCACTCCTGTTGGCCCGACTGACTGACCAGCAACTGCCATTGTCTTGGAACAGTCTACCGGGCGTAGCGATATCCCCCCACCCACCATGGATCCAGGAATGTGCAAACCTGTTTGTTCACTTCGGCCAAGTTCTGACTGCCCCCATGGGTCTTTCGTTGAACGCTTTGAGTTGCTAAGCAAAAACGGCCAGCGCGACAACTCAGGTGTCGCTTAGCGTTGCGCATAATTTACGTTAAGTTTGGTTCCAGTGTACAGGATGGCACGTATTGACTGAATTTGTTATAGTTTTCATATGTGTGTGTATATGTACACAATACATTATCTTGCAGATGTAGCATTTTAATGCTCAAGAGCACACCAATCCTTGGGTTTTAATTTTAGCGTTGGCTTGAAAAATTGTCATGTAAAAAGCTCGTAGAAAGTTAATTGGACAGATACCATACATTTACTTGCACTCGACACGATGACAATGTTTTAAACAGGTAAAAATTTTATTCAGAAAAACGTGTTTAATAAGCATTACATGAAATCTTGAGAAATATATTTTTTAAACTGTAGCAATTTTTAATAAATTTAATCGGAAATACGGTAAATGATAAATCGGTATCTCCACACTTTGCCAGCAACCAATCTCAACCCAGCCAAGAGGCAGTTGTGCTGCAGACAGGGCAGCACCCTGATGAGTCTGCCCGCCGTGGGTGCGACTTTGCCCTGAGGGGGGCGCTGTACCGGGTCGGCCGAGGAAATGGTCGGAGGCCGTGGCTTGACCTGTGAAACTGACAGGCGAGATGCGGTGGCCGCCGGCTGTCAATTCATAGGTCAAGGCCCGGCCTCGAAGCCTTGGGTGACTTGCAGGGGCAGCGTTGCTACACGGTGACGATGCACGGACGACACTGGGAGCACTGGCTCGTTGCGTTGACCACCTTAATTGAATACTTCCATCGGTTTGTCATTTAAAAGCGGTACAATTTTAAAGGTAAAGCGACTTGAGATGTTCTTTTTTTATAACACGGCCCAAAAATGCTTGTCTTAACGATGGCTGAAACGCATTGCGTTGACTGTTTGTCCCCCGCTGCTGGTGGTGGAGACATCGCCACATTTTCACTGAAAAATCCGACAGACTAATATTTCATTACACTTGAATCAGGCCCCGAGGGTACGCGGAGAACATGCTAACCTATTCATGGTTCTTTCGGTAAAGTCACCTAGATATAAAATACAAATTTAATTAACATGTAAAAATAAATAAAACGTCATGGTTTTTTACTTTTATTTTTAATTAATTTTTTATTTACATTCTATTTTCTACCTACGTGACTTTACCTGAAAGAACCAAGAATATGAATTTCTGCAGTCACGAAAATTTTAAGTCAAAACATGCTAACCGCACACGAACACCGTCTGCACAAAAAGGTCTTAACGTATTATACATTTCACTCGTCCTGCCTGCAGGAATTACGAGGCCGTAGCCCTGGTGGCTGGGCAAGGCACCTGGGTACGTGCAGATTTCCCCGAGCGTGATGATGATACATTGTGGCAGCAGTCGATGTTCAAGTGAATGTCCATCAAAAGTAACAGTAACTCCACTGGGAGCGATGGAACATCCACATGGAGTTGCTGTTACACCTGATGCACACTGTGGGTGGCACAAACAGCTGCTTGTGTGTCGTAGGCGATGCCTTTTCGTGGCCGCCAGTGCCGCCATCCTGCGGAGGAAAACACGCTCCGACCCTCGACTTTCTCTTGGCGCGAACGCACACACGCGCACTAACGCCGCCGCATCTGACACCGACAAGCGATTAACTCACGAAGGCAGATTGCAGTCTCGTTAAGTAATCGATCAAGGGTAATATTGACGTCGGTTTATTCAAGGCCAAATTTTTTCTTGGCTATTTCTTCCTTTCCATGTGGGAGGGAAGTCAAAGTAAACTAATGAAATCCACACACAAGCTCAATTATCCATACAGATGACTCTGCAGCCGACTCGCCGAACTTCTACGCACTCTCCACATCGCCACTTACACTGCGACCCTCCGTGGCAACCACCTGTGGCAACAGGAAGGGCTCCACCAGTGGGTTTCTACAGCAGCCGCAAGTCAAACACGCAGGGTCCTCTTCCTGTCCCCACCGGGCACAATCAGGTGAGCCGGGACACGGGCGCCCGGGCTCAAAGTCTAAACACGACGACGACGGCAACCCGGCGAGGCCCCTAAATGGTGGGTGTGGGACTTGGGGAGCCGTGAGCGCTTGTGCAATGCACAGCGTTGGCACACAACCTAATTAAGCACGGACTTTAACCCTGCTGCTGAAGCAGTGAGGGGGAGTGGTTAGTACGTCCATCGAAGCCTCCATTTTGGCCTAATATTGCAAATCCACACAAGTCCAAAAGGTGCCTTCGCCTTACCTGCTAAGCGACCTGTTGCCAGTAGACATGAGCCCCAATGTTCAACTGAGAGCCGCGTGGGTTGTTAAACGTGGACCATGCGCTTTACGACCCGATCCCTGTCGCAACGGCTGGCTTTGGGAGCTTGTAAAAGTGGCTGTTCTCCGCTGTCCTTGTGACCCGCGGTACATGCTCCATCGTGCCGGAGAGGGCCTTATCGCGGTGGGGGGGTTGGGGCAATAAAGCAACTGCCGCCGTTGTAACGACCACGGAGCAAAGTTCTCGCCACCACGAGTTATGTAAACTTGTTCTACCACACCCAGGTTTTGTCGTCTTGGGCATTTTCTTTTTGTCGAAGCCATGAACTGTTTCAAAAATAATAATTTCCAACAGCCCCATCTGGAGAGAACTTTTTTATTCCTCGCCTGATGTTTCTAATTTCCGTCTAGAAGTGTAGATTTGCGTGCGTTTTCTCGATAAGGGCACACGCACACACGGCAGATTAACAGATGGTGCGACATCCCAATTCACACGGAGCCGTGTTGCCAAGGACACCGCTTGTGGTTATTAATTACTCGCGTGTGGCAAATCTACTTCCTGAGCTTAATGTTTTGTCATCGCAAGCGAGGAGACTCGAACCTCCGAGTGCACCTTGGGCAATTTCCCCTGCGTCTGATCCTCGGCTATGGCAGCCCTCGCCCACATTTAGCAAACGCACTTGTGTGCCGTGACTTCGCCCCTGGCGTCGCCACTTTGGTTTTACCTTCACTCTGGGTGGTTGTGAGGCTGCCCCGGGGGGCTGGCGAGAGACCCAGCAGCTGGAATGACGAGGCCGTCCCGTGCCAGCCGGTACCGCCCGCGCGCTTGCGTGTCAGTCCCACTCGCTCGCTCGCTTGCTCAATCGCTCGCTCAATCGATCGCTCGCTCGCTCGCTGCTCACTCATCAATCCCTCACTCGCCTATTCACTGGCTTGCTCATTCACCAACTCGACCGCTCACCTGCTCACATACCGCTTATCCGCTCACCTGCTCCTCGACGCACTCACTCACTCGACCGCTCACTCACTTCTTCACCCACTTATTGACCCATTTGCTTTGCCACCCGCTCACTCAACCGTTATTGAATCGCTTGCCTTACCACACACCCACTCACTCGCTTTCTCACTCACTCACTCACCCGTTCACTCTCTCACTCACCTGTTCACCCACTTAGTGACTCGCCTTATCCACCCAGTCAATCGCTCACTCACCAGCTCACTATCTTCGCCACCCACTCACCGAACTCACGCACGCACTCGCCCACTCACTCAACTCACTCACCGACTCTGCCCGGACTCCCTCTCGTAGGGAGGTGCGCTCTGCTGATATAACGTGCCTCCCCCCCGCACCCCGCCCGCTTCCCAAACTACGTGGGCCGATAACGGAGGATAATCATTAACGAGCGATCAAACATTTGCTCGTCTCTTTCCCTCCCGGTTAGGGGGGCCATGTGGCATTTTAAATATACCTGTTGAGCTCAGCCCTGCCTGCCGTTGAGCCCTCGTTGGCCACAGCCACCAGCCAACGAGACGATGCTCGTTCTGGCTCGAACTTGAGCCGGTGCTGTAGAAGGGTTGAATTTTTGAACGACGTTTGAAGTTTAGAGCTTGAGACTGCGCCGCGTGCGCTTTGCTGCTCCATCTTTACAGGGTACCGGTCTTTTTGACACCGAGCCCTTTGGCAGCGCTAGCCAGAGTCAACTTCACCGGGCAGTGCTAGCCCAAGTCATCGTCACCAGGCAGTGCTAGCCCCAGTGAACATGACTGGGCAGCGCTAACCTGTGTCAACTTCACCGGGCAGTGCTAGCCCGTGTCAACTTCACCGGGCAGTGCTAGCCCGAGTCAACTTCACCGGGCAGTGCTAGCCCAAGTCAACTTCACCGGGCAGTGCTAGCCCAAGTCAACTTCACCGGGCAGTGCTAACCCGAGTCAACTTCACCGGGCAGTGCTAGCCCGAGTCAACTTCACCGGGCAGTGCTAGCCCATGTCAACTTCACCGGGCAGTGCTAGCCCGTGTCAACTTCACCGGGCAGTGCTAGCCCGTGTCAACTTCACCGGGCAGTGTTAGCCCGTGTCAACTTCACCGGGCAGTGCTAGCCCGAGTGAACTTCACCGGGCAGTGCTAGCCCGAGTGAACATCACCGGGCAGTGCTAGCCCGTGTCAACTTCACCGGGCAGTGCTAGCCCGAGTGAACATCACCGGGCAGTGCCAGCCCGTGTCAACTTCACCGGGCAGTGCTAGCCCGTGTCAACTTGACCGGGCAGTGCCAGCCCGTGTCAACTTCACCGGGCAGTGCTAGCCTGTGTCAACTTCACCGGGCAGTGCTAGCCCGAGTTAACTTCACCGGGCAGTGCCAGCCCGTGTCAACTTCACCGGGCAGTGCTAGCCCGTGTCAACTTCACCGGGCAGTGCTAGCCCGAGTCACCGTCATCGGGCAGTGCTAGCCCGAGTCACCGTCACCGGGCAGTGCTAGCCCCAGTGAACTTCACCGAAAGCGTTAGGTCCTCCTCCTCCTCTCCAGCAGCCTTAAGCTTGCCGTTCTGTCTCTTCGCCGTCGCACAAAATAACTCTCCCCAACGCTGCTACATGTAATGCACAACAATGGCACAGATACGACTTTAATAGCCTCTTCAAAAGACTTGCCGTGCCGTAGCTGGAGACTGTAAAGAGCTTTCAGGAGTTCATAATTACTTTAGCTCGGTTGATGTTTGCTCAAGATGTGTCACGGATGAAACCTGTCAAGAACCCATTGTACTCGCAACCTCTCCGCCCTTGCTATGCTCTGTAAACTGCAACGGCCCAGTACAGTTTCCACTGGGGGACCTCTGTTTGCCTGGTCAATGTGACCGTCCCGGCCGCTCGGTGCTCACAACCTTGCCCCGCGTGCAGTGGTGCCTGCGGTGGTCGCGTGTAATTTTCATGCGTCCGTTCGTGTGCGTGCGTGCGTGCATGCGTTCGCACCGCTCCGTCCAGGCACACGGTGGAGCACGTGTGCGCGCTCGTGGAGGAGCACGGCAGCGACTGCTGGTGGAGCCTGCCCCTCGAGGAGCTGCTGCCCAAGTCCGTCCGGGAGAAGGTGGGACGTGTGGCACGCTCCGCCGTCACCTCCCCACCGCCACCACTGCCACCACTGCCACCACCGCCACCTTTCACCCCGTAACCCCCGGGCGTCCAGCTCCACCTTGGCATCCATCCCGTGCAGTGTCGCCCACGCTATGGCACGCGGCCGGAAACGCGACGGTGCGCGAGTGCGGTGCCGTCGCCGGGCATTTGCATAAAAACCCGGCAGTTTGTTCCCGTCGGGCGACGTTCCGCAATAGCCGCCGAGACCGGATCGGGCATCGGAGGTTGCCTCGCCCGGGAGGCAAGTAGCCACGCCTCGACTCCCCCGCCGCTTGCCGGCATGGGAGCGGAGCAGGTGGTGAACACGCTCCTATAGCGCTCGCTCTCCCACGGCCTTGATCGCGTGGCACTGAAAACTTGCGGGCAGCTTCAGCTCCCTCCCGTGTAGAATAACATCCATCGCGGATACATTAGTATCAATTACAGGCAGGTTAGTGTCTGTGACAGGTAGATTAGTAGTCGTCACGGGTAGGCTAAGATTCCTCCGGGGTAGCGGAACGTGCGATTACAGCTGTTGTCTGTTCATCAAGGGAGGCCGGACCGGTTTTGATGAATTACTGACCCATTTGAACCATATCACACATTTATAAACTGCTCCCAAAGATCACTTACGGTTGAATGATGATCAATTGAACAGGCCAATCAGCCACAAGAGCAGGCCTGCTCGATCTGTGCTGTGTGCGTAGCATGTTGTGCTGTCTGGTGCAGTGTCTATTTATGTGGTGTGTTCTGAGGTGTGTAAGTGTACAATAATGTGTGGCATATGGTGTTGTATAAAGTTCGGTGCACAATGTTGTCAGGTGTGGTGTGAGGTATGTGTGTGCGTTGTGCGGGTGTGTATGACGTCGTGTATGACGTCGTGTATGTTGCGTGGTACGTGGTGTCGCGTGTGCTGTGCGTATGTGTACAGTACACGACGTGGCGTGTAGTAGTGCGGTGTGGTTTCTGTGTAATGTCTGCGTGCGTGTTTGGTATATGTACGGTGTGGGGGAGAGAGCGCTGCGCTACGAACCTAGCGACCGGAGTTCGATTCACGCTCACAGTCAAGACCAGTGACGATTATCTGAACCGGTCCTGGGCCTCCCCTAGGACGACTTGGCCTCAAATGAGTAACCTGGGGCAGTGGTGAACAACGCCACCAGGGAGACAGCTGGGCATAATGCTGGCCACCTACCTCATTGTACTATTTGCCCGCCTTGATAGGTGCTCACTAACAGAATTTACCCCAACAGTCTGTTGAGCCCATATACACGGGGGGGGGGGGATCTCTCTCTATGCACGTGTACAATACGCGGTGTTTGCCGTGGCGGTGTGTGTGGTGTCTCAGAGCGGAGTGAAGGGCGACGTCGAATTCGTCAGGGGCGATGACATCATGGACATTTGGTTCGACAGCGGCACCTCCTGGGCCTCGGTCCTCGAAGGTGACACTTCCGGGTTGGGGTCAGGACACCGGCTTGCCGCCGTAGCACGGGAACGAGACGTCACGCTACGGGTGGGGGGTGGGGAGGGGGGCATGGTACGTTTGCCCGAAGCGGGAGGGTTCCTTTCCACGATGTAATGCTCTTGACGATTGCAGTTTTAGTTTTCTGAATATTCCCAACGTCTTCAGATCTCAGCATGCCCCAATCTGGGTGATTATTTAGATAGGTATACTACGTGTTGTCGGCTTGGGTTTTTAAAGTGGCCGGGGAGTGGCTTCTTGAACGCATCGGTGTGGAGGTCTCTGAGTGTTACCCCGTTGTACGCGTGGTGGGTTTTCTGCAGGTACTTTGGGTTCCTCCCACATGCCAAACGCTGAATGGAATTGGCCGAACATCCCAACACAGCACCTATCTGAAAAGAGTCTTGGGAGTTAGTGAGGGTTATCCTGGATTAAAAAAGGGCATTTTAAGCGTCGTAATTTAGCGGCGAGGTTTGTTTCGTACATTCATTAAAAATACAACGTATGTTGCATGAAGCCTTTTGTTAACGAGAGTATAATGCAGCCTATTCCGTAAAAAAAAAACCCACCCAAAGTTGGACTTTTACACTTTTGTCATTTACAGTGTTCACGGCAACATGCCGAGCACATCGCTGTAAAGTGCTATAAAACCCACGGTCTCGTGGAGGCCTCGCGGACACGTCCGTCGATGGGTTTTTAAAGTCGTGGTGCCCGCGCAGCGTCTGCCTCCATGTGAGCTGGCGCATGGCAAACTCCCTCTTCAATTCCTCTTGCGCCACAGTCATCCTAGCCTGATGCCACTATGGCCATAGGTCTCTGACCCACAGGTGCCAGGGGTCACGGGTGTTGTCAGCAGCAGAGTGCGGCCCCGCAGGACAGTGGCTCGTGCTTGCGGAGTAAAGGTTGCGGGACTTTAGAGCCGTGGTTAGTGCGTGGCGGTGGCGCACCTTCGCTTGCTTGAGATGGCTTTCCTGAAGTCGTAAAGGTCGGCGTTATATAAGCGTGACTGATTGTGAAACCTGTCTCTCCTTATCTGCCGAGCAAAGGACGAATTTCAGGTAAGGTGAAGTCGTACGGTGTACAGTCTTTAAAATGTAAGGTTAAAGTTCCCCTGTAGTTACAAATGGTTTACGTAAATGATGCACACTCATTCTTTGATCATATAACTAATCTTATTGCTATATTCAGCCGCAGTCGTAAAGTTGTGAGGCTATATCTCGGCACAGCCGTCCCTTGGGTACGGTGAATCGGGGCGACTGCTTTGGGGGCCCCATGCTTGGACCTCACGGTGTCAGATGTCATCATTCCAATTTAGTTTGAAGGTATCAGGGGGGCCCCACACCGTGTGTGGGATTGGTCCCCATGCCCCCCCCCCCCCGCCCCCCATGGACTGCGGCCCTGTATCACGGCTTCTAAACCCATCTTTGTCCGTCCATGACCGTTAAATGAAGTCGCACCACTTATCTATTCATCCTAGATTGTTGTTCATCATCCTTTGGAGAGATTGGTCCTCACCATATGAATGTAGATTTGTTTTCACCGACACTGTTCACTTTGACAGACCCTCAATGATTCCACTACCTTGCGATCTGATATCACAATTTTGAGGGTCATGGTTTGATTAATAAGTCAGACTGACTACCCTTCGAATATACATTTTTATTTCCTTAAATATTTATCTTTGCAAATGTGATTGTTCCATCTCAAGGGATTAGCCAAGGTGTCCAGGGTGCCAAGTAGCAGATACCGAATGACACGAACATATACAAACGTGTGAACGTACACGATAATTTCAGCCTACTGTTTCCATACAGTGTCTTAAGATGCGGTCGCATTTAGACGCTAAGTATGTCCTCGTCGCTCTGTGACGGTATTAAACGCGTTTGCCTTAGCGGGTTACGGATACCAGGGTGGGAAGAAGGGCAATTTGAGCAACAGCTGGTGACGAAGTCTGTGCGCGCAGTCGTGTAGTTTGAGCGGTGCGCGGCGACACGCGGCACCGCGGGCCCGTCGGTGACGGTGAGCGCGGGGCGCTCGCCCCGTGTTTGGCGCGCAGACGTGGACCAGCGGGCGGACCTGTACCTCGAAGGCAAGGACCAGCTCGGCGGCTGGTTCTACTCCTCGCTGCTGACCAGCGTGGCCGTCAAGAAGAAGGCTCCCTACAAGTGCGTGTGGCGCCGCGGCGCGAGGTGGCGCCGCTACGAACAAAAACGAGCAGCCAATCGGTGTCCCCCGATTCCGTCCCTGACCCTAACGTTTTCGACCTCTCGGTTTTATGTTTTCTTGACATTTGGTAGCGGCACACCCCGTCGACACGCCCAGTCACACGCCAACTCACGTGCCGCAGGGGCTCCGTGTGGCGTGATAACCGCAACCTCGGTGAGGTTTTAGTGGATAAACAAAGGATTATTAAACATTTTAGCATGTCATATTGTAATAAAGCATTGATTATGGTTTAACACGTAGGCTTTCGCGATCAATATGATCCATAATAGAGGTTTTTGGGTTAGATTATGGTTTTAGATTTGAAGCTTTCGTGACTGCAAGGATTCATATTCTTAGGTTTTTTCCGGTAAAGTCACGTAGGTAGCTGTATACAGCTATCGTGCTGTGACAGTTCCACCTGAAGACGGAGGCTTGTGTTGCCTCCGAAACGTCGTGATTTTTATTTTATTTTTACTTTACTTTTATTAATTTAAATTTTTTTACCTACGTGACTTTACCGAAAAAACCTAAGAATATTAGATTATGGTGTTGTAGAATATGAGATAAAAGGGATTAGCCTCTTCAAGATGTGATGTCTACACAAGCGCCGAATTACATACAACGATGAGCTCTGTGTGAACTGCTGTGCCACGTATTCTGCTGTGCTGCTGTCACGCCAGGTGGCGCAGCAGTCAGGACGCTTGACTCGCGAGTGAAGGTTGCTCATTGAAATTCCCAATCATCTGTCCCCCGGTCGATAAAACTACAACTACTTTGTGTGGGAAGCCAGCGGTGGTTGTCCTAAGGAGAGGCTTGCCCACAACATGGAAATGTGTAATTTTTCACCAATGGCTCAGGGGGGGTCACCGCTGTAATTGACCACGACCACGTTGCACCGTTGTGAGGGAGCGGCAATGCGGTCGTATAGGGCACCGCACCTTGAATGCGGCAACTCGAGTTGTGATCCCCGCTCGCAGCCACCCTTGAAGCCGGAAGACGCTGCGACTGACGGCATTACGGTAGCGCGTGTTGAACGACAGGGCGGGCATGCACCACAATACCTCGGTGGTCTCGTCAGGGATCATAAGCCATCGTCGCGCGAACTCCGGTGGTCATCCTCGCAGCGGCTTTTGGCTAGCCATCGAACTAAGACGGGTCACCGCATCACGTGCTTTCAGATGAGCTGCAGCCGTCTGGAACAATCTTCCGATATTAGGAAACCATTGGAGCTATGCTCTTGAACTCTAAATTGAAAACTAATTTCTTTCGAACTTATTTTTGTGTTTAGTTTGTTGCCCTTCCCCCGCACCTCCGATTAGCACAGTTGGCTTCGTACGGTGCGAAAGAAGTTCAACATACGTACACGCATACATACGTGTGCCACGTGCTTGACGCTCGCTCCGTTGCCTTGCACCAGGGCTCTGCTCGTGCACGGTTTCGCCGTCGGCGAGAGCGGCAAGAAGATGTCCAAGTCCCTGGGCAACGTCGTGGACCCCGACGTGGTCATCAACGGCGGCAAGGTGCGCGACGCCCCACACAGGCCACGACGGGCCACAGACCGCTCGACATAGAGACATCATTAACTGACTAAACAAACACCAAAATTAAAACGACATTGGTCAAAGAAACCACGACGGACCCACGTGCGCGCGAAATTGGGCACGACGGCCAGCAGAGGCCGAGAAGCGACGACGTCCAAAGTGGGATGAGAAGGCCGGTCCAGTCCAACAATCCACCACACGGTCACCCAGACCCTCTCGCCATCTCGCAGGCAGGCTCTGAGACACCGCACAAATCGATTAATTTTTGTCAAAAATCGAGGCACATGGAAGCCCTTCCCCCCCCCTCTCATGAGTTCACCCGAGACGTGCGTGATCGTGCGCTTGGTGCAGCGCACCACGTGGTAAACCCGCGATGACGCCGGGTGCCGCGTGTGTCCAGGACCTGGCGACGGAGCCCCCGTACGGAGTAGACGTCCTGCGCTGGTGGGTGGCCGAGTCCAACGTATTTGCGGAGGTGGCCATCGGCCCCAAGATCCTCAGCGCTGCCCAGGAGAGCATCGCCAAGGTGTCTCAAATGCTCGCTCGCTCGTCCGCCTGCCTACATACTCAAAACGTCCACGTTCTTACTGACTCGCTCACTCATTCACTCACGAACCCACATGCTTGCTTAATCACCTGCTTTGCCTCTCAACTGACTCGGCTGCTTACCTGTGCAATCGCTCTCGCATGCTTGACCATACACTCGCTAACCTGCTCATCTATTTACGTCTGCTCATCTGGTTACTCGTCTGCCCATCCACTGCGTGCCCACCTGCTCGCTTGCACTCTTACCCACACTTGCTCGCTGTGTTTAAGGAACCGCGACACGCCCAGAATAGATGGACACATACGTGACACTGTTCGACAGAAGAAAAGGTTTGCAGTCTCATCTGTTCATCCTTTGTTATTACATCTGGTGAGGGTTCCAGAATACTGCAGAGCGTTGATTCCCCAACCCTTTCGGGACCCGTGGACCACCATGCACTAAACGATTCGGTGTATCGTGAAAAGAAAAAATTATAGCTCCAACAATTCCACGGAACCACGGGTTTGGGAACCACTGCACTGAAATGAACCGGCAATTCGTAGCTGACGCACGCATTAACCGTTACTTCGCGTGCGTGCGTGAGCGCGGCTAAAGATCCGCAACACGGTGCGCTTCATGCTGGGGAATCTTCACGACTTCGACACGGAGGAGCACGCCGTGCAGGCCAAGGACATGCTGCTGCTCGACCAGTTCGTGTTGCACCGCCTCGAGGATTTCTCCACCAAGGTGAGCCGAGTGGAGCCCTCTGGCCCTTGGTCCCCTGCGGGTTCGCGGCATCGCCTGGCGTCTCCAGAGCCACTCCGGGCGATGAGACGCAGCGTAGATTCTTGACCTTTCAGGAGATCCGGTCCCCATCTATCACCTCGCTACCTCTCCCACGTGTATTCCCAGGGCCCGAGGTGACGATGCCTCGGCCTTGTACCAACCGCATGTCCTCGTGACCCTGTGCGGTGTTTAATATTCCGTTAACGAGGCCTCGGGACAATACCCCGCATGTTTTTTTCACCCTTATTTTCCGTTTCCACTTCTGGTCTGACTCCAAATCTTTTCTTAATTTTGAATCGGAGAAAGTTTGAGGGTTACGTTAATGTTTGAAAGAGACGCAAATAAAGTGGAGGTTAAACGGTGGTGTGTTGTGTCGACGTTGCTTGTGTATTTTGTCCCATAAAGAAAAAAGCTATTTTTAAAGGCTGGTCGCGGGCCTCCTCCGTAGGTGACGGAGGCCTATGAATTGTACGACTACAGTCGAGCGACGCGAATCATCATGGCCTTCCTCATCAACGACCTCTCCAGCTTCTACTTCAGCATCATCAAGGACAGGTGGGCACGCGCGAGCGCGCCACCTCGGAGCCAAACGGCTCCGCGGGCCCACGTCGCGCGTACGCAACATCTACACCGACGTCCGTCGCTCGAAATGATGTGAAATTATATTTTAATGTTTTATTTTGAGACAATAAAGTGTCCTTAGTGAATGGGGCACTAATGGGTGTCCATAGGCATCAAACTGCCTGTGTATATTTCCTCTTTTGTCCACTTGTGTGACCGCATGTTTCCATGTGTCCCAACGTGTGTCCCGACATGTCTGCGTGCCCTCACGTGTCTCCCTGTGTCCCTTCGTGTCCCCATATGTCCCTTGATCTTCATATTCTCATATATCCTGGTGTCCTCACGTCTCTCATCGTGCGCCCGTGTTTCTCCGCACGTTACTGCATGTCCCTGCGTGCCCCCTCGATTCTGGGCATGCCCGTGCGATCCTTTGCATCCCCATGTCCACTGCCGCATCCCTGGTTGTCCCCGCTTGTGCGCACAGGCTTTACTGCGAGGAGAAGCAGGGGCACAAGCGGCGGTCTTGTCAGACGGTGATGCACACGGCCCTGGAAGCCGTCAATCGGGCCCTGGCGCCTATCCTGCCTCACCTCGCTGAGGAAATCTTCCAGCAGCGGCACAAGGGGAAGGATGAAGGTGCGCACACGCGCGAATCGTGGCGACTGGTCACGTTTGCGCCCGTCTCGAACCCCGGCAGCGAAAATAAAGCACCGCACTGCGCGATAACGACAAATGAGTACGCGTGGTGCCCGTAACTTAACGCAACGTCTCGGAGCGCAGCGTTCTAGCCTTGTGGGTGTTGACCCCCCTTTTGTTGATAACGACGATGGCGGTGATTTGGGTGGGGGTGGTGGGTGTCGCTTTTGCCACCGCAGACGCAGACGTGGAGAGCGTGTTCCGCTCGGGCTGGGTGGAGGCGAGCGCCGGGTGGAGGAAGCCCGGCGTCGTGGAGGCCATGGAGATGGCCTGCAAGATCCGCGACACCTTCCTGGGCTCCGTCGCGGGGAACAACGCCGCCGAGTACGACACCATCATCGCCGTGGAGCCGGGCCTCCTGTTTGAGCTCCTCGAGGTGAAACAAATGAATGGGCGGCCGGCAACTTGAACAACGCCGAGCGGTCCCCGCCGAGTAACACGGCCGTTGATTACCTCGTGGTACCGGAAGGTCGCGGGGTCGAGGGTGTAGCGCGTTTAGCACGGGCCGCCCTGCTGCAAGGCATGAAATGGGGCCCCCTATCCAATTTGCCCCATGGGCGCCAGTGCAATTGCACCGCCTGCACACTTGAGAGAATGCATGTCACCACCACGTAGGAAGTCGGCTGTGTTTGTCGCGTAGACACTGACCACTGCCACAGAAATGTGTAACTTTCACGACTGCTGGCAGAATGAAGTGCCAATTTGACACTTTTCAACCTGTTTGGAACTATGGCCATCACAAAGATTTGGATACATGCCCCGAGGTTTCGGCAAATGTGACATGGCCTCCTCTCCGTGCCCCCCTCCGTCCCCCCCACCTCCATGTGCAGTTGCTACAGACGGAGGAGGTTTCAAGCACCTCGCAACTCAGCGAGCTCATGATGTCATCACGGACGACGCTGGTCACCAGCCTGCTGGGATCGCTGCCCCTCGGAGCGACGGAGCTCCAGGGAGTTTGCCACATCGACCTCCCAGGTAGACCTCCCACACGCACCCGTGTCAAACTCTCGGTCACACGCACACACTCGTTGTCACACGCACACACTCGTTGTCACACACAAAGCAAAGACGAGATAGATGTCTCCCATATAGACTTGACAGACTTTAGGAACAAGTACTGTTAGCAAGCACACACGGGGGTGGGTGGCAAGCACCATGCCCGGCTGCCTTTGTCTCCCCAGTGGTAATGTTGACACACCGAAGCAAGTACCTGCTTCGGGAAGGCCCAGGACCTGTTTATAAAATCCTTATTGGTGTTGGGTGTTAGCGGGAATCGAACCCAGATCGTAGCGGAGCGCTCTGACCGATGCGCCACCGCTCCCCACACACAATACCTGCCTTGAGGTGGCTTGGGAGGCTCGCGGAGTTAACGTGCGCGTCGGAAGGCTGAGCCATCACCACTTAAATCCAGGTTTACATCTGGCATTCAACTGGGTTCTCTTCCCTTGAAAGAGAAATAATCGTCGCGGCCCAGTCGCCAGTGACCTCATGAGCCAGAATAAACCAGAAACACAACAAATGACGTGTCACGATTCACCTCCACCAGCAGTTTAGCAGATTGTCTTTCAGACAGCTCTGTCTTCACCTGAGGACGGCTGCTTGTGTTGTGGCCGAAACGTCGTGATAATTTTATTGTTTAATTTATTTTATTTTATTATTTCCCTTCTACGTGACTTTACCGAAAGAACCAAGAAGATGAATCCCTGCTTTCACGAAAGCTTTAAATCGAAAGATTGTAACAAGTATATCATTATTGTTTCTTTATTTTACATCGTGCTGAATATTGTAGCTGCTTATGATTGCAGGGGTCACGTGATGAAACCACTGCATACGACACATACATCTTCCCCACGCAATTTGATGCGATCATCCTGAGCCTCCTAAGCCAGGAAACTTCACCGAATCGTGGTGCTTGGGGGGAGTGGGTGGGGTTGAGTGATGACATGTGGAGTCCGTGACGTTTTTTGTGAGCAGCTCTACGCCGGTTTTGTGTCGTTCCCCCCCCCCCCTCGCAGAAGTCGGCATCAGCGAGCACCAGTCCTTCAAGCTCGCGGTGCTGCCGGCGAGCGGTGTCAAGTGCCCGCGCTGCCGCAAGTTCACGTCGACCTCCGAGGACAGCCCCTGCAACCGCTGCACCAAGGTTCTGCAGGAGTTGAAGGCCGTCTGAGGGCTGCCGTCGCCACCCTCACTTGCCCCGTCCATCCCTCTCCCCGCGCGCCTGCCATCGACGTCATAGCCCAGGTCGCACCTCCCGCGTCCGCCGCGGAGGCAACGTCGGCTTCGTGGGACAAAATCTCCGTTGAGGGACGCTGCCTCGAGTTAATTTTAACTTGCTCAAAACCGGCCACCATCTGGGTGGGGGGGGGGGGAATGGGGGACACCGCTACAGAGGCACGCGATAGTGGCCGCTCCCGTGGTGGAACTGCTAGTGGGCGGAGTTTCCTCAACTGCAGTCGCGCGCGCTCACCGATGCCCCGCATCACCAAGCACTTGAGGACGTGGAGCCAGATTAGCATGCCCAGTCCTGCAAACGCCAATTTGAAACTTTCATGGACTGGATTGGAGATTTCCCTCATGGCTTGGCGGCCCTCCAGCTGTATCACTACATGCTCCGTCTGGCAGTGGTTTGTTTCGAATGCAACACACTGCATGTACCAAAGCTATTACTGTAAAGGTAAGTGGTATGGATTGCTGAGAGGTTCGTTAACGTTGGCTTGCAAGGTAATGTAACCATTGTATATACTTCACTGTGGATTTTCGGTTTCAGTTAAGTGTGATGTGTTCTGCTCTATTTGTTAACACCTGTTCACCTTGTTGGGTCAACACGTGCCCTAAATGGAATGTGCAAAGAGCTGAGCAATAAAATATTACGAGAATGAAATTAAAAGCCGTTTTATTTGACGGAGGTACACATAATGCACTGTCATACAGGGTTCCTAAGTAATTTACACAACTTTACACAGAGGTCACCGTGGCTCGGTTACATTTCCAGGGCAATATCACAAGTTCGACGCTGGGCTCCGCTTCCCCGTTAACGCTCAAGCCACACCGAGAATGCATCCATAGCGTCAATCGAGCCACCTTTATTTTTTACTCGCCTCTTAAGTATGTGTTGCATTAATATTAGTGTGTGGATAACTACGACATAGATACAAGACATGATAGCACTGTTTCACTTGACTCCGAACACTGAATATCGAGCACATTGTTATCAAATAAAACGATCAAGTTCCTTTTGGGGGAGAAATACAATTAAGTGTTTGGAAATGGCTTGACGTCTGCTTAAGGGCGTTAGGATTCATGTAAACATTTAATTGCATTTGTCAAATATCGCTCCGGGTGTTTCATGCTGGACACCGTTGTGTGACCTAACGTGTCGGTCGCACGTGTGGACGTGTGCCCCGGACACAACTCTGCTGCTTTGTACATACAGAGTGAAATCCTGTATCGCCACGTGCGACACTTCAAGATACATTTTATTTTTTGTTATAATTGCCTCCATCCAAAAGTACCGGAGTGGTGTGGACACGGGCTTCATTTAAACTTTCCAGCACATCGTTGAACCAAGACCAAGAATGCGCCTCACTTTCATGCCTGCCAGCACCATCTAGCATGCGCGTTAAGCACACGTACAAATAAATTTTTCCCGCCGCAAATAGCTTGGCACACAACTCGTTAAACTCGTCAAAGCAACGAAACACTTCACGTCACAACATCTGCATTCCGCCCGGCCACTTGCACGAGTTCCTGCGCGCACGACCGTGTTGCAACATCTAACCGTGCCCGTGTGGCGGGTTGTGCGAGCGTGCCTCCTGTTGTTAGTCGTGGCCCTGGTTGCAAACTTCAGCACGCTCGCGTCAAATCAACGGAAGCAGTGGTACTTCGTGAGCAAAGGCCACAGCGACTCCCCACAAGCTGAGAGGTTAATTTTGCTATTGTCCCCATTGAGCTGTGTACCTGAAGCGGTCATGGGGTAGAGTCGAGCCAAGGACGCTGGGGGGGCAAGGCCCAGCAGAGGTGGGTAAAGGTGCCTGCATCGCACGCTTTCAGATATGCTTCTGCGGCCGTCTGAAACCCTCTTCCCTCCGATATTCGGAAAGCCACTGGAGCTATGCAATTTTAAATCTAGATTGGAAACTAATTACTTTAGAACTACTACTTATGTTTAGGTTGTTGTCCTTCCCCCGCACCTCCACTACGTACCGTGCGAAAGAAGTTCAACATACATACATACACTTGCCTGTACAAAATATGCTTGCGTTCCTGTTTACTTTTGAGGCACGTTCGAATGCAGTGTCAGAAAATGAACTGAAAGCTGTGAAAAAAATGAGTTTCAGCAGCATCTGCTGCCTTGTCATAAGGGCGCAAGGCCGTGCATCGCCAGGCTCTGCTGCCGTGTGAGCCCCTCGCCGATGCCACTGTTGACTCAACTAAAGTCTTGCTTGGTGTGCGAGCAAATGCACACTCCTGCAGTTTCCTCTCCTGAAGGTCACGACACACTCGGGACATTTTGGGGAAGTCGTCATCAGCAACCGTCACAAGCAACAGTGGCAGCACTACTTGCTATCGGGCAAACCTGATTGGTACTCCCTCTCGTGGCCAACTGGAAATACAACTTCTGACCAGCTCAAAGGTCGAGGTTACATGCCTACCTGGGGTTGCGTACTCTGTAGATGGACAATGTTCATCAAACACACTTCAAAACAAATTTTGCTTTAATTGCTAGACAGAACTAGATGCCATTTCCCATACCAAATTCGCCACAGTTTAAAGTAAATCTGTTGCCAGTGAACATTCCCAGCACCGATTTCGATCAAATTGCCCAGCGTGAGTCGTGGCCTTAACGGGAAATGTGCAGTAGCCGCAAACCGCTTCTAATGAACAGCGAGATGATTCCCGTGACAGGGTAGTGCTGCGGCCGTCAAGTGGACCATGGCTTGTGTGTATGTGTAGCCCTCTTGGTTGCGCCGCTAGTACTGCCCTCGTGCGTCGGGGGCCGCCCGTGCCCGTCACCGGGAGAGGGCGTGCACGGACTCCACCAGCTGCAGCGCGAGGTTGTACTGCCCGTGGCGCTCGGGCAGCAGGTCCAGCACGTGCGTCACCAGCCGCGCCGTCGCCTCGATCGGCACGCTCGTGCAACGCAGCTCGCTCGGGTCCTGCGGGCGGGCGGGCGAGTGAGTGAGGAGCGACGAGGCAAGAGGGTGGATGAGCGAGTGGGTGGGTTAGTGAGAAGGAAAATGAAATTGTAGGTGAACGGGCAAATGGACATATGGGCGAGTTGGTGGGTGAGTGAGCAGGCGGCTTATTGAGCGAGCGAGCAAGTTCGCGAGTGAGGTTAGTGGATGAGCAGGTGTGGGAGTGAGTGGGCAAGTTGGCGAGCGAACCCGTGGACCTGCGAGAGATTGGGGAGGAACGGCAATATGTGTGTGTGTGTGTGTGCGAGTGGGTGGCCGTGCAGATGCCCAGCGGGCGGGTGTGTCTCACCATGGCCTTGAGCCAGGTGCAGAGCGTGGGCGGGAGTCGGGACAGCAGCTCCATGCCGTCCTTGGTCTGCGTGTGCAGCAGCGCGTAGGCCAGCCGCTGCCCGGCCAGCATGAGCAGCTGGGAGGCGAACACCTCGTGGTCGCTCACCGCCAGGCATGCCTGTCGCCACACGAGCGAGGATGTGAGAATGAGCTCCAGCACGGAGGAGTGTTTACAAGGGGTGCTTCAGGTGTCTGTGTAGGCCACGGAGGTGCACCTGATTGGCCGTCGTACAGCGCAATGGTGCAGTCAATAACACCACATTATGCCGTGCAAAGGTAACATGCTAACAATTTGAGCAATAGGCCGTTTGTACAGAAGGCCATTGACCAATAGGTGCGATTCCTACTAAAATAACTTCATTTCACACGCCGGGCATTTTTATTTAAGTGGTGACCTTGCAAGGTTCAAAGAAAAAACAGTCAACTGTAATCACAGGTACTATTTTGCAACAAATTAATAATACTCCGTGTGGGTGAAACTAGATACAAATAAACCTTACAGCTCGCGCAAGGAGCTGTGAACGCACACACACACCCTGTGTTGATAGAACCGCGGTGGCCAACTGGCATCTCCACCACATGTGGCTTTTTAATCCACCACATGCGGATCTATCGAAGGAGCGTAACGTCGAACGTACTATCACAGTAGCAAAGAATAATGTGTCCCGTGCTGTGCAGGAAACTCAATAAATTCACAAACTTGCTTCTCTGCAGAACTCGGGGTACTTTGTGGCGAGTGGTCTGTTATAGGTTGGCCACCGCTGTATTAGTGTAATATGTACTCGGCCTGTATGTCTTCATATGGGGCTACGATGTCACATCTGCACCAGGCGAGGTGCCCCAGCCGATGGCCCGTGTGCGCGTTCGTTCATACGCACCGCCGATTAGCATGGCTGGCTACGTACGGTGTGAAAGGCCGATCACGACCGGCGTGCATTCACGTTCAACGTTTTTGGGTTTAGATCGCGTTATTTATAAATGTGTCATAACCCTCCACCACCCGACACGGCCAAATCAGTAAAAAAGTGTCACGTTGACAAAAGACAAATAGTTAACTGCTTTAGCCCACTGGTGTGTTGAAGCGTGAAACCACAACATTTACAATTTGAGTACGACGTTTCGCTGGTAATTGCATCCAGCATCATCGAGCAATTCGCTGGTAATTGCATCCAGCATCATCGGGCTAAAGCAGTGAACTATTTGTCTTTTGTCAACGTGACACTTTTTTACTGATTGGCCGTGTCGGGTGGTGGAGGGTTACGGCACATTTATAAATAACGCGATCTAAACCCAAAAACGTTGATTATGAATAATATTGGTCGCGAAAGCCTACTTGTTAAACTGTGCATTCACGTGTCCGGCGTGTTCGTGCGCGGGTGTTCGCGAGCGCGACCGCGGCGCTACCTCCTCGGCGAGCGGGTCCAGGCCGGCGCTGTACAGCTCGCAGGCGTAGTGGCGCTTCACCACGTCCTCGTTCACCTGCAGGTGCAGCGCCATCTCCACAGCCAGCGCCGGCCACTGACCCGGCAGATCTTGAGCGCGGGCGCCGAGTGCCACACGGACTGCACCATCCTCACCCGACGGTCCGGACGCCCCTCCGAGCCTCGGTGTCGCCATCGCTGAAACTACGCCCGACGTCAGCTTCAGCAGGAACTTGCGGGGGGTGGCGGAGAGGGGCGGGAAGGGGCGGTTTGCAGCGGAGGCGCCTGATGAGTTTTTGTTGCTATTCCTTTACGACGTGAGTTCGCTGCAGTGGCCGCAACACTGTCACCATAGTTCTCAATTGTCCCATTAGAATGGCCCATGGGGTTTGTGAAAATCCACTGAGACGGAGGTAGCGGTTGTGACCGTGCCCCTGTGAAATGTTACGACAGGACCACTGTGTGGTGTGTCCTTATAAATGAGTTGCAAGACTATCAAAGGCTGACTAAAACCTAAGGCCAGGCGGTGAGATACAATAAGGGCAGAATGTGGGATGTCGCGTGTCTACTGTGGCAGCTGCGGGCTCTGGCAGAGGGTAGAATGCGTTGGCGATGAGGTGCGGTGGGGGCATCAACGCTTCTAACTACGATGGATTGTTCATGTTGAATCCCAAAAAAACCAAGCTGCTCTTATCTAGCAGCCCCGTACATAGGCTGCATGTCACAGGATGTAACTGTGGCACAATTGACATTATTTGTGAAGTTTTCGCTGCAGTGAAGTTACGAGAACTCGCCTGAGTCACGTGAAACAAAGCCGTGCCAGATAGCTTGGAGCACATGGCCTAGGTACGAAACCCATTAGCAACATCAGCAAGGATGAAGGCTTTAAGCTTGCTCAACTGAAAAAGAGAGATGACATAGTCATCCTCTCAGCCGATAAGGGCAATGCCACTGTCATCATGGATAAAACCACATACAGTAATAAAATTCAGGACCTACTTAATGATGGCAGCTATACCAAAATCAAGAGATCCTACCAACCGTCTGGTTACAAACACCAACAATATGATCACTGATTTTACATTTAATCGAATCAACCAAGCAGAATTCAAGATTTAAGGTAAGATTTGTTTGTTTATTTGGGTTGCATCTTCCTCCGAGCCTCTATTAAGACTTGAGAAGTTTATGGGCACTTACGCCTGATCAAGACTGCCAGTGGGAGGCGTGCTGTCTCGTTAAAAGAGTTTGAGATCCAAAGGCTGAACAGCCGAGAAACGAGTCCTTAGGAAAAATAAACACTTTACCCTTTCTCGTATGATACAGGAGTTGTTGAGATGATAAAACACCAAATAGACACCCATTACAAGGCATCAGTCTGCATTTACCACACATACTTGTGGTAAAACTTTAAACGGATTGGCCGACACCACACTTGATGCCTTGTAATAGGTGCCTATTTGCTGTTTTAACATCTTAACACCTATGAGACCTCCTTTACCAGTAGCAAAATATAGTAGTAGGTTTTTACCCTTTAAACTGGTGCAAAACTGACACCTTTATACAAGGCATCATGTTTGCAATAACCACAACACAAGCAGTCAAAATGCAAACAAAAATAAACAACTCTGATAATGATATGCACTGTCCTTGAAGTTGATTGGTCCACACCCGAGACAGCTTTTCTTAGAGCCTAGTCTCCATTGGTGTTGGGACCAGAAGACGCCAGTTTAAAGGGTAAAAACCTACTACTATATCTTAACACCTCTATTATGGCAGAGAAGGGCAACGCCTTTTTTTCATCATCTTAACACTGGCAAAAGGGTCCCATAGACACGAGTCTTAACGAGACTTAGTCTCGTGACGTTGGGGAGCGCTAGCGCCGGGGCACCTGCTGTCTGACGGAGATGAGGCTCGGGTCCATCTCTCCCGACGGCAGCAGGGGCAGGGACGAGAGGTCTTTGAAGAACGTGTTCCTTCCCTGGGTCACAGCAGACGAATTGACAGCACAGGAGCATCACAAGCCAGAGACGTCGGGCAAACCTGATGTAATTTCACGCAATCGATTATCAGCAGGGCATTGCCGATCATTTTAAAAGGTGTAACATCTTAAACTTTGCGGGGATTCACCAACGTCTTAACATCATCTCCAAAGTGGATATTAAAGACCGTGATATAATTTTCAAGATAAATTCATCGTGAGCTGGTGTTAGCAGCTTACCTGCAGCAGCTTAATTGCTCTGATAGCGACTGTCTATAATCATTCCCGAGGTGTTACAAAAAAAGAAAAGTTATTTCCTACAAGCCTCTTGCTCGTTTAAAGGACGGAAAATCCATGAGTTGTTTTGCCGGCTCTGTCAGAGCAACGCTGCCGTCCACGTGACAAAACGGAGCACGACTAACACCGGCTCCTTGATCCCATCGGGTTGACGGTCATCACGAGTAACAACGATTCGCAACGAATCGTTGTTACGAGTCCCCCATGGCCAGGCATGCGGGCGAGTACAATGCCCCTTACCCTGGCGTCGAACAAGGACAGGGGCTTTGCTCGCAGCGAGAAGCGCAGGGTGGCATGCAGCACGCAGCACAGCAGGTAATGGTGCTGCACTAGCGGGTAGTGCACGGCCGGCTGCTCCAGCGCCAGCTCGGCCAGGCATGCGGGGCCCTCGCTAGCGAGCCATGCCTCCTCCTGCTCCAGGCCAGGCAGCTCCATCTCGTCACGCTCCACGTCGGCCTGCAACGCGCAAAGGTGTGGGCACACGGACGTATGAGCGCACGGACACACGGGACTGGTGCCCGCCCTCGGTTGACGTCGCTGCTGCTGCTCCTACCGCTGCCGACATCTGCAGGTGCGATTCGTAGAGCTGCTCGAGCGACGGTGTCGCCCCTTTGACCTACGCTTTGTAGGTCCACATCCTCGTACTGCTATTGATTAATTCGTCCGTCATTCCACTGACAACCCGAGAACGCAAACGACCACAAGGATACGACAACACACGAAACCAACAAAACATCTTCCCAAAATTACCTGGAGAGCGGGTATAATATGCTCAATGGAGTGATTGGTTGTTTAAGATTTCTCGCTCATTTATTGACTCCCAGGGTCCTTGCTGGCAAAGCCTCAAAGCGAGCTCCCTTTGTATGCCCGACTATCCACAGCAACGCTTTACCGACACAGCCAACGAGGCATGCAGCCGACCACTCAGCCTCCATCTGCACCCACGGGGTTCTCTAGCACAGAGGACCTGCTGCTGCTGCTGCTGGGCAGAGCCAAGCAAAGGGGAAGCAAGCCACACGCCCGTTTGAAAGATGTGAACGGTCAATTTCGCGCGCGCTTGCGTGTGTCAAGTTACCTCCATGATTGTGTGCAGCAGCTGGCTGCAGGAGTCCACGAAGCTGCACAGGCCTTTGTCGCTCATGCCGACGTCCTGCGCCGCACACGCGAGAGTTTGTTTTATCCGAGACGCACCAACAAGGAGAATAAAATATCCATAAAATGCAAAGAGGCAAGATCACAAAATACTCACCCGCCTGCACAACCTTTCCTTTGGGGGTTTCCCGACCTTTTCGACCGAGCAGAAAACAAAACATCACTTGTTAAATGAATGTACCGCTGCCCGTTACGCGCGACACGCGCACACACCACGCGCACACACCACGCGCACACAGCACGCGCACACAGCACGCGCACACACCACGCGCACACACCACGCGCACACACCACGCGCACACACACCACGCGCACACACACCACGCGCACACACCACGCGCACACACCACGCGCATGCGACGCAATGGAATTTAAGTGACGGGTGCGCCTTGTAATGTTACGTTCGCCCCTACCTTCTCCATCAGGAAGGCCACCGCAGACAGCCGCTTGGCAATGAACGTGTTCCACATCATGATGCTGATGCCTGCGTGGGCGCCGAGACCGCCTATCAGTCAACACCGCAGCCCTTGTTCCGACACCTCATCCAATGCCCTCGCCGTATGGGCGTGCAACATCTTTCGAGCAAGGGCCATGCCGTGTTTGGAGCGATGGTCACGCGGAAAACTTGGGGAACGCGACGTCGAATTAGCGGGCGCGACGCCGCGTTCGCGAACAAACGAAGAGCGCCGTAGCCACATCACGGCTTACAGCCCTCCACTGAGTCGCTTGCCGCGTGTCCGGAGCTCGCGAGACAGTCAAAACGACGCCGCACGCCGCTTGCGATCTAAACGCCGTAGGTTGCCACATCCCTGCCTTCGTAGAACGTTTGACCATATTTCGACTTAACTTTTTTTCGATGGATAACGTAGATGCAAGCGCCAGGGGCCGTGTGCAAGAACCCACCGAGTTTGATGTGTGCGTTGCGGATGCTTTTCAGATGCCTGGCAGCCATGGCGAGGAGCTCGCTCTCCTGTCAACAAGCACGAGACACCATTGGAACCTCATTTGCCAGTAAAAATATGATAATTGTTTTTTTACCCTTCTATCTGGCAACAAAACTGACACCTTTTTTTTTGGTCCAACCCATGTGAGACTAGGCTCTGAGGAAAGCTGTCTCGGGTGTGGACCAATCAACTTCAAGGACAGTGCACATTATCAGAGTTATGTTTTTTGTTTGCATTATGACTGCAGGTATTGTGGTCTATGTAAACATGACTCCTTGTAAAAAAGGTGTCAGTTTTGTTGCCAGATAGAAGGGTAAAAAACAAATTAAGAATGAGACAGTGCAGGCAGACGCCGAGTGTGAACCAGCGGACGAGAGAGCAAAGAGTTCCCTCGTCATCATCGTACTCTTCATTTTGGTGAAATTCACCAATCGTCTATGCAAGTGCAAACAATGGAAATTAATACAAACGATTTAAAACAGTGACTCAGCAATGTATATACTCATCATACAATGATACTAATAAGCGAGTATTTAGGATCCATTTGTGTTGTCTGTGGTGATCTCTTCCGGGCACTGTGGTTTATCGTGGTTTTGCCCGATTTAGCATGGCTCAACGTGGATTGGCACGAATTATCCTCACTCGCTGTGGCTTAGCATGGCTTATCATGGCTCGGCATGACTGCATTGATTGGCCTGACTCGGTGCGGTTTGGCGCAGCTTATCCTGGCTTGGCGTGGCTCGGTTTGGCTCCGCTCACCTCAGGATCCTTGTTCCACCGCACCACGTACTCCCAGCAGCAGTGCGCGTGCAGCGCGTCGGCCTCCAGGCTGCAGGGGAAGCGCTCCGATGCCGCTCGCAGCACGGCTTTGTGGAGAGGGCAGGAGCAGCAGTAGGGGTCAGCGCAGGGCTTACAGGTGCAAGGTCAGCGCAGGCGTTTACATAACAAACCCAGCCACGACACAAAACTTGGCTCACGGTGAACAGATAAACCCCACTCACATACCCCACGACTCTCCATGGAAGGGGCATTCTTCTGGTGAGTAATCTACCATGTTTTTGTACACATATTGTGGGTCTTCATGGTATGCATTTATATTTGAGGTACTTTCCTGACCTTATCAGAATAACAAAACTTTCACCCTAAACCTCGCAGACCACTGGTAGAGAACCAACAAGAAGCATGCCCAGGAAGGCATTAACAGAATTCACAAAGATGCAACAAGAGAGACATTGGTGTACAACCGGTTCGCCAGCGTACCCACAATCTGGCTGAGGCTGGCATACGCGCCACTCTGAACGTCACTGCCCGGCGGGTCTGCCCACGCGTCGCCCCCGTCCTCCCGGGTGTCGTCGTCGCCGTCGCCGCTGCCACTGCCGCCACCGTCATCGCCGTCGTCATTGACCCGCGGACGTCGGTGTCGGCACGCCCGGCCCAACGCATCAGGGGGGAGGCCCTGTCGCACCACCCATTTGGCGACGCTGTCGGCCACGGAGCCTGCAGGGGACGACACCCATCAGCTTCTCCCCTCGCCCCATCGTGAGAGGGGGAGTCCCCTAATCCTAACCCATCAAGCCTCTTCCTCCCCCCTGGCAAACCCCCTTACCCTAACTCACACCACTCACAGTGGGAGAGAGAGGGGAGCCCTGGCAAAGAACACGCCTGTCACAGGGATTCATTCACTACAATTTGATGAAACTGCATATAGTTTGAGTGCAAATACATTATCATTTTGACGGTCCTGCATCTTTTTGCACGTGCAATGCCTTCAATGGGAAGTGACTTTGTGCTCGACGTGACGGAGGAGGCCTCCGCGCGGTGCTGACCCTCACCCCGGCCGCCCTCGAGCAGCTTCTTCACGGAGGCGGTGCTGCTCGTCTGGCCCTGGGAGACATCGGCCACCGCCACTGCTCTGTGGTGCGGGTCGAGCCTGCGAGGTCAGAGGGCGTCGCATCAAAATCTTACAAACCACAGCCCGAAGAAAACCCAGCTCCTCGGTAAGGAAAGGGTTCCCCACCCCCGAAACTAGGCCAACCCCGGCCTGTCGTAGCATCTGAAGGGCCGCGCAAGGTCGTGCGGGCAGCAGTCTTACTGGCCGTGCAGGAGCGTGTTGAGGAGCAGGCAGTCCTCCGTCTGTCGCAGCAGGAGGTTCCACTGCTCCATGTCCATGGACAGGGCCTCCCACGAGTCGGTCAGGTCCTTCACGGGGGACTCTGCGTCCGCCTGAAGCAAATCAGAGATCTTGTTCAGTGGCAGCTTCCTTCTCATGCCTGGTGCTAGAGAACGCAATGCACGAGGGTGTCTGCGAGTCGTCATATGCCGAATTATATACAGCCCATTGTCAATCCGCTATGTGCAGTGCACCCCCCCCCCCCCCCCCCATTCTACAGCCAATTTGGTGTCACGATTTGATTCAAGAATAGAATAAATAAATATGTATTAATGTATTGTGCTGCCTTTTGCGGGTGCAGAATACATACGTTGTTGACTGTTACACACGTGACTCCACGTCTGTATTGTGAGCATTACATGTGAATCGATGCAATCCTACATTAAAGTGGTTGGCTAAGTATCGTGCGAAAGAAGTTCAGCATTCATACATACATACATACACACAAACGAGCAGGTGACTGTGTATTTCTCAAGCTGTACATCATCCCTTCTGTTATGACGTGACCCCCATACAGCCATTTCCTGTCATTATTCACCATCCTCGCTGCACGATTGTATTCTTGGTACAATGCAACGCACTATCTAAAATTATACTTACGCTTCAAATATCTGCGTGTCCACTCCCGCCCCTCCCACCATTAGCCCACTCCTCCCCCCACGAGCCCACTCCTCCCCCCATTAGCCCACCCCTCCCCCCACTGGCCCACCCCTCCCCCCACTGGCCCACCCCTCCCCCCACTGGCCCACCCCTCCCCCCACTGGCCCACCCCTCCCCCCCACTAGCCCACCCCTCCCCCCACTGGCCCACCCCTCCCCCCACTAGCCCACCCCTCCCCCCACTAGACCACTCCTCCACCCCACGCTTGCACAGAAAGCTATGTTACGAGTCAGTGCAACAAAGAAAAGTTTAGTTTCTAAACAGAACAGTGCTACGCTCATGAGTACTCCACTGGAGTCGGCTACTTGTTGGGTTAACAACAATATAAATACAGCCTCAAATACTTGACTATCCTTTCATCGACATCATCATCAGCTGTAGTCAATCCACTGTTGGATTAAGACCTTTCCATGCTGCCGCCAGATGAAGGCCTCTCCAAGGGTGCCGTGGTACCTCGCCTGGTACACAGGAGGTCGTGGGTTCGATCCTGTTCCTGACACCTGTGTATTTGGAGTTTGCATGCTCTCCCTGTGCTCGTGTGGATTTTTCTCCGGGTCCTCCGGTTTTTCCCTCCAAATTTAAGACCATTTGTTTAAGAGTGTTTGGCTGATAAAAATTTCCACACGATGATAAGCCGCTTCGTTGAGCTATCATTTGTGGCCAGGTCGCTTCTGAAATTGAGCTCTATAGCTCGATGGGGCCTTACCTAGTAAAATAAAAAATAAATGATAGTTTTTTATATATAGAAAGTTTACAGATGCCGCGACCTGTGACAGCGCTCGATATGGGTTCGATCCGCAAACGGCGGCATGCAACTGTGCGTGTAACGCCGGGCCTCGCCGCGCCATGTCGTGTCGCGCTTCGTACCGCATTGCCGGCGATGGCTTTGGCTGTGTCAATGGCGACGCTCCTCCCAGCAAGCACCGCCAGCAGCGACGCCCCTACCGCCTGGGCGCCCACGCACAGCGCCCGCAGCAACTGCCACCACGGGCTCACCGAGTGCAAGTCCCAGGTCTTGTCGATACCGCCTGCACGGCATGCACACACACGCACGCACACACACACACACACAAGACAAAGATCAACCTTGATAGCCTTCATCAAATTGCTGGGGCAAGTGCTGTTAGCAAGTGCCTATGAAGGCCGAGTTGACCGAAGGGAGACCCAGGACTGGTTCAGATATTTCACGCCGCTGATGTTATCCATGGCCAGGAATCGAACCTATGTTGCCAGTTTTGTAAAGCGGTGCGTTAAGCATGACGTTACTGCTCCCTCACACGCACGGGCACATGAGCAAGGGAGCACTAGACCCTGGAGTCTCTGAGGGCGCCGCAGTCGTGTGCGATCGGTGGTGAGCGATGCCGCTAAGCGACGTGTGGAGGTCGATCGGGCCCCCGCACCTGTCATCCTGGTGATGAGCGTGAGGCACCGATGCAGGTTTCTCACGGCCGTCACATCGGCTAGAACGTCAAACTCCCGGTTGAGCCACACGGTGAGCAGCAGGCTCTGGGAAAGAGACACGAACATCGGTGATTACAACATGGTCCTCACCGCTGCCTATGACAGCAGTGTCACATTTTCATCAGTGCCACCATCACGGCAGGGTCTTCTTCTTTCATATGGTATTTAAAAAGCAAGGGATTGAATCCCATTTGTACCTCCTGCAACACTGTGTGTTGGGCAATGGTCGGTGATGCGAGTGATGGATTGCACAATTCAGCAACTCTTTGATTCTACATTTATGGAGGAAACTCACAAACCCTGAGAACTAGACTTGCACTGAGCGACATACTCACCGGGAGCCCTATAGACTCACAGAGACCCTAAGACTCACAGAGAGACCCACAGACTCGCATAAGAGACCCATACTAGACAATAAAATGCGATGTGAGTGATGGATTCCACTTCACCGCAGTCACAATTAGGTGACTCCCCCCGTTGCCTACTCGTGGAGGAGGCCAAGCAGAAGCCAGGCAGCACTCACCACTAGCTGCATCACGCCCTGCACCCAGCACTCACCACGAGCTGCTGCGCCCTGCACCCAGCACTCACCACTAGCTGCTGTGCCCTGTACCCAGCACTCACCACTAGCTGCTGTGCCCTGCACTCACCACTAGCTGCTGCGCCCTGCACCCAGCACTCACCACTAGCTGCTGCGCCCTGCACCCAGCACTCACCACTAGCTGCTGCGCCCTGCACCCAGCACTCACCACTAGCTGCATCACGCCCTGCACCCAGCACTCACCACTAGCTGCTGCGCCCTGCACCCAGCACTCACCACTAGCTGCTGTGCCCTGAACCCAGCACTCACCACTAGCTGCATCACGCCCTGAACCCAGCACTCACCACTAGCTGCTGCGCCCTGCACCCAGCACTCACCACGAGCTGCTGCGCCCTGCACCCAGCACTCACCACTAGCTGCTGTGCCCTGCACCAGCACTCACCACTAGCTGCATCACGCCCTGCACCCAGCACTCACCACTAGCTGCTGTGCCCTGCACCCAGCACTCACCACTAGCTGCTGCGCCCTGCACCCAGCACTCACCACTAGCTGCTGTGCCCTGCACCCAGCACTCACCACTAGCTGCTGTGCCCTGCACCCAGCACTCACCACTAGCTGCTGCGCCCTGCACCCCGCCGCCTCCAGTGTCTGCCACACGGCGTCGGGCGAGAACTCGCCGCACAAACACTTCCAGAAGAGGAAGTTCCCTGCGGGGTCGTCACAGCACACGTCGTGAGTGAAGGTTACGTGGTTACGGTCAGTCTAAACTAACTCACCACACGCACACACTGTTGTTTGCTTTATTACGGATGTAGGATGAAAGTCGTTGAGAGAGAAATCAAACCCCTGCCCATCACTCACCCATCTTCCCCCTCCCATACTCTCACCCTCAACACTTCTCCTCGCATCGTTCCCCTCTCTCTTCGTCAAGAAATCATCACGGGCCAAAGCCGTTTAAGCCACTAACACCTCGCCATCGCTTCCTCCTGGCCATGGCGCCCAGCTGCTGCACTGCTGACATCTGATCTCTTTGGTCGAATCAGAGTGAAAGTGACACCCTGCTCAAATGAGCATTGAGGAGGTTCTTATCGTCCCGTTTTACAGCCCTGAACCATTGGTGGTAATTACACATTTCTATGGCTGGGGCAAATCTAACCAGGAAACATCAACTAATTACTTCCCCCTGGAGGGATGATGGGTCGTTATGTCCAATCAACCGTTGAAAGGATGCAAATATAAACCACGCGGGGTGTCGGAGAGCGTTACCGAGAGCGAGGGACTTGTCGTCGTCGATCTTGCGGACACTCACGCCGTCCCTGCCGGCCTCCAGGCACTCGAGGAAGAGATCCACGGGGAAGGGCGCTACCCCCTTGGGGGCGGGCGGTGGAACCGCGTGCCGGTACCCGTCCAGCAGCGCCAGCGTGTGGCTCAGCACCGGCTCCTCCATGCGCAGCAGCACCGGCAGGTCCTACATACTGGAGGAGATGCGCATAGCCAGAGGGGGGGGAGGGGCATGCATCACGAGATGAGGGGATACTCAACGAGACAGAGAGAGAGGCGCACAGAGAGGCAGAGACTGAGACACGGGGAGAGACGGACGGACACTAGGACACAGAGAGATCGAGGCGTGGGTGAAGGGGTCCTGTTGAGACACACTTGAAAAAAGCCGTGCGGGCGATGGGTTGTGGAAAAAAAATACTTTAATCTTTTAAGTGGAGAGAAACGTTTTGGAAGAGGGCATTAATTTTGTAGTTTGTCGTCAAGAGCAGATGGCACACTTTACAAAGTGCTTCCTGTGTGAATATGGCACGCGTTACATAGTGCACTGCCTGAGATCGTGGTGGTAATTCCACGTTGTCGTGGCAGGGGTCAGTATCTCCATATTCTAAAATGTAGAAAACTACACTGACTGTACATACGGAAGACTGATTTTATTCTAATTGCGTGTGGCAGTTACCAGTGGTGTAGCGTGGTTAGCATGGGCCTCTGGCACAAGAAATTAAACGGGTACCCCCACTCCTGTTGAATTTCCCCCTCAATGCAGTCCAGGACTTGAGCCCTTCCAGCCCACAAGCCCCAATGCATTTGCACCTCCTGCATGCTCGATAGCTACACCACTGACAGTTGGGCCAACGAAACAGAAAACGCGCCAATTAACATTTTGGCAAAAGGCCTTTGTCGTGAACAGCGCGGCTTTAGGACGAGCGACTCACGGTTTCGTCCACCTCCATGGGCGGCGAGCCAGGCTGGTCTCGGGAGAGCTGGCTCACGGTGGAGTAGAGCTGCAGCAGCTGATGCTGGCTCTGGCAGAACTGCACAAGGTCCTCGTCCATGCTGGCCGGCTCTTACCAACGCGGAGGGAGGATTTATACAAAATGTTATGTAAATGTTACCTTCACAATCTGATCTGGTCTGGCATTATCTGGTTGAGCTGCCTTAACGATGTCACCTGAGTTTTACCAAGTCTGTCAAGGCATTGCTTTTGTATCGCAGTCACCAAGCAGGCTTCCCAAGAAAGGCGAGAAGAAAAATGTTCCATCATGCTACGAGGCATCATCGCTCAAGCAAGGACAAGAGGAGTAGTAGGTCCGAGCGTCGAGGCCGTGCTACAGAAATCAAACGAGATCAATCGGCGGGGGCGTGTGAGCGTGCGGCCACCGACCTTGGCTCTGCACGTTCTCCAGGAAGGCCCCGACAACGTCGAGCAGGGAGGACACCGAGAGCTTGCGGGAGGACAGCACCGCCTCCAGGCCCTGCCGGCAAACGAGCGCCACGTCACACGGCGAGCCATGGCGAGCGGACGCGTGAGCGCATGCATGCGGCGAAGTGGGACACGCGCAGGAGGGTTGGGTCGCGAGGAAAAGCCCACGCTGATGCGTGCGCACAGTCACCTGCTTTTTGAGAGCTGGATACTTCACGTCTATGAGGAGCTGCGCCATTTCTTTCTGAAAATCTAAGCACCACAAACAAGCGACACACATTATAGTTGCGTTTATTCACTCCGTTCGGTCGATTGTACAGGTTATGTATTCGTGTGCTATGAAGAAGGGCCACTGCCGGGAACGTCACCTATAATATACTTTTTCTTTGAAGGCCACAATGATATTGACGAAAGTGTTGACGTTTGTTTTTTACAATATATTCATCTCATGGAAATGGAAGCTGCAAATACTAGTTAAGGGTGCATACAACTCACTGGTAATTTTATTATAGTCTATTTTAACACATGTTTTTTCTATATCTACACAGACAATATTTTATGACGATGTAAAGAAAAACGCAAATAGACGTGTCAAAGAGACAGTGCTTGGCCTGTAAATACGCATGCTTTTGAAAACAGATAAAAGATACAATGTAAAAGTTTAAATATTATTATTACTATTTTATACATATGGACAAATAGACGGATCGCCATCTGTACGGGGATAGTGTTGCCCCCTTGCACGTGTGGGTTTTCTCCTGGTGCTCTGGTTTCCTCCCACTTGTATAACAAACACTCATCATTAATTGGCACGAAACGTAAAATAAAAACCCAATGCAGGACCCTCCCGAAAAAAAGAGTCCGACTCGTTTAGAGTCCATGGCAGCGTAAATAATTATACCGTGCCACAGATGTTGTTGTTACGGGAGAACGCAAAGTGCCGCTAAATCGGTACCTGGGCTGATGACCTTTGCCTTGAGAAGGCCCGACAGCCTCTTCAGCAGATGCATGTCTTTCGCTCTCTCGCTCTTCTTATCGCTGCGCGAGACAAAATTGCCATGGCACAAATGCACGTGAGCAGCCAGAAATCTCCTTGGCGAGTCTTGGCTCTTAATCGCACTGCCGTTGTTGTTGTTATTTACTTAACCCCTATCCCCGTTTCTAAGCCCAGTCGCCTAAAGCGCTGCAAAAAAAAAAAAAGACTCGTCGCATTAAATTCGGTGCTGCACTTAATTTGGTTGATTTCCAGCTCTGAGGATTACAATCATCAGTTCGACATTCCTGTCTGTGGCAGAGCGATCGGGAGCCCAGTTTGGCCTTCATTGGGCCAATGATTCCAACCACATGCCAACGTTGACCCAAATGTTGCATGTTTACGGGGAGAGTGCTGCCCCCTACTGTGTTGATCACATGTCGCTTGCAGGCAATCTCAAGAGGTAGCTCCGTGGTAGTCCCTTCTACGGGCCATTTTCTGACACGAAGGGTCGCATTGCTGTACGAGAGACGAAAATCGAGTCTACGTCTCATGATGCTACACCCATTGCAAAGTCAGCATGCAATTTAGGAGAAAGACAACAAAAATTATTGATGACAAATAATGCAAATGTTGCTTTGATTTAAATTATGGTTTTCCCATTCCATAAGTGCTCTGCTAAATACGTGGCACTTAAATCATCTCAATATCATTTAATGAACTGTTATGATTTGGGAGCAGAATTCAGTTCACGGATCAATGCGTTTTTGTGTGCATTGTTTCTCGTGTGCATTGTTTCTCATTCCATCGCATCGAGACAGTTTAGTTTACTTTACCAGCCCACAGCACGCCACTTGCATTTCATTTTCATAAATCAGAAATAGTGAATTATTGCACGCACGATTCGAGAGTAAGATTCGATTTTAATTGATCAATCGCTACATCGTTACACACCAAATAAAACACTACGCCTCCACTTGGGCACCAACACCGACACAGGCTTTCCCGTGACAAACGACGATGCGCACACATGTGTATGCGTACGTGTGCGCATCGCACAGGCAGGTGGTGGAAGGAGAGGGAGGGAGGGAGTGTGGGAGGTCACCTGAGTGCGAGGTGGAAGGGCACATTGATGGTGCGCACGGAGGCGGCTGTGGCGTCCAGCAGGCACACCTGGTAGGTGTGGGGCAGCCAGCCCTGGCTCGTCACGTTGTTGAGGCCCATGATCCTGTAGCCCGGGTAAAGCAGCCTGCACGCCCCACCATAGTCAATGAAGAGAAGGGAAACACAAGGCAGGCGAGTCCTCGCCCTTCTCCCTCCTGTGCGTTGTACAGGTGAGTCGAGGAGAGGGGGCAGGTGTCCCATTAGAGTTCTCCTGCCTGTGACCAAACCACCCGGGACGCGCCCAATCTCATCAAGTCTCAAAAGCTAAGCAGGAGTTTTAGCCTGCACATCGCTTGGATGGGCCACCACCACCACCATGCACAAACAGCTTGTGATAGAGCTGCGGGGCTACGTAGTGGGCAGTTGAAAAAAGTGCAGCGAAATTAATTGTTGTGCTGTACTTCGACGCTTCCGCCTTCATCAACCCGCAGTGGCCAACAGAATGAAGTATTGTCAAATATTCCCCACTACCCGTACGGTATGGGGAGGTCTCAGCAGTAGATTGACAAATGTCTACACGCATACATGTTTAAACGTTTACACGGACACTTTACGAGAGCTGTTTCAACACTGCAGAGCACCTTACACTGTTTTCCAGGGTTGCGTGACACTCAAGAGCCGCAGGGTTCAGTGAGAGATAAAGACAAGAGAGAGTGCGAAATCGAGCCGCCGTTGATTAAAACAGGGCTCGTTTGCGCTGCCTTCATCGTGCAATTACCATCACCGACGACCCAAGTCACGGGCAGAGTGGAACCCCTCGCTGTGCAATCACCACGGGCCCTGTCCTGCGCTTCGTGGAACCACTCGCCTCGTCGGACCACACATGATCCGACGATGCGAGACGTAGGCGTGTCTAGGAGCGCGCCGCGGCACCTGCAGTTCTTGCCCACGTTGAAGGCGGCGACGCGGGGCCCCTGCTGCGTGCTCCACACCTCCAGGATCCCGCGCCGCGGTGCGTAGATGGCGACAAACTGCGCGACGCGCGCCGAGCGGGGGGCGGCTGCGGGCCGGGGGGGGGCCCCCGCAGGAACCGGGGGCCGCTCCGACTCGGACTCGTGCAGCTCCTCCAGCACCTGGATCCAGCCGATCTCCGCGTCGCGGTAGCCTGCAAGTAACACGCACACACGCGTGAGCACAGAGGGTAAAACGTCACTTGTTTGGCCCGATAGGCTTCCGTAGCAAAAGCCGCAAAGGCACAAGCGGGGGTGTTGTGGCCAGAACTCCTCCTCCCCCCCCCCCACGCCTTTGTCTCCCCAGTTTTTATGTTCACCCATTAAATCAGATATTCAGTTAAGGGCAAGTCAGCCTCAGGGAGGCCCAGGTGAAGCTCATATTCCATTTCCCACTGATGTTATCAATGGCTTAAAATGAAACCCAGGTCACCGGGTTCAGAGCACAGTGGGCGAACCACTGCATCACCCCACCACACACACCAAAGACAAAGACCTCCCGTGTAGCCTTAACAGACTGTTCGGGCAAGTGCTCTTAGTGAGCACCTATGAAGGCCAGCACGGCACACGTGATGGTGGATGGCCAACACCACGCCCAGTCGCCTTTGTCTCCCTCGTGGCGATGTTTACACACCACACCAGGTACTCATTCGAGGCTGAGTCTACCTAGGGGAGGCTCAGGATGAGTTCAGATAATCGTCACTGGTGTTGTCCGTGAGCAGAAATCGAACTCGGGTCGCCGGGTTCGTAGCGAAGTGCGCGAACCGCTACACTGCCGCTCCCCACACACACCACATGCGTACACACATATATTGACTCAGCCCAGCTCAAATGTAATTGATCTAATCCCTATATTGCAATGAGGAAGCAGCTTACCCATCCAAGATATGGATGGATAAGCTGCTTCGTCTAAATAATTATCTATGAATTGTTTCTCATGTTTAACTGATTCAGAGAAAAAAAAATCACATTTGCGATTTTCTGCGACAAAAATGGCACGCAATGAATGTCACAGGGTATTTACCGATAGACATCAAGCTTTGGTGATTGTCACATCAAGTTAACGGTGACTACGAGCGAAATTAACCCAACAACCCTGGCAACTCTGGCTCGGTGGTGATGGTGCTGATCTCTGTGCCACCAAGTTGCCGCTGCCGCAAAGTGACCAGGAGGTAGCAGCACAGCAAAGTATTCTGGAATCTTTCCACACAGAGCTCTTGAGTACTATGCTGTCGTATGCATGGGTTTCATCCGGACATTATGGTTTTCTCCCAAAAACCAAAAGCAACCCGTACCTTCGATTAGCACGATTGGCTACGTACGGTGCAAGAGAATTTCAGCATACATACATACAAAAAAAACTGTCTTAACATCCCAAAGCAGGGCTCTCCTTAAAAGACTCTTCAATCACGCTGTTCAGAGTACACATTATTATTATATCAGCAAAGCCCGACACCACTCCATTTTTCAATAGCTTCCCTCCGCTCCAGTAATTTCTCAGCCCTGTGAGAGTGATACGCAATGGGTCTGTCTTCACATGGCTTCAATGGCACAATTAATGATTGATCTGCAAGGTTCACGTGTTTGAAGCTGTCACAATGAGAGCTGTTATGTGTGGTTTTTATCTCGCAAAATTGGCGGTCGCATGTTTGACGTGGTGGTAAGATGCACGCGGAGCGCCCGCCAGCGCAGTGCGGGCATGAGTAATGCGGCTATTTTCTGGCGGAAGACTAGACTTGTCAGCCCAATGCGGCACATTACAACTCGCGATCGATGAATCATCAAGGTGACTGCAAAGAGAGCCGCTCCAATGCCCAGCCTCCACGTTTGCGCACAAATGGCACAGTCACAAAACGCCGATCGCCCTCTTTAACAAATACACAAGCACGTCTGCAGCAGAGAGACACGCCGCAATCGTTTTGTCCTGCGAACGAGGATGGCGCGGCAGCGGTTGGTGGCTTGGGATTTGTTTGCAGGCCCTGTGCTGGTGGCCGCTCAGAAAAAAGGGACCTTCGGAGTGAAATATACTGTAACTCAAAGGCGCTCGAATGCATGGCGAGATGCATTCGCAAGCCAATTAAAAATAATTTTAATTTCATTTTTTACCTACGTGACTTTACCGAAAGAACTAAGAGTATGAATCCTTGCAGTCACGAAAGCTTAAAATCTAGAATGTATTCGCAAGCCAAACGAGTCGAAAAGCCACCACTGCCCTGTCTTCTGTAGGTCCCCCGGTTCCCTGCAGCTGTTTACTCTGAAGCTATCGTCGCCGACATGTCTTGCAGTGGAAGGCACTGCCAACAAGGGGTGAAATGACGATCTATGAGCAAATCACAATCAAAGCCCCCGATCTAGTCAGAACTTGGAGGTTAAGAAGCAGGGTTGAGCTTTTCTATTACTTAGATGGGAATGCCAGATGTTGACGGCTAGGGTTGTGGGGTGGCCAGGACATGGCAGTGAATAAAGAGATTCTTGTATCTATTTGTGCAGAAACATGAATGTTATTCTATCCTATTCAAGAGTTTTTTCCTCATTAAAAACACTCAAGAGCCATGTGGCTCAGCGAGGCTTTCCTGAGTAAAACATTCGGCATTATCATTGTGTAATAATTGGCATTATTATTGATGCATGCATTCATCCATTAATACTGTTTGGTAATCTTACAAGCATTGCATCGAACTGCATGTGTAAAACCAAATTCATATAAGTTACATGCAACGGGTCCATGTCACCCCAGCAGCCACCAGTAGTGAGTATCTACCGCAATGTTATATAAACAATCAAATCTATCACAATGTTATGAAAATATAAACAATGTTTAAAAATATATATTAATAATGTTATAACAATGTTTTTTAACAATGTGACATTGTATGCATGAAACTCATGCATACAATGTCATAAAAACAATCGAATCGCGACCCTGAAATCCTGACAATTAATAGAATTTCTGGGCCGTTGAATTCTTCTCTCGCTGTTGTCAAGGACAGTGCCGGTGTAGGGCATTATCAGCCCCCGCTCATCTGACATAGGGCAAACACCATTTGTTTCCGGAGCTACCTGAATTCTTTCCCAACAAGGGAAATCTCATTGAATAAGAAATGACGCATTCCTCCTGCACCGCATTTTTACGTCAACTGTTTCGACACAAACAATGCTTGGGGCGGCTTAGGGAAACTAGGGGCTTAAAGAAGCCGCATTTTAACTGTGCCTCAGCGGAAGAGCATCGCATGGAATGTACAATTATATTTTTGCTTTGATTTCCGTTTGCTTCATAGCTGTATTTTGTTTTGCGTTTGTCATTTTGGTGACCCCTGGTCACTCGTGCGAAAAACACTATTCTCTGGTCTCTTGAGTTCTCACGTTGTTAAACAAAATACTACACGTTAACTTATCTTACATTTTAGTTATAAATAAGAACAGGAATATCAATAATAATGGCACATATTCACAGAGGAAAGCCTCAGCGAGTCTCAAGAGATTGTTTTTTCACAAACGCCCGGCATTTGGATGTGTCATCAATTCCTTTAGTGAATGCTTGGTTTAATGTGCGGGAGTAAACCAGAAAACCCGCAGAAACCCCACCACGCGTTCAAGGGGGTGACGTTCAGCACTGCAATCCATCCACCACCTCTCTGCCCGGGGCCTACAACAACACCCATCCATTTCGATTTAAAGCTTTCGTGACTGCAGGGATTCATCTTCTTGTTTCTTTCGGTAAAGTCACGTAGAAGGGAAGTAATAAAATAATAAAAATAAAACATAATAAAACAATTCTCACGACGTTTCGGCTACAACGCAAGCAGCCGTCTTCAGGTGAAGAATGAGACACTACCAAACTAGGAGCTTATATATAAGCTGCATTGGGGGTTGAAGAGCGCCTTAACAAAAAGAATGTGCATGTGAAGAGGAATTTAGCATATTCATGGAAAATGCGTAGGCGTTGGGCGGGGGGGTGTCAAAGTCATATTATGCCCATGCATTATGCAGGATCAGCAGCAACCAAGGGGGGTGCAGGGATTAGCAGTAACAAAGGGAAGGAATGTTAATGATATGTAGCTGCAGTTACTCAACAACCACGTAGAAAACTAAAGTATAAACTACATAAAAACTAAAGTATAAACTGCATCGCACCATCAGTATACTTACTATACTCTATAATAAGCTGAGTTACTAACAGCAAGTAATACATTACCATTCTACCTCGTAAAAATTCTATAATATGCTTCCATCTAGACCTTATTCTCTTACATCACACGAGCATATACCGTACTATATACTGCCATAGATAAACCCAACATTAAATTATATACTGTATTGCTGTAAACCAACCTATATCTTATACATTTAATATAACACTATGTATTATTCTACACACCCTAATGTGTGTCGAAATGGTTTATTACGTCCTTCCAATGATTGCTGAGCCAGAATCCATCTTCTCGGTTAAAATTGTCTCTGTGTTTGTATATGTGGATCGCCTCATGAACGAATCTCTCATGATAGCCAGATGGCTTGCAGAGAACCTCTGTCTTGGAGAAGTCAATATCATGTGAGCCCACTGAGTTGTAACAGTGATCTGCCACGGCTGAGGTGTTTGTCCTACCGTGTTTCAGGTCAGCTTTATGTTCACGGATGCGGTCCGAGACATGTCGTTTGGTTTCCCCAATGTAACTGCTACCACAGAGGCAACTTAGTTTGTAGACGCCAGGGTACTGTATGTCTGGAACCACATCTTTTACAGACGGTACCAGATCACGGATTTTATGTACTGTGTTGAATCGGACCTGGATCTTGTGTTTAATCAGGATTTTGGAGATCTTTTTTGTGACCCCAGCAATGTAGGGTAAGGTGATGGTCTTGAAAGGCTCCTCAACAGGATCCTTCTTGATGGTTGGAGTGATGGCTTTGCGGATTGTATAGTCGGAGTAACCATTTGCCTTAAGAGCTTGGCGTACGTGTTTGAGTTCACTGGAAATGTGTTCATGGTCGGAGATGCATTGGGCTCTATGATATAGAGTCTTGATGAGGGAATTCTTCTGGGATGGATGGTGGTGGGAATCCGGTTTTAGATAAGCATCCGTGTGGGTGGCTTTCCTGTAGACAGAGTGGCTCATTGAACCATCAGGTCTCCTTTTGATTAGGACATCCAAAAAGGGTAGCTTGCCATCATTTTCGACTTCCATGGTGAATCTGATGGCTGGGTGTATGGAATTGATGTGGTCGAGAAATTGGTCTAGAGCAGGCCGGCCATGTGGCCAGATGACAAAAGTGTCGTCTACGTACCTCTTCCATAAGGTCGGGCGTAGAGTGGCAGTCTGGATAGCGTCCGTCTCAAATTTCTCCATGAAGATGTTGGCTACAACCGGAGATAGGGGGGAGCCCATTGGGGTGCCCTCAATTTGCTTGTAGAAGGTTCCATTCCAGGTGAAGTATGTATTGGTTAAGCAGTGTCTCACCAGGGGGGGTACCCCAGCATTCAGTCCTTGATGAACCAAGTCTTCAATGATTGCGATGGTGTCAGGCACAGGTACCTTGGTGAACAAGGAAACCACATCAAAACTGACAAGCAGGTAGTCTGGGGACAGGGCAATCCCCTTGATTGTCGATACCAGGTCAGTAGAGTTTAGTACTGCAGAGGTGGTTTTTCCAGTGAAAGGCCGTAGGATTTCGGACAAAAAACGAGCCAGTTTGTAAGTGGGGGAGTTGATAGTAGAGACAATGGGACGAAGAGGTGTATCTTCTTTATGTATCTTTGGCAAGCCGTACAATCTTGGTGGTCTGGCTGCAGAAGGTTTCAACGAGAACTGTTTGGTCTGATCAATTAATGCGGTTGAAGCAGAAATGATGTTGTTGGTTTTGGAGACGAGGCTGTTGGTGGGGTCTCTTTTTATTTTTGTATAGCTGCCATCGTTTAATAGTTCTTGAATTTTGTTGTTGTATTCTATTTTGTCCATGATGACAGTGGCATTGCCTTTGTCGGCTGAGAGGATGACAATGTCATCCCTCTTTTTTAATTGAGCTAATTCAAAACGCTCCTCTTTGCTGATGTTGCTAGCTGGCATCTTAGCGTTTTTGAGGGTTACAGAGATTTCAGATCTTGCTACGTCTGCAGCGATGTGACTCAAGCCCTTGAGAGCTACATCTACTCGAGCAATTATATCATTAACTGGTATGTGTCTAGGTGTGACTGCAAAGTTTAGTCCTTTAGCTAAAACGGATTTCAAACCTTCAGAAATAGGACTGTTACTGCGATTAATTACGACTTTGTTAATATCTAGCTTTTCAATGTGTGGGTCCGGTTTCTTGTTTGAGAGGCGATTGAATTTGGAAATCAAGTTGTCCTTACATTTAGTCGACATAGCGGCAGCTGAAGAGGCAGTCATTTTTTCCACATGTTCCCAATCCGATGTGGACATTGTTACACTCAAAGATAAGTGTGATTTGTAGAGTGTCTTGTCTAACTGATCTAGTTCGGTGCGCGTAAGTCTGATTTTCTCTGAGATAAGAGCTAAGCTAGTTCTAGACAGAATTCGTTTCGCATTAGAAGACGTTACAGCAGCAGATGTTAGTGTAAATGCGTTTGGTATTACCTTAGAGTCGCGGCATCTCTTCAGAAAGGTGAGAGACTCGATTAGCTGAGCCTTCTTATCCCGGAGCTTGTTGAAGGATCTCAAAGTTATGTGGAAACCCTCCCCGTAGAGGCGGTTAAATTTCGATTTAAAGCTTTCGTGACTGCAGGGATTCATCTTCTTGTTTCTTTCGGTAAAGTCACGTAGAAGGGAAGTAATAAAATAATAAAAATAAAACATAATAAAACAATTCTCACGACGTTTCGGCTACAACGCAAGCAGCCGTCTTCAGGTGAAGAATGAGACACTACCAAACTAGGAGCTTATATATAAGCTGCATTGGGGGTTGAAGAGCGCCTTAACAAAAAGAATGTGCATGTGAAGAGGAATTTAGCATATTCATGGAAAATGCGTAGGCGTTGGGCGGGGGGGTGTCAAAGTCATATTATGCCCATGCATTATGCAGGATCAGCAGCAACCAAGGGGGGTGCAGGGATTAGCAGTAACAAAGGGAAGGAATGTTAATGATATGTAGCTGCAGTTACTCAACAACCACGTAGAAAACTAAAGTATAAACTACATAAAAAACTAAAGTATAAACTGCATCGCACCATCAGTATACTTACTATACTCTATAATAAGCTGAGTTACTAACAGCAAGTAATACATTACCATTCTACCTCGTAAAAATTCTATAATATGCTTCCATCTAGACCTTATTCTCTTACATCACACGAGCATATACCGTACTATATACTGCCATAGATAAACCCAACATTAAATTATATACTGTATTGCTGTAAACCAACCTATATCTTATACATTTAATATAACACTATGTATTATTCTACACACCCTAATGTGTGTCGAAATGGTTTATTACGTCCTTCCAATGATTGCTGAGCCAGAATCCATCTTCTCGGTTAAAATTGTCTCTGTGTTTGTATATGTGGATCGCCTCATGAACGAATCTCTCATGATAGCCAGATGGCTTGCAGAGAACCTCTGTCTTGGAGAAGTCAATATCATGTGAGCCCACTGAGTTGTAACAGTGATCTGCCACGGCTGAGGTGTTTGTCCTACCGTGTTTCAGGTCAGCTTTATGTTCACGGATGCGGTCCGAGACATGTCGTTTGGTTTCCCCAATGTAACTGCTACCACAGAGGCAACTTAGTTTGTAGACGCCAGGGTACTGTATGTCTGGAACCACATCTTTTACAGACGGTACCAGAGATGTATACAGTGCATGCGCATCTGTACTTGAAGATATGTCTTGAGTTAGGCGATATTTAATTCAAGCAAGATCAGAGCAGTGCAATCGAGCTGTTTGGATTTTTTTTTTGTATAGATCTATTCCTGTTGCTTCATAATTAACATCAAACACCAACATTAATTGTGATAGGGCAATGAGACCATACTCCAACAATGTCTTCAATAATTAATCCACAACTGAAATTTAGATAGGAAACCAATAGATGTAATTGCAGTTGTTTAATTGTATAATACAAAAAACGACGACTGGTGAGTGGCACGCATTCATAAGTGGCAAATATTGAATGACTAATCCAGAAAGAAAAAATGAATACAACATTTTGCACCAGATTCGCATCTTCGCGAAATGGCTGGCGATAAGAGAACAAGAAAAAATGTGTCAAAAATGAACATCCGTCAAGATGAGAATTTGGCCCATTGTGTGCTGTCGACTTGTATCAGTGCATGCTTGTACTGCGCACTGAAATTCAGTCGTGGGCAGAGAGAAACTCCGGTGAAATGGCACAACGGTCTTGGTAACGAGGTGCCTGCCCTCCAACTTGCCTTTCCACATGCGGATGGCGACGCCCCGCTGGAGGTCGAGCATGATGACACGTCCAAACTCATCCGTCACGGCAGCCAGCGTGTTGCACGGGGAGAGCGTTATCGACTCTCCGCGACGACGTGAGTCCGGGATCCCAAACCTGCCGCCCGGCAAGAGTAACGATGGAAGCGCCGCTGGCACGCAACGGGCGCGCGCGGCTTGGTGCGTACGACAAACACGATTACAACTGCTTCACTCAAAGGTGATTAAAAGCTTTTGTGTCAATGGATTTTGTCTGACTTTTGAGTTCTTTCATCTGCTCTGCCTGAGTAGGAGTATGATATATTCAGGATCAATTCAATATCCTCGGTGGACTTGCCCCTGCCTTACCTCTCCCCTCTCATCTCTATCCATTTCCCCTCCACACGCTCTCCGCTCCAGCAAATAAAACTTTCTGTCGGAGCCCCTAGTCAACCTTAGCCAGAGGTCGCAATCGGGTACCCGATACCCGTACCCTACCCGATACCCGGCTACAGTACCCGGCTGGATACGGGTACCCGTTTGCGACCCTGTTGCGGCCGGGTACGGGTACGGGTAAGGAATCAAAACCCGTTAGCGACCTCTGACCTTAGCTCAGTGGAATATCGTTTGCTCTCTTCTGTATCCCCCATGGTATTGAACTTCCTTCCCCCAGCCATCCATGCCGTTGACTCCCCGCCAGTGTTCAAGTCTCGGCTTAAACCCTTCCTTTTCCCTCTACCTATGATTGTCTGCCCCTTTCTACATTAAATATGCCCAATGGTTTGTCTCAAGACACATTTTCAAGAGGGCTCTACATCCAGATGTCACTTATTTGGGAATGTTTTCCTCTATGTGCAATCAAACCTGAGTACCTGGAGAAATCCCACCATTCATAGAAATGCACAAACCCATACTCTTAGGTTTTTTCGGTAAAGTCACATAGGAGATAAATAGATAATAAGATAAATAATAAAAAAAATTGAAATAGAAAAAAAAGATTCCTTTATTATTTATTTTATTATTCCTTTATTTTCCCCCTACGTGACTTTACCGAAAAAACCTAAGAGTATGAATCCTTGCAGTCACGAAAGCTTCAAATCTAGAATTGCACAAACACACGTTGCTGTACCGCCTTCTCTTGGCAACTATGTAACCGAGTGAGTTTGTGAATTTCAGACAGAGCTCTCTGATCCACCAACCCTTTCCTCCAGAGCATTGGATCAAAAGAACATGCCAATGTGTTGTCCTTCCCGCCGCACCTCCGATTAGCATGGTTGGCTTTGTATGGTGCGAAAGACGTTCAAAATACATACATACAATCCGTCATGGTGGCAAACCATCCTAGAAAACCTCATGGACAATTAAATCATAACATTTGATAAATGTCCATACATAAGCAGCGTTATATAGACATCTCTTGTAACACTAATTCAGAGTATATATTAAAGGTTTAACTACAATTATAAAATAAGTCGAACCTACCAAGGTTTGTTGGCAGATTTTTTTTAGGCGTAGTTGTTATGTTATTTGGCAGTGTTTAATGGCAATGGTAAATTTGTGTAAGCCTGTGCTTTTAATCGGCTCGAGCTGAACTGAAACTTAATTTTAAGTTGACCACATATCACACAAAAGGTTTTTGCACGTATTGGAAGTCAAAATTTATTCTGTGCAATACAACTGTGTTCTGTTATGAGCTCAAGAGTTTGTGCAACCAACTATCAAATGTGCACTGTTAGATCGCAGACATCATCTTAATTGACATTCAAACAGAAGAATTGGTCTGATGAACACACTGCTGTCTCATTTCAGAAGATGATTATGTTCATTGAACTTACTACACACAGATTCACACAGAGACACACATACTCAGACTGACTCACACAGACTCACACAGAGACACAAGGACTCACACAGAGACATCTAATTGCATGTTTAAATAGTTCACCCACCTACCTACCTACCGACAAGGGGACCTGACCGTAGATGGACCCGCAGAACGACAAGCAAGGGTTATTACGTTCAGCACGGAAACTTGTAGAGGATCATCACAAGGGCACACTGACACGTCAAGGGCCGTCGCTTGGGCACAGTGTTACGCTCCGCATCGACGAGTCAGCTCTGACCTCACGGGAAGTGGGGTCGCCGGCTCGACCTTGGGCTTCTGCTTCTGCGGAGTCTCCGCTTCCTGCTTCCCCTTCCATCCGAGCCAGCCGCTGTCAAGAGTCAAAACACGGCGCGTCCAGACGAACCGGCAACCACATATACGTGCGGTCACGTCGCACGACTTGTTGCGTTGTATGCACGTCTCGATTTCGGAAGCTGATGTTTTCACCAAAAGATTTATGCCATGGTGTGAGCTATTTCATGCCGCTGGATTCACAAAGGAAGGCTTTTACCTGGCAGCGTTTATTAAGGCGGATGTCAGCTTGCTGGCCACTGCCAAAGCCACGTGTGACAGAAGAGGCTGGCTGCTTCCCTGCACCAAAAAAACACATGCGGATTAAAAAAATAAAATCCAATTACAGCCCGAAATATAAATCGTACACCAGAGCGAAACGTAAATGGCGGAAAAAAAACACAATTACAGTGCTCGACAGTCAATAAGCAATGACACACAGGCTGTCGATGGCTTCACCATTCTCGCGCCACTTCGAAAGAGCACTTAAAGAGGCCGGCAGGCGTTCATTATAAAGTTTCCGGTTGTCACCTCGAGCGCGTAGAAGAATCCTGCGTAGGGTCCGCTGCCCACGGTCACATACTGCGACATGGCCGGAGGGCTGCTCTTGATGGTGGCATTGTAACCGCCGAGGATCGACGCCACCTTCATCTGATCGAACGTGCACGAGGTCACCACGCCTGCGAAACACATCGAGGCCGGTCAGCCGTTCGCTCGCTCAATCGCTCACCTAAATCCACCGTGTTTCTATTATTATTGTTTTAAGCAGCGGCACTGCGAGCTGTGACAAAGAGTTGGCGAATCGATGTGTAATGGTCATTGTGGGCCCGTCACGTGTTTGACAGCATAATGCAAATGGCTTGGGGCAACAGAGCAGTGCGATTGCTCCCACGTACCGACGGTGATGTGGTCGACTATCGATTCCATCTCCTGCAGCCCCCACTTTTTGTAAGCCAGCGGTGGTGGCTGGATGCATTCTGACCCGGCAGCTGTGGCTGTGATAAAAAGAAAAAAAATCAGCGCCACTCAGATCATAAGTGACCCTGTTTGCAGGGGTTTTACAAGCGCACATTCAAAACACCACACCACTCACTCACTGGGTTTCCATTGAAAAGTAATGAAAACCATGCAACATATTCAAATCAAAATTGGCATAAAAAATATCCGAATAGCCTGAGTGTCTTCTCATTTTCAAAAACAAAATTGTTACTTCATAACAGCCCTTGCCATCGGTGTACTATGATTCAAGCACCGTTCTCACAAGAGTGGCCCGATTTAGAGCTGTCTGGGATTTAATGGAATTTGTCGCATGCAATTTACTTCTCACTCACTGCAACCAAAATGCATTAAAAAAACACAGATGTACAACCTGATCATGAGTTGGACATGTATTTTTTAAAACACTCTGTATATTTGTATTCTTCCTGACAAAACAGCGCTCATTCCAAATGGAAAAGTGAACTGGAAACTCAGTAACTGTTTCCATTACCACTGTTATTGCCCACGACAGCTGATGGGGGTGAACTCACTGACGAGGTAGGTGTGCCAATTTTCGCAGTGGACTGATTTTCACAGCCTGCCAATTTTCACAGCGTACTGATTTTTTTTGCACTGTGCCGATTTTAACGGGTCACGCCGCCACTGCCCAGCGTACCTCGCGCGACCTGGTTGCGGCAGGCTCGGAGAGACTGGTAGAGGCTGAAGCCGTCGATGGTGACGAGAGCCGTCGGGTAGAGGATGCTCAGCTCCTCTTGCTGACCGTGGCCACCAACAACAAAAGACAAAGATCCCCTTTATAACTTCAACAGACTGTTGGGACAAGTGCTGTTAGCGAGCACCTATGAAGGACAACATGGCGCATGAAGAGAAGGGTGGCCAGCACCATGTTTAGTCGCCTTTGTTTCCCCAGTGGCGATGTTTACACACTGCGCCAGGTACTAATTTAAGGCTGAGTCGACCTAGAGGAGGCCCATGACCTGTTCATATAATCGTCACTGGTGTTAGTTGTAAGCGGGAATCAAACTGGTCCCCGGATTCACAGTGTAGCGCACTAACCGCTGCACTACCGCTCTGCACCAGATACACACACATATGAGGCACTGTCACCATGAATTGGTGTTAGCCACAGAGCTTATTAGAGTTACCTTGCAATCACCAGCAACGGACAGGGAACATCAATGCACTTAAAACAAAAAACGGTAAAGGTTCAGCTCCATAATCACTTGGTCATGTCACTGCTTGCGAAGGGCCTCTCCACTAGGGGGAGCTCTAGAAAAGCCCTTGAGAGTGTTTTGGCCTACTCTTTCACGCAGGCCAAACGTCTTGGAAGAGAACACCTGCCATTCGACTATGGTTTACCCAATTGTACAGAATGAGAATATTTTTTTTATACTGGAGGAATTCGATGAGCTTTCAAGCATTTTTTCACAGCTGTCCAATGGGGGCAGGTCAGAACGTTACAACAATAAACAATACAAAGGTGGCAGTGGGAGGGGATGAAGAAACTCGGCAATTTTTTCAACTACCGCATCTAGAGATCAAATCGAACCGGCAACCTGATTTGCAAGTCCATCGTGCTAACCATTACACCATGGCAGTGCTATGTATGCAACCTACATAAAATCAGTCATCTACTTATACACAGAAATGAACTTGGAAAGGCATAAATGAACTTTACTCAATAACTACGTGAGAGTCCAATGAGATTCATCACCACTGCTGTGGGGGTGACCGGATAATTGGCATCATTCCTGTTTTAAAACTGAACTACTGATTTTTTCCGTCTGCGATTTGCGCTACGATGCTGGTACGTAATAACCTATGCGCACACAAACTGCGGGAGTTCCCGTGCGTGTGGAGATAACCTGCTCGGTGACCCCCGCATGCCTCGGGGTCTCGTACGTCCTGCACTTGAGTCTCAGCACCGGGTCCTCGCTCAGCAGCTGTGACAGCAGCAGCACGCCTGTCTGCAGCCGTACGCCGCCACACGCATTCAACAGATCATGATTCAAGATCATCACGATTCAATAGATCATCACGATTCAACAGATAATCACCATTCAACAGATCATAGTGACGGGATGATGGCCCGTGGGTGGATGATAAAAAATGTACCCATCCATTCAGGACTTGCCTCTGTGTAGAAACGAACGTATCCCGTTGTGAAGCCGATGATGATGCAGGTCCAATCTGGCCGTCCCGTGGAACTCCTTGTTTGAAAAACAACAAACTTTTTTCAACAAAGAGTATGTGCCAAATGGGCACGTCATGATTCCAGTCATCCTTGCAGTGGCTTTTGGCTGGCCATCGAACAAAGATGGTCACAGCATCGCGCGCTTTCAGATGCGCTTTTGTGGCCGTCTGGAACACTCTTCCTTCTGATATTAGGAAGCCACTGGAGCTATGCACTTTTAACTCCAGCTTTAAACATTTCTTTAGAACTGCTTTTTGTGTTTAATTTGTTGGACTTCCCCCGCACGTCCGATTAGCATGGTTAGCTACGTATGGTGCGCAAGAAGTTCAACATACATACATACAACCCCGGGAGATGATTGATTACAATCGCACGATTTTGAGTAACATATCAATTGATGGATCAATGTTGTGTCTGGTTTATACCGTCCCAATTGTATCGCCAATCTCGTACACTGTGCACGCTCTATCTGTGCAGTCTGCGTTGTCTCCATAGTCAATCTTGCACAGTGTATTTTTTTTGCTCATTCGTTACTTTACACTATAACATTATTCGCGTGATTTGCATCTATATATATAAAATCGTGAATCTGTCTGTCTGTCTGTGTGTCTGTGTGTCTCCGGACCATACGCACTTTCATTGGACGCCGGTTGCCCCTGCCAACGGCTAGCGACGCCTTCGCCGCTTTCATTGGACCTGGCAACGGCTAGCGACGCCTTCGCCAAGGGCTGCACTTTCATTGGACGGCGGTTGCCCCTGCCAATGGCTAGCCACGCCTTCGCCACTTTCATAGGCTCCGTAATTAATTAAATAATAGTCATTACTCAGTATTGTTCGAGCGCTAGGGGGGGGGGGGGGACCGGCACCCGTACCCAGCGTCAGCCGGGTGGGAAAATCAGGCGAGGTGGGAGGCTCTGCACGGTGCTAGGCCTCGACACCCACCACGCGAATCTAAGGTAAATTCATAAAAGTTTCACGTCCTCTACAGAGTCGTGAGGGAGGGAGAGTGGCGAGGGAGGGAGAGTGGCGAGGGAGGGACTCAGCCTCAAAACGAGTAACTGGTGTGGCGTTTTCACATCGGCACTGGGGAGACAAAGGCGGCCGGGCGTGGTGGATCCAAGTCCCGGGCGAAGCCGGGTCATGTGTATGTGTGTATGTGTTTATGTGTATGTCTGTGTGTCTCTATGTTTGTGTGTATGTATGTGTGTGTATGTGTTTGTGTGTTTGTATGTGTGTGTGTATGTATGTGTGTTATGTGTCTGTCTGTGTGTCTGCATGTATGTGTGTGTGTATTGTGTTTGTGTGTATGTATGTGTGTGTTTGTGTGTATGTGTATGTCTCTGTGTATGTATGTGTGTGTATGTGTGTGTATGTGTTTGTGTGTATGTGTGTGTATGTATGTGTGTGTATGTGTGTGTGTGTCTGTGTGTGTGTCTGTGTGTGTGCGTGTGTGGTGTGTGGGGAGCGGTAGTGTAGTGGTTAGCATGCTGTCTGTGTGTCTGTGTGTGTCTGTCTGTGTGTGTCTGCGTGTGTCTGTGTGTGTGTCTGTGTGTGTTTCTGTGCGTGTGTGGTGTGTGAGGAGCGGTGGGTGTAGTGGTTAACGCTACGCTGCGCTACCAACCCGGCGAACCGAGTTCCATTCCCGCTCACGGCCACCACCGGTGACGATTATTTGAACCTCCCCTAGGTCGACTCAGCCTCAAACGAGTAACTGGTGTGGCGTATTAACATCGCCACTGGGGAGACAAAGGCGGCCGGCCGTGGTGGATACAAGTCCCGGGCGAAGCCGGGTAGTACAGCTAGTCAATTGTAAATATTCAATTCTTACACACATTTGATCCAATGCGTGCGCCATTGAGCATAACGACACATTTTAATCGCTGAATCGTAAGACGTCTGTGAAAAGAAGTAACTTATAGTCAGCACGAATGTGTGCACTCAATACATCGATGTAAAAAGATGTTATTTATTTCAGCAAGAAGGGCCCAATTAGCTGCTAGACTCTATTGTAAGGGCGTCCTGCGATAGTACAGATGTTGTAAGTCCAGATCTTAGTGACACAAGCATGGTTACAAAGGTTGCGATACTAACAGCAAGTATCGGTCCACGCTTAATATGTTACAGGGCTAGGGAACCGATCGAAAAACACAACCAAAGATGACTACATTATTCTACGAACGAAAATAGAGAAAATAAACTTTTACATTTAACAAAGCAAACACAATTAGTAACAGGGAACTTTCAGAATGATCCACACAGACTTCGGCTCGTGCTTCTTTGCCTATTATGAATGACAGACAAATCAAAGTGTCCATGTCAAAACATGCATCTAGCGTAAAACATTCCTTAAATAGCATGCAGACAACCTTTACAGCTGTGAGATGTACAGGCAAGAGCTCACCTTTTTTGACTGGCGAGTGGTATGCAGATAGCACTGCTGATGAACTCCCTGCAGAGCCAACAGTGGTAGCATGGCGACAGACAGCAAGGGCTCAGATCAATGATTAAACAAATTCAGACTCTTTTGGGAAACAAATATTTGTTTGCTGGGTTTGTAAGTATGTTGAACTTCTTAGCCAAACCGTGCTAAAAGGGTTTGACTGATGTCAACACAGCCTACTTCTAATGTACATCGTTTTATGGAAGAAAAAAAAACCAAAACATTTTATGGCAATTTAAATGAATCGTAAACAAGCAGAAGCACTCGACAAATTCAAAGAAGCTTTACAACAACGATTAAGGTCCGTGGAGGAACAAAGCGTAAAAATAAATAAACATGGACAGAAGACAACAATAATAATTAAAGCATACAAAAGGTCCGTCCAGAAACATATCAAAATACAACACAGGTATTGAGTATGAGTAGAATAGATTACCGTGCATTTTATTTATAATAAGATGACAGAATTTATGCGCGATTAGCTCACCCATCCTCTAAATTCAGGGCTCCACTCCACAAGGTCGAGTACTTGATTTCATCCTTCCCTTTCTCGTTCGCCCTCCATTTCGCTGAAAATCATTAAGTACTGTAATCAATAGACATGTATTTTACATTTTCAAACTACTGTCATTAAACATTTTAAAAACGCCACATATTAACATTTGCTTAAACACAGATCGGCAAGATAGAAACACGTTTTGAAATAATGTTTCGACAATTCATGTATTACATTTTGATTTAATTAATGTATTGTTGTGCAAAAGCAGAAATATGACAAATGTATTCTCATGTAATTTGTGGCAGTGAGCCCGTTCACCATCATTCTATCCCCTGCTTTTCATAACCGGTTTAGCTTGTTGTCGGAGTATACGTGCATCACAACGTGATGTTTCGGGTCTGCACATTGCCTCAATAAAAATACATATTTTTTTAAAATGCATTTTCGTGTAATGCACTCGACGTTGGTAGCATTCGCCACTACTCTTGGCTAGACTTTCAATCAGTTTGTAAAGCGTGTGAATCCCAACAGGATGTGAATCTTACGCTGCAAAAACACGGCTATCTGCTCGTGCGCAATGACCATCAGATCGTTGGTGGGCGAAAGAGACACCACGCAGTCCTGCAGCCAGAAGTCATTCTGTGACTTCCCCGTGACCTCCTCTTCAGGCACCACCTCCTAGGCGAGCACCGTTCATTCACAAGCGGTCATTACGAACGCAAAGACCCGCCTCACGCGACCACACTTCTTCACACAGCAGAGAGCAAAGGACTGTTTTTTAGATCACTGGCTCATCTTGTATAGGAGGTGTAATGTGCCAAGTCATGCTAATAGCATCTCAAATGCACGCTGCTATCTCGTCCTGCTGTGTTCATTAAATTTAATTTAATTCTAGCTCATTCAATATCTAGACGAGGTCAGTTAACAATATGGCATTGATTTCAAGCCTCATGTCTCTCTTTTCAGAATGGTGTTAGAAATGGCATCTGTTTGTAATGATGGTTTGAAATTTAGCGTGTTTTTTTAATCATAATATTGTATTGGTACCCCATTCTGATTCTCCAATGAGTACAAAACTACGAAGATGGAGCCAGTGTTAGCCTTACCCATCAGGACGAAAAAATAGATTTGCCATACTACAACAGACTGCCAAAAGTATTTATTGCACCAAACTATAATTTCCGGTGTTCTTAATAGACGGCCAAAGTTCCATGAAATTAAAGTCAGATTATAGACCTGAGTAGTATCGATACTATTGACCAGACTTGGGGTAAATGACAATTGTAATTGAGTAATTTGTAATGAATTGCAATCACATTGTAATTTTTGCTAACGGTGCTACTGTAATTGACCCAGGTATGCTATTGACACGCAAGCTGTTGTTTTGAATGCAACTGCGAAAAATAGTGTGCTAGTATATCAAAGGCAATGCGATTCGGACTGTAATAATTAAACTTAAGTTTATTTATATTTGTTACACAAACGATCCCGTGTAGTCAATACCCTGGCTATTTTACAAAGGAGATTCGTGGTGCGTGAGCTCAGAAACAACAACAAAAACCGTCAATATTGCAGAGAGCTAGTACAGGGTCCTTAAGGAATGTTGCACTATTACATACAGACCAAAACAAGTGAATGAGAATTACAGCACTTAGTTTTCTAGTTAGATTGTGTCAATACTGAATTAAGTCAAATGGAAAATTGCTGCAATGACAACAGTACTTTTTGTAATCCTTACGACTAGTTAAACTGTCAATACTGAATCTAGTAAAATGGAAAATTGCTGCAATGACATCAGTCATTTTTTTTATAATCCTTATGACTCAACGACTCAAAATATCCTTGTTATCATCTTCTAACATTTCACCCCACAGGTGCTGCAACATCAAAATTCACTTAAGGTGAACTGTCCAGAAATAAAGTCTAGCAAAAGAGAAACACAATGCGATGTGTAAAAACACCCCAACTGTAAGTATCCGTCCTTGGTGGCGTCCTCGTCTGATTAAGTGAAATGCAGCCACGTACAAAATCACATTTGCGGTAGGCATCAGTACGAAGAACTACATGAAGCTGGGAGCGAGAGTCCAACCTTGTCTTTGGTTTCGGGAAGGTCCCATGACCCCCAGTTGTCATCCTCCCAGCCAACTTCTTTTTCTGAACAGCATTAGTAAAAAATAATGTCAATATCCAGCATTAACGTTCGAATTTTCTTTATTACATACATAAATGCGTGCAAAAAAAAATGTCATAGCTTTACTCACTTATGGCATCAGTGATAAACAAATCGGGTAAAATGATGTAAGCCGTTAATTAACTTGGACACACATTGTGAAGGCCTCTTTACCATTCCCTGCATGCTGGGAAAAAAGAGTTTGTAATGTTCATCTCAACCTCAAAACAAAGAGGACCGTTTAAGCTGGGAGTGGCCGAACATTATCCCAGTGTTAATGCATGCCCATTGTACTCAACGCAATTTCAAGTGACGACAAGCCGGCTGGCGCCTTAACAGCAGGACAAGAGCATGTGAATTGTGTACCTTCTCTGCTTGCGTCAGTGGCTGACCGTTTTGTAGTGAAGAAGACACAAACATGGTTGTTAGAAAGATCCCCTCGTTCTAGAGTACATTAACAGAATCCGATTGATCTGTATTAATACTGGTCTGGTGGAATCCGATGAGATGTCCAATAGACATTAACACGCTTCCTCTCAGTCTAACGATATATGAAGAGCACACTGGGTTCAGAGGTTTGTAAGCAAACTTGCTCAAATGTTCCTGGTGTGCGGCTGGGTTGTGATCCAGGTTTAGGACCTCACTGAGACGAGATGTAACCCAAGTTTAATATTCGAGAGAGACGTGACCTGGCTTTAAGATGTCACAAAATCATCATTGGGGTTCGGAGCTCCCAGAGTAAAAATGCAAGCTCGGTATGAAACCTTACAAAGACATGGTAAGCCCAAGGTTTTCGATATGAAAAATCTAGATTTAAGATATTACAGTGGACGAGAACCAGGGTTAACACCACACAGTGACGAGACCTAGGTTTACTATCTGACATAAACAAGTTGTGACCTGGGGTTAGGATCTCACCAAAAGACAAGATGTAACCAGTTATTTTTGGGAACTGACAGAGCTGGATATAAATCCAGGCCAGACAATTTCCACATAGAATGAAGCAGCTATACTTAAAAGATAACGTCACTTGACCGATTCGGATGTGAGACCTCTGCTGCCAAACTGGAGCTGGCCACGAGCACAATTCAGGTACAGGCAATCCTCCACTCTCTCTACAACCACTTCATCCCTGCACTCGTGGAGAGATGAGGAGGTGGAGTGTTCAATAACACAAGAATACCCGGGCAGGTTGTTTTATTTTGGTGGGGCTGATGGTGAGGGCCCACCTCTTTTTTACATGGTTCAGGTTCAAAAGAAGGGTCTCCAACTTCTCAAGAGCAAGCATTTACCAGGGTATGAGCCACACATTAACCGCACCTGAGCATCGATCACACTCCCATAGTATCTGTAGCAGATTGCCATGGAAGGCTTCTCGAACTACGTGGTCAAAAAATTGTAAACATCGTGTAGGAGCCAAAGTACATCCATGTCCCACTCCAAGGTGCCCTGGGAATGGCTTCTACCCTCGGCCACGTAGCGTTACCAGGGCTTGTTCATCATCATAAAGGTCCATAATGATCATGAACAGAGGAATCAGGGACCCTGAAAGCACAATAAACCCAAAGCCACTCACACACAAATATAGGAGGCATTTAAATTTGAGACGATGTTCGCTGCTCAAACCTCTTTTCCTCGTCTCCTGCTTGAGGTTTGGGAAGAGGAGATCTCGAACTGAGCCGATGTCCTGGAACTGACAGAACTCGTTCAGGGAGCAAGACATTGCAGCTTCTTCTGCAGGGATGTTCCTCCTCTGTGATGTGGCACCGTGTTTCTTAACGTCTGTGTATGTATTATAGATTATATTCGTCTTTATATGTGTGTGCGTACAGGTACGTGTGTATTTTTTACCTCTACAAGTGTGTTGTTTATGTGTGTATGCGCAGTATTACCATGTATACCCGAGTGTAAACAGTATGTACATATATCTGTATGTGTACTGACGGGATATGAATAACGTGTTTGTGTGTGCAATTGTCTGAGACTGATTACGTGTGAACGTGAGTATGTTTATACGTATAAGAGTGTATGTGTGACAGCGTATGTCTCATATGTACATCGTATACGTCCGCGTGTATGCCAAAATGAGTGTGTCTTTGTGTATGTGAAAGTGTAGATTCCGTGTAAACGTTATGTATGCGCCTCAGAAGCATACACCTACACACACCTCCACTGCTACTCTATACGTGTGTACGCGAATGCCGGCCTACGTGTCTTTGCGCACATGACAGTGCGGGGTTTATGTCAGCGTGCGCAGGTGTGTGTGTACACCTTGAGTGTGTGTGTGTGAGTGTGTACACACGTGTGTACGTGTGTGTGTACGTGTGTAAGTGTGTAAGAATGTAAACGTATCCGCGTCTCCCGTCACCACTCAGAGAGGCCCAGGCAGGCCGGCAGGAAGCCTGCGGTGACGTCAACGACACATCGCCGCGCGGTGACGTCACGCGAGCCTCGCGTTCGTTGGTCCCAACGAGCTCGATTGCGTCACTGCAATGGAAAGGAAGCGGGGGGGAGGTGGTGTTTGGTGGTGACGTCATTGTCGAGACGCGACAACGTGACGTCGATTGTCGAGACACAACAACGTGACGTCGATTGTCGAGACGCAACAACGTGACGTCGATTGTCGAGACTCAACAACGTGACGTCATTGTTGACAGTCGCTGGAAACGGAGTCACGCGTTACGGAAGTTTTAAAAATGTGGCGCCAAATCTCTCGGCGGAGGGCCTTGGGGTGTGTTTAAAGTGTCCAGTCTCACGTTATATTTGTTTTATACGTTCTGTCAAGTACGTAGGTCATTGTTAAAGCAACGTTAGCTCAATGGGGAGGTCCCTCGATCCCGTATGCTGCTCCTCACGTCCTACAACTCGGTCATGAAGAGGAAATCCTGGTCATGTCCGACCACCTGAAGCCTCTTCTCGTCGGCGTTTGTCTCGCGACTTAACCTCGCGTAACAACTTCGCCTCCCTTACCACCCCTCCTCCACCCACCCCACCCATCCGAATGTGCCTGCGAGTCACACCGCAGTATGTATGCTGAACTTCTTTCGCGCCGTACTTAAGCCGACCGCGCTAATCGGAGGTGGGTTTCGAGGCGAGTTCGCGTTGTGTTTGCGAGCGATTCGCACTCGAGGCCATGGAGGAGCTCATCATCAACCCGCGCGTGCAGGCGGCGCTCAGGCGAGGTAGGGCGGCGGCGCAGTCGCTTCCACGCGAACCGGTTTATTGCTTCTTTAAAACCACGCGCGCACAGCGACACTGACACGCCACAGCGAGGGGACAACGACAGCCGCGGTTAGCCAATGAGAGACGTCACCGTGGCGGCTTCGTGCGCCAGGCTAGGTGCACCTGGGAGGCCACGTGCAGTTTGGAAGGCTCGCTGCCGACCAGAGGTCACGGTGCCGCCCAGAGGTCACGCTGGCGACCAGAGGTCACGTGCCGGTCAGAGGTCACGGTGCCGACCGGAGGTCAGGTCACGGTGCCGACCAGAGGTCACGGTGCCGACCAGAGGTCACGGTGACCCAGGCGCTATGGGTTCACTGACTTGGGACGGTATCGCAACGACAAGCCGACGTTCACCACTGACGTCAAGGCGGCGCTTGTGCCAGGCTAAGTGCAATTTGAGGCCGCGTGAAGTGTGTCGTAAGGCCCGCTGGCAGGAGGCCACGGAACACTTTATCAGTACTTAATCACACATTCCCACACAAACACCCTACTACCACACGCATGGCAGTACCACATTCACAGACAAAACACTTACCACACGCGTACCCGCACTACGTACACATCACTGCCACTGCACATACACAGCAATATACAGAACCAGGATAACCACTGTTCGCTGCCCCCACATTGGTGCTGATTTTATGGACTTCTGACCGCGATTAGGGCTTAGCTCTACAATTGAGCACTTTGTTCGCACTCGGCTGAGTTGTGTGATTTGTTTTTATTAAATTAAAAAAGCCACAAGTTTTAACGACGCCAAGAGCACTGAGGTTTTCTGGGTTTTAATTCGTCCTGATGCCCACTCTGGGCGGGTTTTTTTCTTCCGGAAAAGAATCTGGCACTGAAATGGTTGTTGACCAAACACTTGAAGTCGGACCCTCCCCAGAATGAGAACTGCGACTCATGCAAAACTTGTCTGGATAGTGGACTGTGACTAAGGACTATACAGTATTGCACCTCGTAAAGTATCATCGTCTTCAAAGTGATTTAAAAAATCACAGCTAACGTTTCGAGATTGAGTCATCTGAAGCTTAAAACAGTGCAAGTACATTACCATGACATAATAACTACCCTGATGTAATCACAGCAATTCCGCCAACGTCTCTCAAAGGAGTTCATCTCAGTGGGTTCTTAACTGCCTAATTAAAACACATTCCTGCGGAGGGAGCTGGTAGGAACGTTGGATTGCTCGGTCAATGGCCAGGGTCAACGGCGGCGTGGTGTATTCCGCAAATATCCCCGACTGTGAGGGCGGGCACAAGCCGGCGTGAGTAGGTTAAACGTTGAGTTTTAGAAGGGCACCACGGGGTGACCAGCCCCTCCCCACCCAGCCCCACCCAGCCCCTCCCTCCCCACCCAGCCCCTCCCGACGGATGGACGGACACAATAATCCCCTGTGGGCTGGTGTAGCCAGGAGGTTCCTACCAGTACGACATTCTACAATGTATTACTGTTTAAACTTGTTGCGTAATCTGTTTTGGCCTGTGGCTGAAATCTTACTTGCACGACAGTCATTGAATTGTCGGGCACCAATGACTGGAAGGAAGGCTGATTTTAATTTGCCACGCATTTGTTGTCATCTGTTGTTTGGCCTGGGGCAGCTTGTTTTGTATATGTCATTGTGTGCAATCCTAAATGGGGGCTGCAGTGGAATCTATAATAGAGTAGTGTATTTTAACGTAAAAGTGACTAACCAACACAAATCAATAAATACTTTTATCACAAACCCCTTTACAAACTGCTTCGACTGGCTCTCACACGTGTGTATGACAACATGCTGCAATGCCATTAAGAAGTTGGCAAGACTCGCACTTTTGATCACTTGTGCGCTGCTGTTTTGGCCCATGTGCCTTGGTTGTTTGTGGTAAAATCCCAAATCCCCATTGTCTGTGGGAACGCATGGGCCCTGAGGTGGCATCGGGGGAGATGCCAAGGGGCTCAGAGGTGTATGGGAGTCCGAGCCAGCCCATTACACAGAGATGGCATAAGGCCCCGAGTGGATTATGGGAGAATGGTAAAACACCATAATCCATTCAAATGTGTCGTGTGGCAGAGATAAGTACATTGGTAAATGTTACTTTTTGTGTGGGAAGATTAATCATGGTTTTTAGAAACAATGTACCGCGTAAAAAAAAAAACTCTTTCTGAACGGAAGCGTGTGGGTGGTGTTCTGCATGAGGTCGGCTGGAGAGAGTCCCTCCGAGCCCACAAGCTGCAGAAACACGGCTTCTCTTTCCAAAAATCCTGGCTCCGATTCCCACTGGGCTCCCAGCGAGTTGTGTTCCTTTTGAACAGGTTTCAACAGGAACCCAGCATGAATTTGGAAAAAAGAAAGGAAGTAAATAATACAATTTCCGTGGGTGTCGCTTAGCAGCAAGATCCCAGTTGATCGTAATTACGTTACAAAGTAACTCAATTGCAAGATGCTTGCAGGTTACACGTTGAATGCCTGTTGTGCATTTGTCGTCTCTGTCCAGCGCACATCTACACGTTGAAAGAGGTCATCTGTCTTTCTGGACCTGACCTGGAGCGCATGACGAAGCTGTCCAGTACGGACGTGAAACACCTGCATCGTGCTGTTGCTACTGCACTCTTTAACCGCCCTGCAGTCACAGGTAATGAACAAACCTGTTTGTAAAATAAGTGCAGCTGAATGGGAGCCGTTTAGCCTTTTGCTCCCATGCTGTAAAAAAGTAGGATCATTACCAAACCATTTTCAGAGGCTTCAGAGAAAAGTAATAGACCTTTTATATACTTATGCTGCACAATATTTGAAAAATATAAAAATGTGTTATTTTTTTATAGCTCCTTCCCAATTCTTTGTAGTCACACTTCATTGACCATAACTGCTCTCGACAAAAAAACTAATTTAGCACTTGCCTCCACAGTGCAACTTAAAAATACAATACAATTGTGTTTTATAAGTTTTAAAATACAATATTCTCACAGTGATTTTTGAGAAGGGATAACGGCTCCCAAAATGGATCATGTGAAAAATGTTACGTTAAGAAATATTGCACAGCATTACGTAGTCTTGACTAAAAATTCAACAAGAAATAGGGATGAGATTCGTTCATGGTGGTGGTGGAGAATAGATGGCGTTCAGATTCTTGTCTTTTGGACACCACATGCGTGCTCTTGTACAATTTCACTGACAGCTTTACAGATGTGGCGAGGAGAGTGCTCGGGGCAGGGGGTCCGTCTGAGCCTGGGCTGCCCCGTGCTGGACGCCTTTCTCCGAGGAGGCTTCCCGGTGCCCGGCGTAAGCGAGCTGGTCGGGGAAAGCGCCGCGGGCAAGACGCAGATCTGCATGCAGCTCAGCTTGACCGTGCAGTACCCGCGCGAGTACGGGGGACTTGGAGCAGGTGCCGCATTCAGATTGGGCTCCGGGGTCTGGGGACGGGTGGCATCTTAAGCCCGGTTCACACACAGCGAATATTGCAGACCGATAACGGGGAGGGACTGTCGCCAAGAGAAGAGCTGTCACAGCGCGTTGTTTGTTATCTTTGTACATGTAACCTTATGTGCTTTTGAAATTTATTGAGCGACACAAGAACTGCTTTTTTGTGTTTAGTTTGTTATCCTTCCCCCACACCTCCGATTAGTGCAATTGGCTACAATCAGGGCGAAATAAGTTCATGCATACATACAAAGCCCAATCGGAGACAATTATATTGTGTCTGATTCGATGCGCCAGCCCAGGTCATGCGCTTTTTCTATCAGAGTTGTTTCACTGGAAGTTATATCATGTCAATGTCTGGTCACCCAATGTTTCTCCGTGCTTCAGATGACATTCAGAATTAATCGCTTGTTTGAGCGGGCAACAATTTCATCCAGAATAGATCCATGTCAGTCGGTGTTGCTGTGTAAAAAATCACTTCTCCCCTGCCCCGACATAATACATTCTTCACTGATTAACAAAAATTTGCCATTCACATGTAAGCTACATATCAATGCTTGATCACGTGCATTGTGTATGTTCATTTGATTGGAATTTGTGCTTCAATCACAGCATAATTTCAAATTCACAAAGGTGTAGTTCATAATAAAAACATTTTAGAGATGGAAGAAAACATTGTGTTAATTTCAGATGTTGGAGGAAATATGTTAAATGTTCACTTCTTCGAAATTTGCACGTCGATGGTGTAATCTGAGCAATAGAAACTATATTTGAAGGACCATACTGACTGATATTTGTGAAATTATATGGAGCCTAAATTAAACCTTGTCTTCATATTCTTGGTTCTTTTGGTAAAGTCACATAGAAGGGAAATAATAAAATGATAAAGAAATAAAACATAATAAGATAAAATTCTCACGATGTTTCGGCCACAACGCAAGCAGCCGTCCTCCCTGAGGACGGCTACGTGACTTAACCGAAAGAACCAAGAATATGAATCCATGGAGTCACCAAAGCTTTAAATCGAAAATTAAACCTTGTCTCTTAAACTACTTAATTTTCATTGCTTCGTTACCACCAAGGTAAACTTATATTGTCTCGTGTCTAAATTTGGCCTCAGACTTCCTTTTCTCCTCCTTCATTCCATATAAGAGCCTTACCCATCCGACTCGGTGTGAGATTCGCGCGTATTGATGCTGTGTTACTGCTTTTGTTTCATTTTCACTGCAACTGAGCTAAGTGTTTTCTGGCAAACTCCCCCCCCACCCCCATATATAAACTGAGGCTGATCTGTTCTGTCACAGGGGCTGTGTACGTGTGCACCGAAGATGCATTTCCCAATAAGCGCCTCGTTCAAATGATCCAAGCTCAGGCCAAAATGAGAAAGGACGTTCCGCCAGATGTTCTTGCAAAGATCTCCTTCGGGGAGAACATTTACATTGAGCACGCAGCAGATGTTGTGAGTAGAGGGCAACCACAACCTCCTCAGAATGGAAACTGACACGGACAAATTTGGAACAATAAACATGAAACCAAAGCATTGCTCTAAATGTGCTTTAAAAATGTAATGCATTTCTGAATCGAAAGTCTTATCTAATTATCTCTTATTTGTCATTTTTAACATCTTCCACGGTGGGGTTGCGGAAGGCCTCCTTGTACACTTGCATCACCCGCCGCCTGCCGGTGCTGCTGTCCCGCGGTGTTGTGCGGCTGATCATCGTGGACTCGATCGCGGCGTTGTTCCGCTCCGAGTTCTCCGTGCACGAGGCCGTGGCACGGGCACAGCAGCTGCGCAAGTTCGGTGCTCAGCTGCACGAGTTGAGCAACACGTACTCGGCGCCCGTCATCTGTGTCAACCAGGTCAGCTGCCGTAGTGTCATCACACAACAACACAACACTCCCAAGTGCAATCATCCAGGTTGGGAAATGTTTTTCTTCTAGAAATAGGTTTTTACCCTTTCAGTTGGTACACAAACTGACACCTTTATAGTGCTCCTTTTGGCATCATCTGGTCCAACCCATGTGAGACTAGGCTCTAAGGAAAGCTGTCTCGGGTGTGAACCAATCAACATCAAGGACAGTGCATACATTATCAGAGTTATGTTTTTTGTTTGCATTATGACTGCAGGTATTGTGGTCTATGCAAACATGACTCCTTGTAAAAAAAGGTGTCAGTTTTGTTGCCAGATAGAAGGGTAGAAAACCAATTATCAACCTATTACTATATTTTGCCACTGGTAAAGGAGGTCTCATAATGTTTTTCTTCTCTTAAGCTATGGCTATGTAATACTGCGGACATCTTCAGCTCCTGAAGAAGACCTAAGAAGTGAAAGCTTGAGTGAAGAAATATTCAACGTGACCTATCCCGGAAGACCAAACTCGGATTACAAGTCGCTTTGAAAACCTACCTGTTTTCTTTGGGAGGTGGTATGGAGATTAAATGCAAATGAGATTAAAGTACGGTAAATAAGCAGATGAAGATACTTCCTGGAGACAGATGTTGGCAAAGGATAAAAGAAGGGTCTTTGAGCTTGAACAGGGGAAGGGTTTGGAGTGCAGACGGCCATTGGAAGGACATCAGATACTCGGGGCAGTTATAGAGCAGGAGCAACCTGCCATTGAATGGAAGTTGACAGACGACCTCAGGTTACTAGTGCGAAGTTAAAGGAGGTGTGGCTGGGAATAGAGTGAGGTCACAGTGCAGAGATATGTGGAGGTGAGTCCTGGAGGATTTTGAAAACCACTACCTGAATGAATGGCAGTGAACATTTGTAAATTCTGCAGGGAACATGAAATTATTTTTTTGCTGCAATAATTTTAATAGTAATAGATATGTGTGTTTTTGCAGGTTTCTGGAAATGTTTCTGGCCAAGACCATGGATCAGGTGCACAGAGGTGATGGAGTTTTGCCATTTATTTTACTGTCGATTGTGAATGGTCTTTAACACCAAATGTGAGCATCATAGTGTTATTAAAAGTCTTGACCTCATACATATATGTCAACATGGTTTGAAACATTGCTGGAAGGTTACAGCCAAGGAAAATGCTCTTTGTGCTTTATACCAAAATTAGCCCATAAGTAATAACGTGTTGAAGCTAGTCGGCTTCAATGCCTAACATTGGGCATTGCTCATTTCTGAGGCAGTTGTGGACATTCCACATTAGTAGAGACCTTTCTCTATGAGAAAAACGGTAATTATCTTGTAACAAGTAGGCACCATAATAAGGCACTGCCCCCCCCCCCCTCCTTACCCACCAGCAATTCAATGAATTCCACAATATTGTTATTTCGTTTATTTTTTACCATATTATATGAATTGTCAAATTTGTTTACTTATTTGTACAGTTGTATGCATACAATTAACTTCAACGTAGAATTAGCAAATCGTTTGCATATATTTAGCCAAATATGTTCGTAGTTCTCACATTTCTAACTTGATGAATGTATCTTACACAAAATAATTGATCTGAATCAATGAATCGATACGTCCCCACATGCTTAGCAACCCCTGCTTGGTAATGCGGTAACCAGTTGGCTCGTGTGTGTTGCAGTAAAGTTATCCCTGCACTGGGCATCACCTGGGCCCACATGCAGCTCATGCGGATAATGTTGAGCCGGGGCCACGCAGAGGGCACAGCGCCCACCGGTGCTGGCACGTGGCGAGAAGCAGGCGCCCCCACCACGCGCGCACACGCTCGCAACCGAGACGTGCCCCAACAGCCGGATGTCGTACGCACCATGGAGCTCGTGTTCGCGCCACACCTCCCCCAGTCGTCTTGCCGCTATGCAGTCACCGCGCACGGGGTTGTGGGTCTCGAGTAGCACCACAGCTGTCGCTCGCCACCCACCCACACCGGAGGCGTTGGATCAAATGCACTTGAGTTAAGATGGAAGCAAATAGTTGAAACCGATAAGCTGCTCAGTGTTTTTGTCTTCGCAGACGACAATCAAATCAACCTTAATCCACCCCATCTCAGAGCTCAAGCTAAGCCAGGTGGAGCCTGGTTTGTACTTGAATGGAATACTGCCTCAAAATATCAGTTGTAGACTTAGCATGTAAAAGTGGCCACTCGGCCAGGATAATGAAATACACTTTTTTTTATTTCTGCAGAGCTTTAAATGATGTCCCCTCACATGTCTCGGTTTTATCTGATTAAGTCCCCCTTATATTTGCACCCACATTCCAAAAACCCTTACATGGAATTGGTCAAACATCCCAATGCAGGACTTTCCTGAAAAAGAGTTGAGACTCCTGAGTAAAGAGCATTTATATTGCTGGTATTCTGTTAAGATTTTTTTTTTCAGATTTAAAAATAACATTTTTGTGCACCACGTGGTTTCATTTACATTTTTGTCAACACGTGACATGTGGAGCGTCTCATAATAATGGAAAATATTTGAGGAAAAGAATGTCCAGTTCCACAAATATTGACTGGAGAACTTTGTGCTGTAGCTATATTTTTGCTGCGTTATGTAAAATATTAAGGGTGGTTTTAAAAATCTATAAAATACCTGAACTACATGTGTTAAATACTGTAATTATATTGTGTCATGTTAATATAATTTATTTCAAGGATTCTATTGTATTCGCATAATTAAAGGAACAAGATACTGTAACCAAGTTCAGCCTTGAACGATCATTTTGGCTTGCGTTAATTGTCTTACAAGCAAACCTGATCCTCCCAATGCCTGTGTTTCCAAATATAGTTCGTGTTTGAAAACTGCTATACATCACGATTATGCCACTCCTACATCATGCGTGTCAGAATGAACACTAAATTGCGCACATACACCTGACCGGCTTAAGCCAGAGACGCCTTGCAAATTCGCAATTAAAATGTATTTACAGATTCTGAAACCATCCATATGATCAGTGGCATAGCAGATAATTTTCCAATGTGTAATTTTATAATGTTCTTTGCAGGCAATCTTTCATTTAATAGTCTTATAGTGGCTGGTGCTTAACTTACACGATTTAATTGTACAAATTTGGAGTAGGGTTTTTGTAAAAGAATAGCATTGGATGACTAATTTAAATCTATTTCTTACCCACTAAGCAAACAATGCTGTTAAATTGTTCAATCTGATTAAATGTGTTTACATTGAATTTGCAAATAGTGCCAGTTACAGAACCACATTGAACAAACAAAAGATCAGCTACTTCTACTTATTGTAACACATTCTTTCCATAGGTGTGACAAGGAAGAGATTGTTTGAAATGTACACGTGCTGTGTTTTATTGTGCTGGCTGTATGTGACCAGACCATGAGCCCCCGGGCTCTTATTCACACTACAATCAATCATTTAGCAGGTAGCTTTATTTCTATTGCTGTTTTGTCACATAAATATTATAGAACCTTATTCTTAGATTCGTTACTGCCCTTTTACTGTGAACATCAACACGCCAATGCAGACTGTCAGTGCCTTATAATATCATAAAGCACTATCAATGCGCTGTTGCCATCTCATAGTTCTATGCCACAATCCATCTCGCTTCTACTCATGAACCTATTTATTAACTTCCATCTTTGCAGTGGTCATCTCTGTCATTCATTCACTAGTCTCATCCATTGGCCATCATTATCGTACTGTGTCCTATCCAATACATTTCAAGGGTTATTACAATGTCTCTATTTGATCTATACACTATTTTTGTCTCGGTGTAATCCATAGCACAGTAAAGAAAATATCACAAGTGCACTTCGGTGGTGATGGGGGGGGATAAGCGTGTTAAATTACTACATTCATCCATGCAGTGTGAACGTTTTGGGCTGTATGTCGTATATTAATAGCTTCATAGCCCTAACCCTTGGCCTCCACGTGGGTGAATCTGTTAAGTGTAGTAATGACACGGTAATGTATTGTGTATGCTGTGTACTAACACTGCAGAGAATTGTACCTCCAAGACATAAATAATTGTCCCACTTATTATGTTTTAAGCCTAAGATTAGGCGTACATTTTCATAATAATGTTATGGTTTGTTTAAACCCCCTTAGTGAACTTTAAATTCCTTCTTGTAACTTCAAAATTAAATAATGTAATTATACACTCATGCATGATTGGCAAGCAGTATTTGACTGGGAAGCTCGTGGAAAAAAAACATCACGCAATGCCCGGGCGGTGGCAGCTTGAGCTGGGAATGTTTTGAACAGTTTAAGACCGAGAGGCCTGTGATGTGATGCCTGGTGACAAACCCATCCCCTCGTCCTCCAAATCAGGGCAGTAGTCGAGCTGCGAATGTGGAGGGACCTGCCAAAAGGGCTGGAATTTTAATCTAAAACATTGTTTTCGTATGCACTAATTATAAATTACAAGCAATGCTTTATAAGAAAACCTGACTCCCACCACCATCCATCCCAGAATAATTCCCTCATCAAAACTCTACACCATAGAGCTCGATGTATTTCTGACCATCATCACCTAGCCAGTGAACTGGAGCACGTACACCAAGATGAATGGATATTCAGACTACAAAATCCGTAAAGCTATCACCCCAACCGTTGGGAAAGAACCGTCTGAGGACCCAATCAAGACCACCACCTTGCCATAAATAGCAGGGGTCACCAAAAATATTTCCAAAATCATGAACAAACAAGATCCAGGTTCGATTTAACACAGTACGTAAATTCGTGATCTGATTTGATCTGGGAAGGATGTGATCTCTGACATGCAATACCTCTGCGTCTACAAACTAAGCTGTCTGCGTCAGTTACATTGGGGAAACTAAGCGACATGTCTTGGACCGTGTTCGTGAACATACGGCAGGTCTGAAACACGGTAGGACCAATACCTCGGCCGTGGCTGATTATTGTTTTAATGCGGTGGGCTCACGAAATAGATTTCTCTAAAACGAAGGTACTTTGCAAACTCACTGGCTATCAACAAAGATTCGTTCATGAAGCCATCCATTTATATAGACAGACACAATTTCAACCGAGAAGATGGGTACAAACTGAGCAATCATTAGAAGGACGTTATTAACCAGTTTAAGTCACAACTGGCTGTGATGTTCCCATCCTACCACTTTCCGATGTTAGGTATTTTCGGCTCTGATTTTTTTACATTAACAGATTCAATTTCTCACACCAACACAGCCACCTTGCTCGTCATCCTCGAGGTTGCTGCTCGGCGATCTCCCATTAACATGCTAATCTCTCACATTAACATGCTAATCTCTCACATTAACATGCTAATCTCTCATATTAACATAGCCACCTCGGCGCGCTCGCTGTGGAGGATGATCGGCGATCTTACATTGGCATGCTAATTTTTGCCTGGCGGCCCTTTGGTGGATAACCCACCATCGGCCGCAGTCGATGCCCACCACTTACACGAACATTGGCTGCTGACATTTGGGCTACACCTATTTCATAGCTTTATAAACAGTTTGTCTTTAGAAGCTTTTCTGATGCCGACCGCTTGTGTTGCGATCGAAACGTAGTTTTTTGTAAAAAAAATTGGGCCTACCTATGTGACTTTACCAAAAGACCCAAAGAATATGAATAAGAAAACTTGGTTTAATTTTCGCTTGCGGAGTACTGGTTGAGAATTATATTACTCTATAGTCTGTACAAATGGAAAGACAACTATCGTCTGAAAACATAAAAATAGTATATTTACGTGAAAACATTTTCAAGGGCTGATTAAAAACTATGTTTAGTGGCAGTTGGGGTTATCTTTCAAACCATCCTTTAATCATGTCTGAGAATTTGCTTGTGTTAATGCTGGATATATGTTCGTGCAAACTGCTGCTGTGATGTTGGATTATTGACATTTTTAAAAATTTATATTCTCTTTGTTCTTATAACAAACCTTTTGTCTCCAGGGGGCTCTCATCCCATCATAAATGCTAAACCTACCTTTGGACGAATGTACATTAAAGCTGGAATTGTGAGCGGTGAAGCAAAAGAGGCTGAAAAGGCACGGTTGAGAAAGCATCAGAGAGCAAATGTCATGTTCCAAAAAATCATTATAAAATTGACTATTTCTCTTAAGTGCAATAATAATCATTATTCAGTGTATTACACTGAATAAAATTCACCCCAGACAGTTTTAGCAAGTTATTCCAATCACAAATGAAACAATATGAACGCAAGTCTTTTTAAGTACAGAAAACACCAATTCAAAATGCGTCTGAATGTTAATTTGTACTTAATTTAAAATTATGTTTATTCTTTTTACAGCTCTGCTATAGTTTCATCATTGTCAACAGCCATGATCTGTCAATTGCTGGATGAAGGCCTCCCCACTCTGTTGTCAGCCCTCAGGGTCTTCATATGCCACAATCCGCCTCGCTCCTGCACACGAGCTGATGTCATTCTTCCATCTGGGGAGGGTCATCGTTTTGGGTGCGTTCTCTTGGGCATGTCACCAACCTCTTTCATGGCCATCACCCCCTTCTAGTCATGACGTGTCCTGCTCAAGCTCACTTTTCTGAACAATAAATGTCTTTAATTTGTGTATTTAGTTCATTCGTTGCACGGTTCTTATTTTAGTCTCAATTGTTTTTAAATGTCACTTTGCTTTGAATGCCATCTGTCAAATGACTCAAAAGCCAAGTGTACGTCATTAGTACATATTGCGAAATGAAATGAATCAACGAGTAGGTCTGGGGGGGTGTCCTAGCAAAAGAGAACTGAAAGACACGCAAAGCGAAGGCTGGGAGAAAATTTACTGACACGTGACGTTAACGAAAACAAAATTAGTTCGTCAAAGCAACCAAAATATTTGAGCCGAGCAAGGAACCAGATTCTTGTAGTTGGTTACTTGTGTAGTGACATAGTGCTGACCTTTGGACAGCAGCTGCAACTGCAGGTGGGCACTTAGCGCACACGCCGCTAGGCATATACGCGGGTGTGCCGGCAGGGCGGAGGAACTGGGGCAAGGGTCATGGTAGACCTCGTATGGAAGCCTCTGGAACCCTCTGGAGGGTTTGAGAAGGGAGGCGCGGCTAGGGCGGAGCCAAGATGCGCCGAGGGGAATAAAAGCAGCGGAGAGTGGGAGCTCCGGGCTGCCGGTTCTGGGATTGGACTCGTCTCTTTGGGTCTTTCGGTAAAGTCACGTAGATAGGTTTAAAGAAAATAACAAAAAAACTACGACGTTTCGATCGCAACACGAGCGGTCGTCATCAGGTGGAGAAGAAAGAGGAGTTAGCCTCTAAAGGCAAACTGTTTATAAAGGTCTATAAAGGTGAACCCAACAACAAAAAATGGGGATGACTGCCTCCTGCGACGACCTCGTCTCGGACTGAGTGTGTGTGACGCACGCCAACCACACACACAGACGACACTACACTTGCATTCCGCATATTTCTTATCCAGAAAGTGCACAAATCTGTAGACTGGTTTCACATTTAAAATGAACATTCATTCGGTTGCCGCAAGTGGAAACTTTAAGAAGTGGAAAACTGGAAGCAAAAATCTAACTTTGAATCTGGAGGCAAGAAAGAGTAATTGAAGTGAAGCAAATGTAAATATGGAACTAAAAACAAGACTCAAACTTTGAGGTTTAAGTACCGTACATTAAAATCTAGAAGCAAGGGGGGAGGACACCTCAGTGCTGCCCGTCAATTGGTCACATTCGCTCAATTTATTTTGATGGTGACCCCAACACAAGAGGAATACTGCAAGCCATCAGCAAGAGCTGATGCTTTTTGGTAAAGCACAATGGCCGAGTGCATTTTGTACACCTTTCCGCGAGATGTTTGAAACTGAATGTTAGCAAGCGAGAAGCAAAGGCTGGAAGCAACAAAAAAAAGCTAAACTGGAAGCAAAGTTTAAAGAAAGGGAGAAACTGGAGTCTCCGTGGTGATTGGTCAGAGGGCAGCGGCTCCACCAATGGTGAGCGAGGACGCGGGTGTTGTCAGTGGGCTGGGTCGTGGGTACGCCACCTCCAGCCCCGCCTGTACACCTGTTTTGCATAAACTCCGCCCCTTGGGGCGTGGCCAACCACGAAGCCACCGCCTACTTTTTCACTTTGAGCCAATGGGGTGTGGGGGGAAAGAGGCACGGGCGCGGTGGAGAGGGAGGGGGGAAAGAGCTCGCGCATGACGTCACTAAACCCGCCGCGCCGTTGTTTGTTTAATTATTTACGTAGTCGTTTGTGGGAGGGCGCGGAGACAGAGGGAGAGGGGGGGCAGAGCAAGAGAGGTGGGGGGGCAGGGCGAGAGAGGGGGTGGGGTGGCAGGGCGAGAGAGGGGGGGCAGAGCAAGTGAGGTGGGGGGGGCAGGGCGAGAGAGGTGGGGGGGGCAGGGCGAGAGAGGGGGGGGGCAGAGCGAGAGAGGTGGGGGGGGCAGGGCGAGAGAGGTGGGGGGGGGCAGGGCGAGAGAGGGGGTGGGGGGGCAGGGCGAGAGAGGGGGGGCAGAGCAAGAGAGGTGGGGGGGGCAGGGCGAGAGAGGTGGGGGGGGCAGGGCGAGAGAGGGGGGGGGGCAGAGCGAGAGGGGTGGGGGGGCAGGGCGAGAGAGGGGGCGGGCAGAGCGAGAGAGGTGGGGGTGCAGGGCGAGAGAGGGGGGGCAGAGCGAGAGAGGGAATGGGGGGGAAATCGAGAGAGGTGGGGGGGCAGGGCGAGAGAGGTGGGGGGGCAGGGCGAGAGAGGGGGGGGCAGAGCGAGAGAGGTGGGGGGGGCAGGGCGAGAGAGGGGGCGGGCAGAGCGAGTGGGGGGGCGAGTGAGGGAGGGGCGGGGCGAGTGGGGGGCGGGGCGAGCGGGGCAGGGCGAGTGGGGGGCGGGGCGAGCGGGGCAGGGCGAGGGGGGGGGGCGAGTGAGGGGAGAGCAGGACGAGTGGGGGCGGGGCGAGTGGGGGGGCGGGGCGGGGCGAGTGGGGGGGCGGGGCGGGGCGAGTGGAGGGGGGCGGGGCGAGTGGGGGGGGGCGGGGCGAGTGGGGGGGGCGGGGCGAGTGGGGGGCGGGGCGAGTGGGGGGGCGGGGCAGAGCGAGCGAGTGCGCGCGCGCGGCTCCCCTCGCAAAATATCCCTCCGCCGCTGTGTGGAAGAAGGAGTGGAGGAGGAGGAGGCGGTGGTGGTGGTAGCGGGCAAAGGGGGTGTCTCGCTCGGGGGTTGGGGGAGGGAGGGAGGGACGGAGCGACCGACCGAACGAGCGAGCGAGCCGAAGCACGGACCGCATCGCCGCTGCCGCCAACCGAGGCGGAAAAAAACACGCCGCGCCGCGTGCCGTGCAGAGCTTTTTGTGCCGCACGCAGCAGCAGCAGCCGCCGCCGTGGAGGGAGGGAGGAGGCGAAAAATGCCGCGCCCGTGACCGACCCGGCGCGATAATTCCTCCAGCGATTTAAACGGCGGAACCCCACCAAGTGAACAAGTCGAAAGAGCTCAGCGGCGTTGGCTTTCGCGTGTTGTTTTTGAAAATTATTTTAGTGTTTTGTGAAAGCGTGAGGAGGTGGTGGTGGGTGGTGGTGGTGGGTGGTGGACTTCGTTGCTGTGGCGCCCGGGAGCCGCGTCCGAGTGGCCCAGGCGCGGCCCAGCGGTGCCGGGAAGCCGCGGCGGCGTCATCATCATCTCTTCTTCATCAGCTCGTCAATTTGCACTTCGTCTTTTAGTCGTCATCGTCTACTTGGTAGTTGACGGCTGAGTGCTGCTGCTGCTGCTGCTGGAGCCGAGGCTCTGGGCGTCCGAGACGCAACTTTGTCCGCCTTCGTGGGGGGGCCGTGAGGGGCTCCCGGCGTCGTTATCGGCGTTATTCAGAGGTTTTTACTTTGGGGTTTTTTTTCTTTGTAAAACAAAAACATTGTTTTTGGTCTATAATTGGCTGTTTTATAATTAGTTTTTACTCAGCGATTTTGGTATTTTTTCCCCCCTCATTTATATTGGAGAGGAATTGTGGGGTTTTTTAATAATGTTTTGCAACCGTACTTGAGCTGTAATTAAATAACGATATTAAAACTGAGAGTGATTTGTATATAACAGTATAGTTTACTCTCTGCCCAATTAAACCACGTTTTATTTTTACAAATTGTACTTTTTTTATCCTGTGAAATAATTGTACCTGTTTTCAGCACATTTTCTAAATCTACGTTTCTAGTTTCACGGTTTATTTAGAAGCCTTCAATTGTTACCAATTGCACCAAGTTTGTAATTTCTCTAATCCCGATCACGACCGTGACATTCTTTTACACATTTGTTTGCAAACTCTTCCTGGGGGGTGGTGCATACAAAACAGTAACACCACCACCACAAAACCCACCTTAACATTGGTGCAATTGTGTTTTTTCCCCATCACCTCATTCGTTTACTTCCACATCTTCACATGTTAAAGAACAACAGTATTGTTAGACAGATACCACGCCAGTGAGGTGGCTTGAGACACACCCCCACCACCACGACCACCACCACCACCCAATTCACCACCGGTGGCAGCTCTTTCAAGAGGGCCCAACACAAACACTCAAGATGTCTGCCAGAACGCCATTACCCACCGTCAATGAACGCGACACGGAGAACGTAAGTGTTGTCATTGCAGATCTCTATTTTTTTTTAAACTACACCAACACTCTCGCACACAACCCGCGTTTGCCTCCGTTTGTCCGAGACGAGGTCGTTCTTGTCGTCGTCTTCGTGCCACTGTTGACTTGTTTCGTGCGGAACGACGTTTTTGAGGTCGGCCCCGGCTGAACCCCACTCGCTTCCCGTATCGCTGAGCTGTACACCATGCAGCTCCTTGTATTGTTTAAGGCTACGGTATGCTGTGTTGTAGCTTTTATGCCATGGTACACGTCCTGTCGAGGTTTCAATCCGAGGCAGGTTGCCGCCTGGGTAGTTAGTTGCTGGATGAGCGACCACCATGGCCAAACAGGTTGTTCTAGGCTGCGCGTCCACTTAGTGTGTATCCGAGGGGTAGTGTATTGGCAATTGTATTGTACTTCTGTGCTCCCACGTATATGCCCTGTCTGCCTTCAACCCACACGCGGACTAGCGTGGTGAAATATGGTCAAGTAAACCCCCGCATAGCGTGGCCCCGAAATGACCCAATCCAGCAGTGGATCGTCTTATATTACGTGTGCATTTGCACGATGTGTACATTGTTGCGTCTATAATTTCTGCTTCTGGATGTTGTGGGTTGGGCCCCTTGTACAGAAACAATTGCGGTAAATGTTTAACCCAGGGGCGTAGCCTTTATTTTTCACTGGTGGTGTATTGGGGGGGGGGGTCGCAGAGCAGTTCAAGTAGGGGCCATTTAAACTGCTGATAGACACACGCACGTGCACTGTTACGACACCGTAAACGGGACGCTACTGTTAATGTTTCCAATCGGTCGTACCACGCGAGGTTTAGCCGAACAGTTAGTCGTGGCTGATAAGTGAGATATCTACGCACCGTTACACTTGAGACTGGTCTTAAGCGTATGGCATCTAATATACATTGATGATTGGTGGTGGTACCGGTGGGGGGGAGGGAGGAGTAGAAATGTGTCCACCACCCCTCCAAAGCTCAGCTACTTAGGCTACGCCTTTGGGGGAGGCAGCGGTGTAAGTTTTCGGCTTGGTTGCATTGTTAGGACTAAAGTTTTGGGCGACGTGACCATGCTGTGTAAACCACCCTATTACCCCCCAACCCCATCCCACAACACCACCGTCCGCATTGTCGTAGAAGAATAATGGTAGGATGTGCGGTAGGGTGACCCAGAGGGTGCTAGAGCAAGGACGAATGGCCCCATTGAGTTGTTTGACGGGCCGGACCAAAGCAGTTTTATGGCACGGGGCTGTGTCGTAAGTCCCCCCCCCACCCCCACACTGTGAGTTCGGTACCACGCGTTAACAATTTTCATTGTGTATTGCCTCGTATTCTCTCTGACCAGGGCCTGCGTCACCTGTTGTGTCGAATGTGCTTCTTGTCACATTTTTGTTGGCAATCGCACACCAATGCAATGTGTGTATTCGACTTTGTCAAGTTGTGAATCTGACCTCGACCTTTATGTCATCGCTGCTTACAACAGTGCTGCGTTGACATTTTTTAAAGGGTACATCATTGAGGGACTGCCTCTTGATGGCAGATATTGGTTTATTGTCTTGTTTGTGAAGTGACATTTGTCTGCTTTTCACGTATCTTGAACAAAGTCTCAATGTCCAATGGTTTGGAATTGACATGTTAATGACTTGTGCACTCGTTAACACTTGAAAGCAAAACATCAATTTTGTTCATAACCTGGAAACGAAAGCACTGTTTTTATTGAAATTCCGATTTGTGAAAATCAATGCCACTGGTTGCAGTTATAATAGGATGTGATCAATTATTTATGACCGAAGGCCCATATATTTTGCCATTTCTAGCACACATCAGCAGTAGATGGAGCTCCGGATACAAACGTGGTCACCAAGCCCAGCCGAAGCAGTGGAGCCCGTTGTAGAAATTCCATCACTGTGGCAGAAGTGGAGCACGCGCACATTGGAACCTACCGGCTCCTCAAAACCATCGGCAAGGGGAACTTCGCCAAGGTCAAGCTCGCTCGGCACACCCTGACCGGCCGAGAGGTAACGATGATCAAGCCAAGAGCTCTTGCTTACTCTGCATTGCTGTCAACATTTCCTTCACCTGAAGTCGAGCCTGCGACCAATTATGGCTCTTAGCTTGCACAGGGGTGGGGGGTTCTTGAGGTCCGCGTTGTGTCAGAGATTGTGCGTTTCGTGCTTGTGAAGGCAATAATTCGGTCGCTGATACTGTATAAGCCAAACTTTCCCTTTAACATTCCTGTGCACAATAGGCTGTACATAGATTATATTACTCACAATTAGATTGGAATAAGTCAGACAATACTAACATGAGAATTTATACATTTCTTTGTGTAAGCTTCAGTTTTTTTAATGTTAACTACTGTAGAACATTATTTGATATCAATCTTAAAATTTTAGCACAAGATGTTGCAAACGACAGTTTTTTTCAGTTTGAGTCATTGTTTTTATAATGTATATCCCATTTTTAGGTGGCAGTTAAAATTATAGACAAGACGCAGCTGAACCCATCAAGCTTACAAAAGGTAAGAACGAATGTAAGTGTTGGATGCTCTAAAGGTTCACATTAACTTGCTTTTCGTTTGACTGATCAAACACTTAAAGTTCATTCAGCAACGCGCTCTGAAGTTGATTACTTCAGGGCCGTAGGGAAGGGATGGACGTAAGCTGACAAACAAGTTGGGGACACTGGTAATTGAAATAATGGGCGCAGCTGTACCTGCACAGCGGTCAGTGTAAGTGCCACATTCGTTTCCTACGTAGAAACTCTGCTGCGCAGTTTTCGTACACAGTACACGTCAGTTCGGTTTTAAATAGTGGTCCCAAAATACAAATAGTATCTGGATGTCATTGTGCTGTAGGATAATAGAGGTTAGGAATGCACACACGTGGACAGGTACGCAAGGTTGTGGCTTTAAATCAAACTGTAGAAGCAATTGTCAATTATTTTTGTATATACAGAATTCCTTTATAATGGATCGTAAGGATTTCAGTTCAGTTGTATTCATTAAAGAAAATGTGAGGGAAGAGTATTCTCACGTACTGTTTATTGAAGGAATTCGGCTGAGTGATTTGGTGACGAGTGATTATTTAGAAGAGAAATAAGGAAACGAGCAAGACATCCGATGGGATTTGAATGTTTTATTTCTTGACATCGGCCGTGACCTTTTTTGATTGCGTAGTGTAGTTTCCATGGTGATTCAGTGTGGGCAAGACTAAAGGCATAATACAGTGGGTGTTGTGGGATGTCTCAACTCGATCCTCCAGACGTTTGGGTGTGGTGCTCATTCAGAGTTTTGTGGCATGCCGTGGCGTTTATAGCAAGCAGGATTACACACTGCCGATGTGGCATTCGCATTATTACTGTATACGGGTCGTTTGTCTCTGCCAGATTTGCCGAGTGCATTTTGCATGAGCACATTCCACCATCCTTGCATGTATAATTCATTGCTGTAAAATACAAGGTGATTATGTCCACCGGGTGAAATTCTACCGTCATCTTTAACCACACTTTTGATCGCCAGCCTTCTGATTAAATGTTTTTTTTGTTATATGAATACCGTACTTCCAAAGAGTGGCATGAAGTATTCACTGCAAAAACGTGCAGTCCACTGTCAGGGCCTTGTCGGACGTAAATTCCATCCTCCTTTCCCTCTGTGTACACAATGGATTTTTAAAAAGAAATGTACAATGTCATCTCCACAATAGAATCCTTTCCGATGAAACATTTTCTTTTAAAATGTGTTTGCAATGATGTTGCTTCGGTCATTATGGAATGCACTGCTTCTTGGTGAATGTTAGAGATAAGTGTTGTCTTACTTGGACCAAACTTGTTTAGACAAAAATAGTTTTTTGGTTTTCTTTTGCAAATGGGAATGAATTTTCCATTCAGGAAAAAAGTGTCAATAAAAGATGCATTTCAGGGGTCCTTGGGAAAGGTTACGCCCTGCTCCTTTATTGCTGTTAAGCTGGAAAAAGTCTAGTTATGTGACATGCCTGTGCAGTGCTCGTAAATTCATATGCAAATTAAGGATGTTACAAGGAGTGCATCTCGCTGATCGTATATGCACGATTGTCAGAAACAATTTTTGTCAAAAAAATTACATTATACTCTGAAAAGACATTATTTTATATGCAATATACATAGGCATAATAAAAAAAATCTTTGTTAATAATTATCACTTAATTAGGAATCAATGTAAAACATCTATGGTACATTTTAATGGCTGCTTGTAAATGTAAATAATCTAATTATATAAGACTTGGTTGTGTTGTAATTGTCACTACAAGCATCATGTATGTGTTTTTACAATTGGGATTATTTAAAGACCTTACGTTAATCGGCCATTTCAGATATGCACTTTATTGTGAAGAAAATGTGGCGTTGGGGAAATAAGGCTTTCCGACAGACGCTGTCTTTCCGACAAACCTGTTCTTCACCTGAGAACGGCTGCTTGCGTTGTAGCCGAAACGTCGTGAGAATTGTATTTTATTATGTTTTATTTTATTATTTTCCTTCTACGTGACTTTACCGAAATAAGATGAATCCCTGCAGTCACGAAAGTTTTAAATCGAAATGTAATTGTTATTTGTAAAAAGAAAAATACTGACATTTGCAAGATACTCTGTATTGTAGATGTGTGTATTGTGGCACTGGTATTGTAACGTGGAGCATTATTATTCCTCAACATTAATTGTCGAATCTAAGGCGAGGTCAGAGTAAATCAGATGTGTGCTTGTATACTCTACATGCAAAGACAAAATGTAGTCTGCTATAATGTTGGGGCAAGTGCTGTTAGCAAGCACCTATTCTGGCTGACATGGCATGCCTGGCTGCTTCGTCTTGCGAGAGCTATTGTTGACGCATTGCATCGGGTGCTTATTTTGAGCCAGGTCAACCATGCAATTAAAATTAGATGGATGTACCTCAACTGTATATATACATGTATGGATTCCTTTTGCAAAGAGGACAAGTACAAATTGCAGTTGGCTAGCATTATGTGATGGCGTGTTGAACCATGCCAAGTCGAAAATTAATGCGAGACGAGGGTTGGTTGTGTTTGGTGGCTAACGTTAAGGGTATTGGGAAAAGGAGTGTGATTGCTTGAAGTGGGCCACTCGCAGCACACTAAATGTTTGGTCACAGCCCCATCTTGATAGTACACGTGCTTTCATAGCCTCATATGTAATAACGTATGTGTTTTGTATGGTTGTAATTGGTATTTATCTTTGCTCGATTCATTAGGAGTAGCAATTGTATGCAGAAACATTAAGTATATTCCACCCGAGGTGCTTGGCATCAGAAAATGTAATTACACGGCAAAGCAATTATGTTGTATTTTCTTCTTATGGCTGTGATGCTGCCATGGGGGGGGGGGGGGGTGCCCTGTATGGGCATGCAGCCAGCTGTGTCCCCCACCAGGGTAGGAAAGATGCTGACGTGCATTGATAAATGCTTCCATTATTAGAAATGCCAGTCGAGATTTAGAAACAGCTGGCGGTAATTGGAAACTGAGATAGGTACCTGTCGGAATTGTACCCATTGTAATCAAGCTAGTTTTACTTGTTTATAATGTAAGCCAAAAGTGCGTATGTACTACTGTGTAAAATTAGCAGTACTGTAGTAAGCTTTTGCACAAATACACAAGGTTTATTATTGAGATCCCTCGCCTCATTACCATTGTTTATTCAGTTATCGTTAAGTTCACGTGACCTCATTAATGTTGCTAGGCAACGTCCAGTTACATGTAAGTCTGTGCTTACAGAAACGTGTGATTCCATTCTGTAGAATGCCTTAGACATTTGAACTTTCGAGTAATTGGCAAGAAGGTTTGTTAACTGCTATTTGTTAACTAAAAACGAATAGGTGAAAATTGTGTTATATTGCCAAAAACCTTTTTTTATTGATCTTTGGTGGCCATTTTTCCCTCGCTTGTCAGCGCAATCAGCTTGGGTTTCAACAGGTGCATTGTTTTGAGAATTACCTGTAATTGGCACGTCTTTACGTCTAAAATCCACATGCTATGAAATGTCTTGGGTCTTTTTGTACCAAAATTAGAAGCACACGTTCTCTACATTTTTACTGATAATCGTCGCTGTGCTTGCTGAAATAATAGTACGTTTCATATCATCCACGTATGGTCCATCACCTTATCTCCATAATTCTAAACAATATCTACTGATTCAGCACAGAAAGGAAAACTACACAGTTCCTAGATTTAAAAAAAATCGTTGGCAAATTAGGTTAGTTTTGACATTTAACCGCCAGGGCTTTCAGTAGGAGCTACGTTGGCAATTCCTGAGTATTTTGCGACATTAATAGTCTAATATTTATAATCCTAAACTGCCTCCCTATGCCTCTAAAGAATTAGGTTAGCAATACTTAGGAAGTATTATAGGATCACTGATTTTAATGACACAAATGGTTTATAATTGATATAAAATATATGTAAATATTAATCCCCATTGTGCACCGCCCAGCTGCTCCTTTATAGTACAGTTCTTGTAAAATAGGGCATTCTTTTTAAATTGATATAGAATATTAACTTTTAAATAATGAACAAACATAAATAGATTTGTATAATGAATTGTTGTTGTTAGTTTTTTAAGGGTAATGTTTATTGTCAGGCTCTGCAAACCACAAATTCCCATTGCTTAACATTTATTTGCAGTAGGAAGTCCTTCAGGAGCCCTTCTGTAGTTATTTTCGTCCACTCGGGTTACTATTACGTTCGCTAATTACATTGCACAATGTACTAGGCAGTAATAATTAATTGATCAAATTGAAATATTACGTTATTGGTACATGCATCAAATCAGGCTTTTATGAATTCGTTATTTTCTGTCCATGGCTATGTTATAAAATTATGTTTCCTTTAAGCTAATGGTCAGAAATAATAAGCTAGACGTAAATAAGATCGACCAAACAAGACACACTGTACAGACAGTGCAAATTATGCAAAAATCATTGATTCTGGAATCTAATTGTTGCCCCGAATTGTCACAATTTATGAAATTGCGCTGAGGGTCACTAATTTATGTACCTGCTTTGCAGTTGTTTGGCCCGGCTATGCAGACATTATACAAGCAGCAGCAAACAGCTTTGCCACGCCTTGGCCTTGACAGTACACTTAGCTATTTTGAGTGCTTTGCAGCCTCAACCGTGGGGGCCTTCTGCTTCCGGTGGGGTAAATATCATCCGGATGTCACATCCTGACCTCTTGGCAAACTTTGACAAAGCACAGCGCTGTCGAGCAGTAATTTGAAGGACGTGGATGCATATCAAAGATAAACTGAATGTGCTGAACAAAATATTTTTCTTTTGTGTGTGTTGTTTTCGGTTCTGATTAGCTTAGCAAGGTGGGTAGTTGGTTTTGAGTCCTGTTTTGTGTTGGAAGAGCAAGTTGACACATGCCTGCCAACATGCATACTGTCTTAAGCCGTTTGAGGTGGTGTCAATTTCCTACGCACAGGTTTGAATTGGCACTGACAGATTTTGCGAAATATTTATTTCTAGACGTGAAATGATGATTACGTG